CCATGGAATTAGTGAAGTACGGTCCTCTTTCAGACCCGACCAGTCAGTCCTCGTACCCTAGGTATATCTCACCGTTGTACGTCCCGGACGTCTCTACCAACAACCTGGTAAATTCCACCAAAAGGGTTCAAACAATCTATATGTAAACGAGGATAGCTGAAGGTCATCCATGACCCATCATCAATCTCATCATCACCGTCTGTCAGGGATAAAATGCAATATTGCCCGTTAAAAAAAACGGCGACGGGAAGTATCGGCAATTATCCTATGGGCTTGCCCGATCCCCACCTTCCAGTTTCTCATTGCTCAACCCCAGCTGCTGTCAACCTCATGGAGGTCAAGATCCACAGATAGTGGTACATACATACCGACCGGCATTCTGCCCCTCCTTCTCCCGACGCCGGGAATCCCGTTCATCCTCTTGTTGATAGCCCTAGCTGTCCCCCCCCCCCCCACCCCAAAGGCTTTTTTCCTTTTTTTCTTTGACTTCTTGCTGTCTGTGCTTGGCGATCATCGGTTCTTTTCTTCCTACCATTACCTATCGATTTCGGGCAATAATCAGCGATATCGGAGACTCGGCGATATCGTGTTTTTTTTTTTTTTTTTTTTCTGCCCTTCCTTCTTGACCGCTCTTCCGTTAGATATTTCTTCTTCTCCTCCCCCCCCCCCCCCCACTCTCCTCCACTCTCCTCTCCCCCCTTCCTCCTAGCTCCTCGCTTCGTGATTGGACGGATTTTCTTCCTAACGGGAGTCCCTGCTTGAACCCCCCCGTAAACCCGTACTAACTACCCAGTAAGCATGTAGCTCGGATGCATCCGACGTCAAAAATTCTCCACAGCGCGCGGAACTCTCGTCTCGTGGCCCCATACCATAGTCCACCATATATTTCCCCTCCAAGGTAGTGGCATAGCTCGGGAAATATGGATGTAAAGTAAAGGATGTTCGAAATTGAGATATACAATGGTATAACCTGGTTCCTGGCCACAGGAAAGAGTACCGGTGGGCTGATTGTGATACATGATATGAAATAGCCGATTTAATTCCCCTGCTGGCCAAAGCGTCGTTTTTCGAAACAAAGCTTCAAATCTCGCGATTGTGAAAGGTGAGGACCGTAAGTGTCGGGAACGCAGGAATTTGAATAAAGACACGGACCATGAGGAACGGAAACCACCGTTGTGGCATGCTGAAACGGCGCGGATTCAAGGTCGGATCCAGTGTAGCTTGCAGCGTACGGGTAGGCAGTCCTGATATCTTTCCTTTCAGATCAACCTAAATATAATTATAAGGCCCCTTAAAGCCACCCGTACGCGGTAAAATAGAAAATGAAATAAAATAAAAAATAAAAATAAAAGACATAATTGCGTATGTAGCCACAGCGGCGCGTACTTGATTGCCGAGGCAGCTAAGAAAAGGAAGGCCATAATTTATGTCGACATCCCATCCATAATTTCCATCTATCGCGAGCTACATGCCTAGCCCTTCGGGAAGAGGAGGCTATTGCCGGTGGACGAACTAACTTCAGTTTGTGCAAAGTAGTTTCGACTTTGACATGGGGTGCTGTGGTCTAGATGCGTATGATTTGGATATCATTGTTTGCCACGACGTTCCTTATTTTTTATTTTATTTCTATTGTTTGATTTGTTGGACTTTTCCAAAACTCCTCCTGTGAGGATCAATCTCTGTAAGCACTATACGATATACGATACGGAAAGGCCAAAGGAGAGCTTGAGCATTGGGGGGGGAGGGTGTAACTGGGGTAAATAAAAAAAAAAAAAAAAAAAAAAAAATGTGACCGGACCAGTGCACAAGACATGGGTTGTTCAACTGTATGGATCCATCCATCTACAGCTCACAGCCCAGCCACACATCCCAGAATGGTGGAAGAGGCAGAGGAGGGCAGATCAACCACAGGCGGCGTACGAGCTGCTCAGGTGATCGTCCCTGTTTCATCTCAACGCAAGCGAGTGAATTGCTAATGTTTGACAGGGGTGACGATGGGCCGTCTAGGGTTTGCGAGTGAGAAATCAATTGACAGCAAGAAGGTCAAAGCTTTTTATCTGAGTTCTTTGGACCCGCCTATCCTCCTCCTCATCCCCCCCTCCCTTCCCATACCCCCTGTGGATGCGGTGAGTGAGCGGGGTGACGGTAGCTCATGAACCCTGACATTATCAAAATAGGTAACTGCCTCCCTCTTCTCAGAACTTGGTGTCGCAAAACTGAGTTTTGAGATGTCTTGTATCAAAACTCTGGGTGTTCAAATTGTACGTTGAGCGGCCGTGATGCGCGAGTTGAGAGAGTGTGATGGAGAGCGTGTGAGGATGTGCGTGTCTGGGGAGATTCCTATCCCCGGGATAGGGAAGCCACGAGTAAAGTATACATGTATGCATACCTGATCTGACTGAACCGTATTTCTGTAACAGTTATAACACGGTTCATGTTCGCGATAATCATTGATATCATGTACTCCGTGAGCCGATGTGCGCCTCGAGAAAAGAAGAGAGAGGAGGATGAGGGGGTTAAAAATAAAAATAAAAAACTTCTGGAGGGGGGGGTTATATGTCGACGCTTGGGAACAGATGCTGCCAATCATATCCTGACTGTCGGTCGATTGCCATAACGGATGTTAAGTGCAATAGGTACGTAGGTACATACGAAATGTACCCAGTACCTATTCTACACCCACAACCACAATTATCATCATCGGCCGCCGCCACTACAGACCACCCAACTACGACTACTACCACCACGATATCCGCCTAGGCTCCCTCTTTTTGGAACGGAACCAGGAGGGCCACATGGCGTTTGTTGGGGCAGGGCTTGGTTTTTTAATCGCCCGTCCACCGACCCGAACTGGCGGTACCGCAGGCAACTCAAAGCCACCCAAATCCAAGGCAGGCTCCCAGAACAGAACTGGCGAATGTAGCCTGGCAAGGGAAGGGAGGTTAGTGGCGGGTAAGTGGGGAACTCAGTTTCAAGCAAGCGAACCACCACCTAACCATTTTCAATGGTAACCTATGAGACCTAGATCCATGCCGAGTAACCTACATATCAACCCTGCCTAAGTTGTGGTGGTGGTGGTGGTCAAACTCAGCTCAGCAAAACGCAACTCGCTCGAGTGGGGGGTGAAAATGTTGTCGGGACAGGCAACAAGCAATATCCTGTCTGGCTGGTGCTTCTATGCAACCCTATCCAAGCAAGTGCCTGACCCAAAAGCCTCCCTCTACCACACGTCTGGGTTTCGTGCGGCCTCTTATCCACCGCCCACTCATTTCGTCCTAGGATGGATGGGTAAGGCAAGAGGGATGGACTCTTCGAAAGAAAAAAAAATTAATGCCTAAAAAAAGCAAATAAATCCTGAGGAGGGAAAAAAGTTATTTGCTGTTGCTCCCAGAAGAGCGGGGCGTAACCATTGGAACGTGCATTAAGATAGATGCACATCGTTCACTCTCTAAACAGGCATCCATCCATCCAGCTCAAGGAAAGGAACCACTGCAAGCAGGCGAGAGGGAAGAGTGAAATATGGAAGGGATCGAGGAGAGAGGGGAAAAATTACCCAGAAATTTGCGCTTTCCCTTTCGTCGCTTTTGCCCCGAGAAACCACACCACGTTCACAGGGTTGGATCTTCTATTCTGCATACCTACCCAGACTACTTGGTACAGCGGCCTGATTCCGAAGGGTCAATAATCAATCAATCCATGGGACATGAGCATGTTACATACCCAAGTGGATATCAGCATGCGATACGGTTCAATTGGCCAGGGAGAAAAGGGAAAGGAAACACAAAAGAAGAAATACAACGGTCAGTGGGAGTGCACTGTACTGGGAGAAGCCACATCGAATAATGGGGAATTATGCATCAAGGCGACTTGCATATGGAGAAGTATCGGGAACGATGAGGGAAAGCAAGATGTGTAAAGGACCAAATATTATTATTCTTCGAGCAGGCCATCTCTTTCCATATCTAGGAATGTACGAAATAGGGAAAGGTACTTGGTGAGCCACATCGTCATCGAGTCTTGTTTCTTTAACACCACCACGGTCCACCTACCTACTACTTGTACCTACCGATTACACCTGAGTATTGTTTAGGAAAGGCCCCACAAACCAGACCACGGTATGCGTTGGCGCACAAACTACACTACACCCTTCTTAGAGAGGGCACACAAGGAATACCTTGCATTAATGTAGTATGTAGTAGTAGAAGAGGAGACTGATAATCAATGTTAATCACTACGAAAGTGACCCAGTGCAGTTGAGTTTAGTAGAGAATTAATATACTATTATTATTATTATACTGTATTATCAATTCTGTGGACCAGACAGGACACCAGGACCACACATACCCAACACTTATTAGGTCTATCTTATTGAACCTTTGCTGTCACCCACGCTCTCACTCACCCATACATACCCCATAATCCTTGCTGCTTCACCCGCTCACACACTTAGCGCTAGGTAGTTACTAGCAACAGCTGCGTGCTGGGAAAGGAGAGGATCCCAGGAGTATGGTTCGGGTTTGGCAGCACCCATCTAGAGAGGAAGAGGGAGAGTAGCACCTCCCGCGTGAAATATATACGTATCACATCTCCCCTTCTCCTTCACTCTCTCCTCTTTCTTCTGCTTCCTCCCCACTCGAATTTGACAGCCGGCAGACATAATCATTAATTATTCTCTCCTAACTGCATCCTTCTGCCAACCCCCTCACTCCTCACCCTCAATAGCGGTTCTGTCCTTTTCGACTCTACTTTCATCTCTCCTCATAAGCCACCCCCCCCCCCCCCCCCACCGCCCCCATCCTTCCAATCCTCGTCAACACTCAATCAACTCAGCCTTATCGTCCGTCTCTCAAACTTTTCCCAATAACCCCCCCCAAACAACCTTCAAAATTCTTTCTCCAGCTCAACTCGTTGGTCTTGACCGCCATAATATAATACACCCTGTACAAACAAGGTCACCTCCTACATCATCTTTTGATCCAGTGCCATTACCACCCGTAACAATGGCCTCCCAGTTGTAGGCGATAATCCTTTATATGTATTTCGGGGCTGCAATAGAATACCTCTCGCTCACAACAGTGAAATTGAATAGGAACACACACCAGTTTGAGAACGGAAGGAGGTTTCACGGATACCGCGGAGGTGCCTACATGTATCCAAACGACGAGGTACGTCTTTTCTGAGATTTTGAAATCAAAGAGAGAGAAAAACATAATTTACCACGCGACCTCCTCTCTCGAGCTTTAACTAACTTTTTCGATTTAGAAAGAGCAAGACCGCCTCGACATCTACCATAAGATGTTTTCTGTTGCGCGCAGGGAACTCCACCGCGCGCCTATTACCAGGAACAACCTACCGACAAGGATTTTGGACCTAGGAACTGGTACTGGGATCTGGGCGATTGATATGGCAGATCAGTACCCAGAGGCAGAGGTAGTTTGACATCAATCAGGACATGACAAGGGCTCAGTCTAACAATTGTGGTTTAGGTTATTGGTATCGATCTTTCTCTAATACAACCAAAATGGTTAGTCGAATCCCCCAGTTTAGAATTGAGGATATGTTAGGGATAGTAGAGCTGATAGTTCGTTAAATCTAGGATCCCAAAGAATTTGCGATTCCAAATCAGTGATTTCGAAAGCGAATGGACCCTTGGTAAAGATTCATTCGACCTGATCCACCTACGGATTGGCGCTGGTAGTGTTTCCAACTGGCTCAGTCTCTTTAGGCGAGCTTTCGAGTAAGCGAACCCGTTCCAAGTGGTCCTCATACCCCTAGACTAACAAATACTCTTTTACTGCAGTCATTTAAAACCTGGTCTTGGCTGGGTCGAATACATCGAGATTGACCTACAAGCTCGCAGCGACGATGGGACACTAACCCCAACCCACGCGCTCACCCAATGGCAGAATTATATACTGGAGTCAACGGAACGCGCGGGGAAGCCATTACGATATGATCCGCGGACGGGGATCACTTTGAAGGAAGCTGGGTTTGTTGATGTCCAGGAGGTTATTTTGAAGCTACCACTCAGCCCTTGGCCGTCAGACCCTTACCTCAAGGAATGTGCACGGTGGTATAATTTGGGGCTTGGAGAGGGACTCGAGGCATACACATTGGGTCCCATGACGAGAGTGCAGGGCTGGTCGGTAGAGGATGTTCACAACCTGTTGATACCCGTACAAAGGGAATTGAACAGCAAGCAAATCCACGCTTACCACAACATGTACGTTCATCCTGGCGATCTGGTCACGAAGAAAAATGTTACTAACATATCCTCTTAACAGGCACATCTGGATTGCGCGACGACCTGCGTAAACAATTCAAGAAAAAAACAATTAACGAAAAAAAAGCCTGCAAACCTTCAAAGACAGTAACGAGACAGCCTTTTCCTTCTTTTTTTAGACTGGAGTTTTGATTCCTTTCATATTTCGACGAGACCAACACATTTTGGCCCTCACGAAGGCATATTCCTTTCCAATCACCACCAGGGTTGGAGCTGGCAGGGAAGATAACGCAATCATGGGGGTGCTAATCTCCCCATAGCGTCACCTTTCAACAAATGGCCGCCGATTTTCTTTTTTCATATCTCATTTCATTTCTCTAATCTGGGTATTATTTGGGGGGCGTAATTTTGTTTATTTTGTTTTATATCCACTTCTTGTTTTTTTTCTTGTTTTTCTTTTCTTCCCTTTCTTATATTCTCTTTCCTTCTTCTTCTACTTGCTTGTTTCTCGCGTTGTGGGAGATTTTAAAGATGGGAAACACAAAAGCAGCTGCAGGATCGGAACGGACATTTGGGAGGAAAAAAAAGTTTTATTTCGTTTCAATCTTTTATTACTGGGGAAAAATGGAGATTGGTTGGTTGGGGGGGTTTTTTTTTCTTTACTTTTTTGATTTGGAGATGACCACGGGTATTTTTATCGCCGTTTTGGTCTGCTTCAGGTTTTTTTTTTAGGGGTGGGTTTGATGTGTGTTTTGTGAATTTGTATTCGGACTTGGATTTCTGGCCATTTTTTCCCTTCTTTTTTTTTCTTTTTTCCATCTCACTTGTATGACTTCTTAAAGCGGGGCGTTTACTCTTTTTTTTTTTTTTTTTTTTTTTTTTTTTTCTGTCTTCTCAGTAATTTTTTATTACTCTACTGTGTATCTATTTTTTTTTTTCTTCTTTTCCTGCTTTCTTGCGTTATTACATCCGAGACAAAAGCCAGACCAAGGTCAGGTTCAGGTCCATATAAGAAAGTAGCAATAGTGCTCGAGCTCGTGCCGATATCATCATAAAAAAGATCCGGCCGGACGTGGACGTTTTTTTCTTTTCTTTTTTTCTTTTTTCCGTACAAGCACTACTGCCATGACCGTGAACCTCGAAGCAGTAATAATGCCGGTTTCTGTTGATTATGAACTCTATGACTCTCTTGTACTACTACTACTAACCACCCCATCCCATCATCCATCCATCTGGCCATCCCATCACATGTGAATCATAATACCTACCAGCGTACTCAACTCAGCCATCATTATATTGCTATGTAATACCTATGTAACTGCTCCCTCCCTTCTACCCTCCCTCCCTCCCTTCCTCTGCCCATCCCTTCCTCTGCCCATCCCTTCCCAGCAGCTCGGACTGTCGATTCTTCATTCATTTTACTTTTGTATTTATTCGTTGCCTTATGTTTATCGTTACTGTGGGGGTGGTGCGATGCGGTGCGGTGCGGTGTGGTGCGGAGAGGAGAAAGGCACCCAGCGCTGCTAGCTAGCTAGCTACAGTAGCTAACGGCCATTGTGGTTCGCCGGTCGGCCCCGAAATTAAGTTCTTAGACATCGGGAGCGGTTGTAGCACTTACTGGCTACATACTCTAGCTGGCTAGTGGAGAATAGATGAGGAATGGTAGTACACGAATGGGCGGACGGGGTGGTATGGTAGAGGGTGTAGGTAGGGGTTTGAAGCTGCCTGGAGTGGTAGTCACGACGGTACCTACATGTAGGTACCTGATTTGATACATGTGGTCTACTCTTCTCACCACACTACATAAGTGCTCTATGTAGAGTATGGACATAGAGTAGAGACATTCCTAGATCAGTGATCGCCACGCCCTCATGATCTACCACGCATACCGAAACGGGAACCCCGTTCACACCCCACCCCCCGGGCCTCAATCGCGAAAAAGGTACAAGCGATTCGTGCGGCGCGGTTTTTCCTGGTTGTGGTGTGTTTTTGTTTTGTGTCGGGATGGAAGGCTTGTTTTCGGTGTTGGGCTAGCTAGTACCTACATACGTTGATTGACTGACATGGAGATTGGGTGGATCGAGAGAGCTGTACTCTAGGTAGCATGGTTTAATAGAGGTGGGTCATGGGGTGTCACTCACGACATAATCATCATTGCCGTATCCATTGCCATAAGCATCATTACTTATCATATTTACTGCTCCTCCTCCTCGTACCCGTTTTACAATATCACGCGTTTCTATACTCCACTATATACATACTCTACTCTACTCTATATTTCCCCATCCTTCCCATCCCCCGCCAATCCCAGCACAGCACAGACCTCCCTCAGCCTTTCACCTCGGCCCCGGGATCGCCATCCGTTCGGGAGAGCTGAGGTACATACGTACAGAGTTCCGGGGGGGGGGGTCTTGCTTAGCTTATTAGTGTTATTGTTGTTATTTTTCTTTGAAGGGGGAGGTGTGGGCGGGAAGAAGCGAAGGAGATGAAACTGTTTGATAATGGATTTTTGTGCTTGTAGAGTACATAGAGGCGAGCGGAGGAGAGGAGAAGAGAGTGTGTGTAGGCAGAGCTTGGCCGCTGTATTTGCTTGCCGGTCAGCTCTCTCTGCTTTGGCCTCTCTCTCGGTGCAATATGATGCGGATGTTGGTGGATGTTGATGTTGATGCTGATGTTGATGCGCGTAGATCATGGAGCTAGCTAGCTGGGCAGAGACAGCGCAGGTACGAGTACAAGCAGGTACGCACGGGTATATACTCTACTGGGCCTGCTCTCTATACCTACACTTTGGCGCAGTACGTGGGTTGTAGTCACGTAGTCATCACCACCACCGTATATTGGCACTGAGCTGTTCTCTATAAGCGGAGCATGCAAGATCGAAATTAAAGCCATATCACAAATCCCAATTGCCGACTCTCTCTCTCTTTTTGCTTTTTTCCTTTTCTCCAAAGGGATGGGGGGGGGGGGGTGGCCACGTTTTTTATATTCTTTCTTTCCTTTTCTTGTTCGGTTTTTATTATGTATTATTATTGAGGTCTGGGCTCTTACAATTGGGCTGTGTTCTGGACCGCCGGCCGGTCCTTATATTAGGGCTTTCCTTCCCGGTCCCGGCGAGCGTGAGAGAGGGTCATGGCCACAATAGAGAGTATTTATTAAGTGTCAAATCCGAAAATTGACACTTTAAAAATGACAGTTCCCCTCAATAACCTAATTAACCACACCAGGAAGGTATGATAGGGGAAACTGGTAGATAAATAATTCTTCACGCTTATTGTGAAATATGCAGGCAGGATATATACTACACTCAGTATAGTAAAAATCCCCAGGCATATCTACATCCCCACCCTGGAAAATTGGCGGTTTCGGCAACCACTTTTTAATGTGGCGAAGTGTGAATTGTCGGTTTTGACACTTGGTAAATACTCTCTAATACAATACTTATTTTACTCACTCTGCTTATAATACCTGCCTATCATAATAATAATGTCATTGGTACCGTTCACCGTCGGCTGCCGCCGGTGCGCTGGCGGGTTCTGCGGGTAGGGTTTTTAATATTCTCTCCCCCCTTCCCCCAGGTCATAGCTATGCCCATCATGAGCGGGTACGGGTGGGGATGGAGCCCGGGGGGGGGATCCCGGATTTTTTGTTGAGGCCGCGCGCGTCATTGGGGGGGGTGTAGATGGGGGATAGTTTACGGGAGAGGTAATCATTGATGGGACGGAGTGGCCGAGGATCATCGGTATATCGCCATTGTGTCTCGGGGTAGCAGAGCTAGAGGCCGATAGAAGGAAGGTAGAGGAGGAAGGAGAGGAGGAGGAAGGGTCCGCAGTGGGGAGGCCGAGACAGGTGCCGTGTGGATAAGCTTTCATGGGGGAGGTTGGGCGGGTGTGAATTGCAGAAGTATATAGGGACGGGGGAGGGATTAGAGGGAGGGAGGTTAGTGATGGAGAGCTCAGACGATGTTTTTTTTACTAGGTTGGGGGGTGCCTGGGTGTGTGACGTTGCTTTTGTGTGATTGGCGGGGGGCGGTGGAGGTCTAGATGGGGGAGGGAGAGTGGATGGACTTAGATGGGCAGGGCAGTGCATGGGTGGGGGGATAGATGATTACATATAGACGAGTGGAGTGGGTGAGAGTATACGAGTGGACTGAGTGGAGTAAGTGAAGTGGATGATGAGTGAACAGTGGACCGAGTGAGTGGATGAGTGAACTGAGTGGACGGAGTGTGTCTGTCTCCGCAGCTAGCTAGTAGCAGAGTAGGCCCAAGTGCAAGTGCACGAGTGGACTGAGGTGGAATAGATTCGATGAGATTTGTGGGTGATGTGATGTGATGCGATACGATGTGTGTGTATGATTGATGTGATTTGCGTCGACTGGCGCAATCTATGGATTGCGAGGCAGGGATCGATGCTTGTGCGATGCGGTTGGATAGCTAGAGAGCAAGAGCGAGCGAACGGTCATGGCGGATCTGATCGTGTCAGGGTCTTCGAAGCCTTGTCAGGCGATGTTGGAGATAGAGAGAGCGGGGCTGCGGGAGGAGTAGAGGCATCATCATGCAAGGAGGGAAACGAGAAGTTGTGATAGGCCATTGCAGCAGATAACCCTAACCCTGCTGTTGATGTTGAGCTTGGCAGTTCTGCGGGAAGCTTGAAGAAGAAAAAAAAAAGTGCCGAAGTGTGTTCTTGAATCTTTAAAAGGACAATTGAATTCAAATGGATTGATTTGAATAACTCCTGCAAAGCTTTCATGCCCCTGTCTGTAGATATAAGAAAGCACAACTGCACGAATGTAGATTTCCTCCCCCAAAACTCAAAATGTCACCAAACGAGGTCCACAGCTTGGCGTTGCTATCTGACAGCGGGCGTTGCCTATGGTTACGGAGGGTATTTTTACCCCTGCCAAGAAAATACAATGACGTGCAGCGCCCCACCAACCCCGCGATTTGCATTACTTCCCCTGTCTCGTCTTCTCCCTCTTCTTCTTTCTCCATTCTCCAACATCATTCTCCCCAAAACATCTCTCTCCCCAAACATCATCACAACCCTCACCTCCCTTCTCATCTTCATCATACTTCTCTTCCTCCTCTACCCACCTCTCTTCATCATCAATCGCACCAACACCATTGTTACTTTTCTTCTTCTGTCTCTCTTCCCTGTTTTTACCTCATTGTTGTTAGTTACCAACCGTTTCTGCGAGACACCCTAAGCAGACTTCACATCCTTCCGCTACGGGACCACTTCTGCGGAACTTACTCAATCGACCGACCTCTACACTTTCCCCTCCAACTCCAAAATCTCCGGAAAGTCATGTCTGTCGCCGCAATCCTCACCCCCGTCAAGTCCCATGGCGGAATCTTCAACACTCGTACCGCCGGCGGTCGTGTGAACCTCATGAAGTCATCTCCACTCTCTCGAGTGACTTCCAACAATGCCCCTCCCTTCACCCCTCCCCGTGCTCGTCGTCATGACCCCGACTGGCACGCCGAGAGAAAGTCGTCTCACAATCTCCAGGAAGCCTGTACAAGTCGTGATGGAGGATCCCTTTTTGCATCCTATCAGACACCTACTAAAACTAGGAAAAATATTTCAGCCTCTCCAACAGTCAGGTTTGCTGTCTCGCCAAAATCTAACATTGCTGGGGCGGTTGCCTCTCCACAGCGCATGGGCGTCGGTGCCAGCAAGTGGACGTTGAACCCCGTCAACAGCTCGGCGTCGAAGTACATCGCCAAAGCTGAAGAAAGGTTCCAACTCAGAAACACAAGGCCAAAGAGGACCTGGGATGCTCCAAGAGACCGCTTCATTCCTAACCGCGCAGCCAGTAGTGGTACTGCTTTACTAAAAATTCACAAAGTCCAGACCCGTCTCAACAAATATTCCACTAACACTAAACTCAACACAGAGGATGGAATACTCGAAGGCCGTGTCTTTGGTCGTAACCATGGTCAAGTGAATGTTAAATCTCCAGGAATCGACTTTGATCAACCAAACGTGGAGGCGCTTCAGGCCCAGTCCTCCTTTGCTAACGCTTTGGGTATTGACCTTGAAAGCCGTGTCTTTGAATTTAGACCTAAGACCAAGCCCAAGCCCTTTGACATGAGAGCCGAGTACAATCGTCCCCTGGTCAGTGTTGCCAGTAAGGAAAAACGTCACATCCAGTCTTGCCCAGATCGTGTGCTTGATGCTCCAGGAATCAAGGATGACTTCTACCTCAATCTCGTTGACTGGTCATCTGGGAATAGAGTTGTAGTTGGATTGGACCAGGAAGTTTACACCTGGAATGCGGCCACTAACCAATCTTCCCTTCTTGCTCAAACACATGGAGATACTTACGTCAGCTCAGTCAAATTTGCTCGCGATGAAGAGACCCTTGCCATTGGAACTTCCGATGGAAAGGTTCAGATCTGGGACGTCGAGAAGCAAAAAAGAACTCGAACAATTCAATGCCATGCCGGCCGTGTCGGTGTGATGGCTTGGAGCTCTAGTGGAACTTTCACCACCGGCAGTAAATCTGGAAGTATTTGGAATCATGACCTTCGCATGAGAGAACACAAAACTTCTGAACTGATTAGTCACCAGCTGGAGGTCTGTGGTCTCGAGTGGCGTTCTGACGGGCTTATGCTGGCCAGTGGTGGCAATGACAATCGCGTCAACATCTGGGACGCAAGAGTGTTGAATGCGCCCAGATTCACTAAAACCAATCACAAAGCTGCAGTCAAGGCTCTCGCTTGGTCCCCATGGCAACTTAACACCCTTGCCACTGGAGGAGGTCAGGGCGACGGGAAGATTCACTTCTGGAATTCGACCACTGGTGCCCGCATTAAATCGATCGATTCCGGCAGCCAGGTTTCAAGCTTGAAATGGAGTTCCAGGTATGCTCGCCGGTCCCCCCTCCATCTTATATTGAATTGAACTAACGAATACGCTTTAAGCTATCACGAGATCGTGTCGTGCCATGGCGCTCCCGATAATCAGCTGACGATCTGGAATTATCCTGATCTGACTCGCAAATGCGAGATTCCGGCGCACGAGTCCCGCATCCTCTTTTCGGCTCTCAGTCCTGATGGTCAAACTCTTGCCAGTAAATACCCTCCCTTCTTCCTCCTCCTCCTCCAATTGGCTGCACAGTGATTCTAATTGTTTTCTTTCAGCCTGCGCGGATGATGAAAACCTCAAGTTCTGGAAGATCTTTGAGAACAAGCCTGGGAAGAAGCAGGCTACTAAAGTCAAAGGCCGTCCTGACTGGATGCTCAACACTGTGATCCGCTAAAAAAAAAATAGTTCGGGTACTTACATTGCTCACTTTGGAGGATAGGAATAGGCAATTACAATTAGTTAACGGCAACCAACCAATGACAAAAATTCTTTAACATGATTGGGTAGTTTTGTATTACAATTTTTATGCATTGCATGGCGATCGGAGTTACAGCATGAACGGGTCATCAGTGGTTGGGAACAATCGGAATCGGGTTGTGGGATGGGTAATTGCATTTTGGGCTTTTGCGCGTGTCTACTTATTGTACCTCTATTAACTTGAATGTAGCCAATAAAAACGCACTTGTAATCTTGTTTGACAAATCTTGTTTGACTAGTACCCCATACCGTTAGAAAAATTGAAAAGAAAAAAAGAAAAAAAATCCGTATTACCAGAACCATGGGTCATTTTATATCAGATGTGCGATAGACCGGGTTTTTAGGTTTTTTTCGAGTGACATTTCGTGAGATTTGACCCATCAACTTGGCGGCGAATCAAACTTCAGAGAACCCACTGCCACTACATACAACAATTATTTCAAAAGATGAAATATAACAGATGATTGGACACTTGCCTGTTAGGGGAGCGTGCCCGAGTGTATATCGTTATTTTATGAGTCTTTCCTCCTCGGCGTCTGCGCCCAACAAAAACGGCACTCACGTGGCCGGGGGGGGGGGGGGGGCCGCGGAGGGAGTGAGGATCTAGGTAGAGGGAGGCGTCCCTGGGTGGGAATCATCACACCACACGCTGCGCGCAGGTGGTGTAGATATATGTATCTGCCGGGGCCGGAGCTTGTTCGTGGATTCTACAAAGTTCTACAATTTTCTGGAGGTTTGGTTTTTTTGGTGGCGTTTGAGATCGAGCGCCTTCAACGGTTTATTTAATCATGGTACGATCACCTTCAACGGTTTTTTCAACCGTTTCGATTTCTGGATCCTCGTTGATCACGTATTATTATGATCAAGTCCTGAGGGTTCTTGGTAGTAATAACAACATCACGGAATTTCTCAGGACTTGGTTAACGCGCCGGTACTTAAGTTTGTCCTTTTATACACTGTTGAAGCTGACAGCTCTACTAACTTAAGTATCATATCGCGATCCTATGGCTTTCGTACAATAGCAAGATTCAAGTAACAGCTTATGGGATAGTTACTACGCGCTGGTGTTTTTGTTTTTGTTTTTTTGTGTTTGTCTCGAGTGGTGAGTACTGGTTGGTTGGTTGATGGGTTTTGTTTGGTTTCGTGATCTTCCGGAGGCTGGCGCTGACTGGACTGGTTTGGAGTATTTGAGTGGCTGGTTGGCTGGCTGTTAGGGCTACATTCTTGGCTTTTGTTGGATATGGTATGGACTTCGATTCACTTCAGCGCGGATAGGTTTGTACTTCAGCTTGAGATGACGGGTATGGGGTATGGGCTGGCTCTGTGGCGGTAAAATGGGCATACATATATGGGCGGAGTCGACCGACCTTGGCTGGATATAAGTTAAGTAGGTATCTGTTTGCGAAGCAGGAAGGAAGGTAGGTTATATTAATCAATCAAGCAATAACCGGCCGTTTTGGCTTGTGGGTGGTTCTGACCGACTTATGGGTGAATATAGGGTTTGAAAGGGCCAAGTCGAGATGTTACGCTCCCAGGACATATCGAATTGAATGAATTTCTGGGGAAAATGCTAAGGCCCGGGGCTGAGTAAAAACTTCACCGAGGTCACTCGGGGTCGGGAGTGATTGGAGCAATGTTATGCAAGTAAGGAGAGTAAGAAAAGGTGGTTTTGGTTGAAGTTTACTGTTACTTGTGGTAAGTATCAATAAAGTTATGATGAGAGGTGTTATGCTAATATAACGGTGTATAGATAGATAGATCCCTTGGGCGCGGACATCCCGGAGATGTTTTCAACGGCTCAACCCTCGAACGGCCTAGTTTTAAATGGCTTGGTCTTTCTAATGGCCTGGCTTTGAACGGCCTGGCTTTGAACGGCCTGGTTTTTAACGGCTCGGTTTTTTAACGGCTTGGTTTTTAAACCCTTGGCATAATTTAACGGCTTGGTTTTAGAGGTCCAGGGATAGTTATAGAAAGAATGAACCGCCGGTGCCTCCCAGCCCGTTATCTTGATACACCCAACTCGATAACAATTGCCGCGGGAGTGAAGAGAGAGGGGAGGTTTGTTGGTTTGGTAGGCTGATATATATTTTCGTGTGGAAAAGGTGTCCTTAATTTGGTTCGACGTGGCGACGCTGGCCGCGGACAACATCAACTTAAGACTGGCAATATTAACTTCCAATATAACTCTCCACCGGCGATGTCTCGCAAAATACCGAAGTTCGAAACCGAAGCTCGAAATGAACCACGTGGTTTGTAAAGCTTCCTGCTGGTGGATCTTGATGCTAACTCTAGCTCTGGGTAGATTTTATGGAGCCGGTATATCTAGGCACCAATGGGAATATTTCAAAAACAGTCTCCAAAACTTCATACTTGGCCATCCGGTTGCTCTGCTGCATCTAACTCGCGAATGAAGCCCCCGCGAAAAACTCTAACTCTGAATTACGGTTATGATCGAAAGGCGGATGGAAGGATAGGTAGCAATCAAGCTACGAGAAATGAGGCTGGCTCTGCTTGCGTAAAGGCTCTGATAACTGCACAGGAGGGGTAAAGTCTGGAAGCTTGACAAGGTTATCCTGACTGGGCAAACTCAAGGCCATATCAACCTTCAATACTACTTCACTGGTGTTTCGTGGCCAGCCAATTTGGAGTCTTCAGAGGTAACTAAATCTGATAAATTCGTAAAAACATATCATTTCAGTCCCAGGGACGAAATGGAGTTGGGACAGGGGGGGAGTAAAAACTGCCGTGATTGGCTCTTTATTCATCTAGGTCAAACGGAGGTCCAATGTCCATTGGACCCCAAGCAGAACTTATTAGAAAAGTCAGTTACGACCCCGTAATCTATTAATCCATATCCCATTCACATAAGCTTCATGGCGTGATATCTGCTTCCGCAGCGGAAACACGGATTCCAGGGTTAAGAAACCGACCACCCATTACATCATATCACAGAGGGACCGTCCGTCTACAAGTACCTCTTTGAGCACTCTCACTCAGTCTATCGAATAAAGATTTTCTTTTCGCCGGGAGATGGTTCCGGCGAAATCGAAGTTTCAGTCCCATGGCCATCCCGGTACTCGGGAGTCTGCTTAAGGTTAAGATCCTGATCGACGGTACATACATACTTTACATCATATCACCGCTATCCTCATGGGGGTTCACCGGTACTTCCTTGAGGGTATGTGTAGCCGTATTATTACTCTCGTGATGAAACCTCGCTGGGAGAGCTACGGTTTGGAGTAGAAGTAAATCCCTGTATGGATGATGGTTGGTGTCGGCAGTTCTTCAGGGACAGGGAGGTGGGAGTCAGGCCAGGGATATATAAAGACAACTAAAGCAGGCACGCATAGAGGTGCTAGAGCTAGGTTGGTTGCAACAAACGGAATAAGGTGCGTTCGTTCTGGAAGGGTTTATCTGAGTGGGATTTTAGCTGATTAGGTCTAACCCAGCATGTCGGGTTCGTTCGATGACACCCCAATAATGGGGGTAGGTGTGGAGGGCTTGGACAACTCTTAATAATTAAGTGTATGGGCTGCCAGCCTTTTGGTCCAGTGAGACGGTGAAATTTTATGTGCAAAAAAGCTAAGTGCATTTTTCAAACTGACCATGAACCCCCATGCTTTATGAGTAGCCAATGGAATTAATAACGCAGCTTCTTCAGCGCAGTCATTCGTGGGATGCGAAAGTTGAGATAATAAACTCTAATTTGAAATTGAGTACGATGGTGAATTGCGGTACAGATGACACAGTTGTAATGCTCTTCTTCCTATTAATATCAGGCATCAGTTTTATAAGAAATTTCATAAAGGGGAGGTTTTTCATTTACCCGGAGGTATGGACACCTTGCCTTTGGCCTTCGCTTTGAGATTGCTAACGTATTCCAGAAGCAAATAGTATCGAATGTCTCTGGTCGGGTCTTTTGATGGGTTATTACTACTCTATTTGTTAATCTGAACCAAAGGCTGGCCGATGGTCGTGATGCGGCCGCGATCCTGTCATTGGGTATAACCAATTGGTGTGGTTCAACAGCTCTGAGGTACACAAACTCTAATTGGCGAACCAAGGCTTGTCGCAACAAAAAGCGATCTACCGACATCTGAGCACACGATAATTCCCGACGCTTGAAGAAATTTCTCCCGGGTATTTTTCGCAGAACATCATATATATATATATGAGTGTCAGTTTCTAAGCACTTAAGTATCTAAAGGACATACGCACATGTAGTTTCAAACATTGCTGTCTTACGAAATATTATTTGAACTGACTAAAGTAGACATATCAACTAAGAGTACTAAAGTTCGCTCCCCAATTACTATTACCCATTATCATCGTTCCCTCTAACATCCATTTAAAGCCTATCACAAAGAAAAAACATGACCATTACCCCCAATTACCCCCAATTACCCCACGCTTCAAAGTACCCCACGTCACTACATACCTATGAGAAACAAACCCCCACTCTTAATCTTGGCCCACACACTGACATGATATAATATCTTCTTCCAGTTCTTCCTTAAAATAAACTCTTCATCATCTGCGCCGACGAGCTCCTAGTTCTTCTCCTCCTCAGACCTTCCCAAAGTCCTTGAACTATCACTCCCGTTCCGGTTCGACACACGCCAACCCTCCTCCTCACACTTTCTGGCAAACATATTCTCACCATTTCGAACAACACCATGAGCGATTGCACCTCTGGCCGCGTAGGCCAGCGAGCTCTCTTCGGGATTGACCGTGAAAAAACGTTTCATCATCTCTTCATATTGAAACCTGTCCGATTGATGGTGCGGCGATGCCAGTGATGAAGAGGTAGAATACACACTACACTCAGAGTTGGAACGGCTCTGACGGTTGTGCACATCCGACGTAGTTGGTGCGGGTGTCCATGGGGCAGATTGAGTGGATTGAGAACGGTTGACGTACGGAGATGCAACTTGGGCCAATACCAACGGGGCTGGAATCCGACGAGAGCCACTGCTTTGTATGAACTCAACCCTGCTAGCTTCGAGGTTGGTCATGGACTGCGAGTTCGGGTGGCCTTCGCGGATGGGTTTTGGAGGGGGCATGGTTGAAGAAGAATGGGATGGTTGTCGGCTGCTGTCTTGGGCTTGCAATGATTGGGGGGCGGAGTTGCTCTCGACGGAGGCCTGAATGGGAGACATCGTATAGATGCGTTGGAAGATAGTTTTGGAGAAGGTAACGGGCGAATGAGGGAATGAGGAACTGGAGGGCAGATTGGACCCCTGGAGCCTTAGATATATTGAAAAATAGGAAGTTCTTTGCTTTCAAAACAACGACAACGACAAGCAGATGATTGGGGGATCAGGCGGAACAGGTTAAGGATTGACTGAAGAAGTATAGATAAGACTTTTAGAGCACAGCTCTTTTTCTTGAATGATGGACGATCGACTGTGGTGGAGTATGTGTGGGGGATACGATGAGAAAGCAAAGAACCAGTGACTTTGGTATGGACTTTATACGTCGCTGTACAATCGATCCAGCTGCCTGGAATACTAAAATAGGTCGTTGAAAGATATCATGGGCCGGGAGGCCTGGTGGCTGATCATTGTTTTTTTCTGATTGGTGTGCGCTCACATGGGGATCAAACGTCCATGGCAGTAGACGCGAACAACTGACAACGCATCGGTGGGAAATTGCGAAGAATCACTCAGTAAGTTCTAAGGCTCTTCGTGACATAAAACAGTAGTATCTTGTTTGGGGGAGACCATCGCGTCTGATCACGTCGCGTTTCAAAGCCACATTTGACGCATGACGATGAGCACTAGAATAACCACACCATTAAATTTTAGGCTACAACCGAGACCGGTAAAAAAAAAAAAAATAGCAGATGGGATGAGCAGCGATGCTCAACTGACATTTCTACGGTAGTTGCATAATGCCATCTATCGACAGGATTGACAGGGCCAGGAATACCACAGCACAGGCACAGGAAAAGCTGGAGAGCAAATCACGGAGCGCCGTCAGTCCTTTGCATGGCGCGGCGTCGCATCCAGTAGTGGTTTCTCCGCAAGAATATCCATGCAGTCATCCATAGCGTATGAAATTCGAAACCCTGAGTGAGCTAGGGACTAGCTTATCAACCTCGTGAAGCCTCTTACAGCTTATTGTTTTCGGTATATCTCCAAAAGCAACATAACCCGCCACTTAGAAACTTGCAGGACGTTGAGATCCGTTTTCCCCTATCCTATCCTATAATATTACGCGGCCTCGGTTCAATTTTTCTGGAATTGACAGAGCTTTGTCCATTGTTGACCGTTGGTCAGATGCGACGTACTAGATGGTTCTGTGGTGCTACAGTACTAGTGCGGCGTTGACAATTGCATTGAAACAAGACCACAATTGCAATTGCTTACGCCCCTTGTACAGGCGCTATTAAGAGTTTGGGCTTCTGAAGAAAGAAACAAAAATACGCACATACTATGTTCCCGTATTGGAACAGGTTTCTGCTACCCAGGATATCGATGTCAGTAGTTGTTGCGGAAGAATAAGCTAGCGGGAATGTTAATTCCCTGGTACCTGATACTGATCTGCGTGTTGCGAGGATAACACATGACTGCTTGCTGGTGGTTGCCTATGACAGAGTAAAGATCTTAAACTTTACCGCATCTAGGTACCACACACACACACATTCCCCCCCCCCCCTCTCTCTCTCTCTCTCTCTCCCCACCCCCCGCCTCTCAACGAGGCTACAAGAGAACAAGCCCTCAAAGATGCTCAGGGGAAATGAAACAGTGCAACCCCAATCATTCGTTGGTCGTGTTACGTCCGAAAAAAAGGGAAAAAAATACTTTGATATCGTCTTGGTCTGGACTCTCGACATGGGTACTGTTAGCAGTAGGTGATGATGCTGTTTAAAGCTCTCTAGGTAGCAATGCTATTCTTTCCTTTCCCATCGTTCTTTTGTTTTGCTTTTCCTCTCTCTCATGCCTGTTCTAACGCAAAAAGGATAGTATATCCATAAGTACATGTGCAACCCCAGAAGTCTTCCCTATCGCCAAACAATGGGGCTGTCCATTTAAACCGTTCTACCGAGTTGAATTGTCCGCGCACCACTTTTAAAACTTTGAAGGCGGAAGTGAGGCTAAGATTGCGGGTTCAAGAATGCCCAATATCCGCTTCTAGAGTATTCTATCCATGCGGGGGAGGTTGGGGAAAATTATCCGCCTGCTTAACTAGCTGATGAGTTCACTTAAGATGAAACGTCAGTTGATCAGAGTGTAATTGTTTCATCCGAGGTACCGTGAGATAGGAGTTTTTTTTTCTCTCGTCAATAACGCCGAAAATCCTACCGGATTACAGCGTTCTCTTTTGCCTTGTTTTTTTGACTATTGATGCGCTACCTACCATTTGACTCACTATTGTCAATGCGTGAAATTAATGCGTGCTGGCTATTGCGACAGTATCCTGCTGACTTGTTGACATAGGAAAAGAAAAGAAGAAAGCGCCTAGCAACACACAATACTGGATTTCATTATTGCTTGCCAAGAGAATATCGTTCCTTGAGTAATGCGCTGGCAGTCGTGGCAGAGTGGAGGAGGTGTTGGTAGCTTATTGAGATCTCAACAACATCGGAGAAGGGGGTGAACGGACCGAGGTTTTTTTCAGGATCCTCAATTTTTTTTTTCTTTAATTTCCGAGATTTAACATCTTCGATCTCCCTCTGCCTAGGCCACTTTCAAACCGAACTGCCGTACATGCTCACATATGCGCGTACGCATAGGTAACAAACAACCCAGTCGCGTGTTTAGAGCAGACCAGCGCCCATTGACTCGTCTGTATATTCGGTGCGCAATGAGGCCCCTGGGTGGAACTGAATCCCGCCGTACCGTTTCAGGAATTGGGGACTTTCACCGCGAGGTATCTCCGAGACCGTTCGCAGAAAGAAAAGAAAAATACATCCCTTTTGCTCCCCTTTCCTAAAAACCTAGCTTTAAAGCGTATGTACATACCTGTTCCTGTTTGTGGAGCCTTGTAGTCATAATAGAGATACGGAGGGTCGGCACTTTGTGTCGCGTCATCTGGCTTTATCTTTTACCTTATCATTTGGAAATTACACTATGTGCAACAATGATCTGGTAGAACATGCCACAGTTCCGTCATGGCAATATGGGCACCAATCGATTTTTCCGCTTTGTTTTCTTGTAACCCGCCGGTTTTCACCGCAACGTTAACGGCAGCAGCGGCGGTGTGACTGAGGGGGGATCGGTGGTAATATGTACGATAAATGAAGCGGGATTGATCATGATCTGTCAGGCTTTCTTCTGGCCGACCCCATCCATGTCTTGTGCTTTTTCCGCTAGTGTGTGGTGCGAAATAGCCGAGAGATCCTGCCTTACTACTGCCCTTCCTCACTATCCGTCGTCCTACTCTACTCCTCTTCCTTATCCTCCCTCTGTAATCAATTGCAATCAGCCTTGTAGAGAGCCATGGCCATCGTTCGGTCGTTGAAAAAGGGGGATTTGTTTAATGCTGCCGGTGGTGGTGGTGGTGGTTGTTTTTTTCGGTCTGGGGGTGGTGGGCGCTGTGTGCATCATGTGCTATCTGCTGCTGCATGAAGGGTGTACCTACATGTGTACATACGTCGGATCCGCGGGAGCCCGGATGCGCCATGTATGTAGGGTACCTTACCTGGCTGGCTGGCTGGTATGTACATACTCTACTAATGTAGGTACTCGTTCGCCTCGGTCATGGTGCATCACTCAGCCAGCCATCGTTAGCTAGCGTGTGTTGTGGTTGGTGAGGCTGTGCTAGTGGGTTATTTATTTATTTGTTTGTGGCTGCTTTGGGGTTAGTAAGGTGGTTACTACGGGGATTTTATTAGGGGGAACTAGTGGGGTTACTGACAAATCGGGATGAGATGATGGGGGAGATTAGATTATCTTATCTGTACTTATATTAGTTGCCCTCGCGTGCAGCATGGTGATAAGGTGCGGCCCGGCCCCCCCGTGGTGCTTTGGTGGGAGTGTTTTAATCCGTGGATGGATTGGGCGTTGCAGTTAACGTAGGTGGCGGTGATGGGTTGAAGGGTGGGCGAGTGACTGGTGGTGATTAGGTGCTTGAGGTGTTTTTTTTTTTTTGTTTAATTCATTAATCGGTGCTTGGGGTGGAATTGTTTGTTGGGCACTATTGTTCGCGCGTGGTAACTACAGTGGCAGAAACATGGGTGAAACTACTATTGCGGTCTTTTAGAAATGCCGTAGAACTGCAGTAACATTAGTATCGCATACTTTGTTAAAGTAATGGATTGGCATATTCTCGCAATGCCGTATTCAATTGATGCAGTATCAATTTCACCGACATGGTTGATACTCTAGTAAGTCTTGGTGTGCCAAAATGGAAATGGGTATTCTGGTTAACATCCGGTTTAATTCGAGTCGCTTTCATATCTACCTCCGGCGCCGGCGGGCCCATAGCTGGTCCCTATGGCTTGGTGCGTAGTTTGCTAGAGCGTGATTAGAGGGGTTTTGGTATCATCGTGTCCTGTTTTGCTTATTTCTGTACCCTATGTAGTCGGTAAAGATGAAGAAAAAAACTCGTGGTGAGGGAACTACGCGGTATTGGTTTGGTCTACTATAAGAGGTGATCAGGCTTTTGTTGGTTAATGATTTTTTAAGAAAACGCCAAGAATAGCACTACCGTTAATACTGAAAGCTTTAGTACTTGGAGATTAAGGGCACGTTTGGGGGAAGTGTGGTTTAGAAACTACGTTAAGTGGAAGTTTTGTTAGCACATTGCTAACTCAGAAATATTAAAACGGAGTTTTGGTCTGCCAAGCACGAGCTCAGTTAGGTGGTGGGGGATGTGTGTTGCAACGAGAAAAAGTAGGTCTGACCCAGCTTCTCAGAATTCAGTAATGTTAATGAGATCGATTTCCTTAACAAAATGGCTTGCTAAACAGGCCAACTTATCAGATAACGGAGTTTTGGGAAAAGTCCGTTGCATAACAGCGTTTGGGGGTCTTAACCTCCGTTTAGGTGGTTGCCAAACGCGCCCTAAGCCAGTTAATCAACGCTCAAATATCAGGAATCCTATAAAGATTATGAGACGAGCCAATCAGGTAATCAAACCAAGTAATAGTCAAGGTACTAGGAAGATCGTCCCGGGAAACCTAACCCTACATATTCTAATAATCTAATATTACTCACAGTATGAAATACGGAGCTGGGAGTCCCGCGGCCCGATAGAGTACCGCTCCGAGGAGGGAAATAGTGGCGTAGGAGTGCGAAACTGTGGTGATTTTGGGTCGGTGTTTAGGTGTTGAATGTGGGGATGATTTCGTTCCTTTTTTTTATATTGTCTTTTTTATGTCGTATGATTATATAGGATAGGGTATTAACATATACTAATCTATTAACAACTTTAAGTCTACCTGTGATAGGACGTTGTTTTGGGTACGTGTGTTGAGACCCGGTGGAGTAGACTTGCGAGCGGAACATTTCTATCACCAGCTATCACTCGGCTTGACCTACGGTCAGGGATTTTGATAAGGAAAGAAAATAGCGTTATCCCTTAAGCTGTCGCGAAAATGCTGACCCACCAAAAAAAAGCAAATTTGGTGTGGCTTTACTAACAGGTCCCGTTATCTCTCTTATCAAATAATAGATCTCTCATACAAATCTAATTCCTCTGTTATAGGGGGGTCAGCATCAACACGTTAAGGGATAACATAGGGTCCGTGTAAACCCTTGGGCTGCGGCTGCGGGAGCAATATAGGCGATAGGGTGAATCCAGTGGGGATTGAAAGCCTTATAGGCCGCCATTAAAAGTAGATTAATTGTCCTATCATTTTTTATCAATGACTAAAACTTTCCCATATGTATCTCTTAATTCCTGGCCGTAGTCTCTAGTAGGAGTGGAAATGCATCAATTTTGACGTTTCCCATACAAAAAGTTGCGAGATACACATTTTTGATGCAATAACCGACCTACTGTTTTTTTTTTTTTTTGTTTAATTCATTCTACTGTGTGTTAAAGGCATTCCTGTCCAATTACCGACGAGTTTACAGATGCGTTTACCTGTTAAAGACATGTTAAATACAAAAAAAAATACGACTTTACTGACGACTTTACCAAAGAAATGATGGTTTCCGGTGTTTCCCGTTTTCCGATGAAGTCCCTCCTCTAGATCTCGAGATAGTTGAGTCCCCAAATAGAATATTTCGATGGGGTCATCAAATGGTATCTGGCATCAATGGGCTTGTAACAGTTGGGGAATACAATTTCATTTTGGTGGATCCATTGTTTGGCATATACATGCAGGCAATTCTTGCTTGATGCTCCTGGTATAATAGTAGGATGCTCTTTGATGATTCGTTTCATTGGCGGTGGCCTTGGTCAATCATGTGAAGCATCACCGGTGGCCAAAACTTACTCCCCCATGTGTATACGCCCAAAAACGGGTGACAGAAGCGTGACAGGTAAAGGCATCAGTAAAGTCATCCGTAAAGTCGTCTGCAAAGCCGTCCTATTTCCCTTAAAACGACTTTCCCTCTGCCAAAATATTGACATTTCCCAGCGAAAATTAGGACCCCAGAAACGACTTTCCCGACGACTTTACTTAATATTCGAGGTACACATTTCCACTCCCCCTAGAGAGTTCATTTTGGTATGTTTCATATATCATGAATTTTATTCGAGCACCCCCCCCCCCCCGGATTGTCTTCTTTGGGTATCATGGACGCCCGTCTGCATACAGTAAAGTCTATAGGATCGGATAATAAAAGAGATATCAAATTAGAGATCATCGGCCTGCCGCTGGACATGCGCATGAAAGTGCTTGTAGTCTATTACCCGTAGCTTTATAGCGTTTCCGAACACGACCAATATTGCATGACATACAAAAAGGTGGATTTGGCGCTTTTTCGTATGTCATGCAATATTGGTCGTGTTCGGAAACGCTATAAAGCTACGGGTAGAGCCTTTGCGCTGAGGGATCCGGAGTCTTTTTTGACAGACTTGGCATTAGTTAGCCAAGCAATTATAGATCCAGTCTTGCATTTGACTCCCAGAGAGTTGGTTAATCGCGAAATTAGACCTCCACTCCTTCTATCCTTTGTACTAGTAGAATCACCCCCTAGTCTAGCATAGCTTGGCGAATAGGATATGACATATCACAGTTTGGAGCTTGGGCCTTCTATGGGTCCATTTCTCCCTATCCATTACAATAACGTCCGACCATGAACAAACTCAACCTCCTCAAGCCTCAGTCAAACAAACATGCTTCGACTATTTAGACAACCTGGAGTCCGTGTGGCACAACAACGTATTCAACTCAGAAGGTTTACCAACCTATCAGGAGATCAGGGTGGCTTGTCCGGGCTAGGAGAAAAGCGGGAGGCCTCTCGTAATGCCGAGTCCGAAGCCAAACAACACTGGGCTCCGAATAACAATGATCGTTTGGTAAGTCGCCCCACATATAACGGGTTACTGGCTCAACTAACGGGCGGTTGGATAGTGGGATCATGTCAATAAGTTAGATGACCGTGTCGCTGGCTTGAGCAAGGTATGGCTCATGTTCAATAGTAGATGAAACTTGACTAACGATGGTAGGGCTTGGGGGATTTTAAAGGCGATGTCAATAAAACTCTTGGAGAGCTTGTTATGAGGATGGAAGCAGGCTTTGGGAGAATAGAAACGAATATGGCAAAGAGCCACGGGGACCTTAAAGCCGATATAAAGCCACTTATTTGGCAAGTCCGTAGCCTTCTTGGAGGGCGTCACTGGTATGTGTAATAAAATACTCATGAAGTGCCAGTTATTTCAATCCATTTTTTTTTTGTTTAATTTATTGATCGCATGCGCTATTTCAATGCTAATTTCTTTAGGTTGTTGGGTTTCTTGTTAAAACCTACTTGGAAGACCACAACATTTTCTCCAAAAAGCAGGCTGATGCAACACCTCAACTTGTTTCTGGGCTAATCGACGTCCAAAAGATGGATTTAAAAAAATAGCTTATCGTATTGTTTCAGAGATATTATTTCCGACGGGTGTGTCGGTCGATAGATGGTTTGAACGAGGTCAGGGAGTTTGATTCGTATTATTAGGGGTGTTCAAAAGGCCACCACGTTCGCTAGAAACAACCGATTCTTATATTCAAATGTTCCGTTCGGAGTCGACACTCACCACCGTCTACAGCGCCAAGCCCACTAGCCCAACAACTCTGTTCAACGAACTCCACCGTCTACTCCATCGTTTCTACAACCACAAACACACCGAGCAATCAGCGACAACAGTAATCTCGGTCTCGAAGTGTTTATTTTAAATTGGGTTCTTACGGTTGCTTGTATACAGCAAAACCTTGACAGCAGGAACCACCAGCACTCAAATATTTAAGCTCAATGGCTTCCCAACGTAATACACAGTCTCCGTCAAAAGAATATCCTAGCTAAGCATGGATCCAGGTATTGCCACTTGGGCTGCAACCAACGTCGGGGTCGTCACTTCTGGCACAGTCATCCTCGTGGGTGCACTCACCACATGGGACAATCACCGTGGACGAGATCATCAAGTCACCACCATCGAAACTAATCTCGGCACACGGATTGGTGATCTCGGCACACGGATTGGTGATCTCGGCACACGGATTGGTGATCTCGGCACACGGATTGATGTAGTCGACAAGAAGGTTGATGAAGTTAAAGAGGAAATCAAGCATACTCAAGCAATCGCCTTAGGAGCTGCATATGTAAGCTTCACTGGAAACCAAGCCATGAAAAACAAATGGGCGAAGGATATCGAGAAGTATGTTATGTCCGACTATAAGGACTGCCACACGGTAAAGGGTATCGCGAAGGTTGCGTCTGGAAAGTGAGGAATTCTTTCTAGAACGGTTAAAGGTTAGTGGCAGATTCCATTCATCAGCCAAGGAGTGTAGCTGACTATAATTGATATTTCATATTCTTATAGGTTTCCGATAACAGCAGGAAGACTTTTTTGCATTACGTGGGTAGTTCGAAGTTCTATCATTTGAATTAGGGTCTGCTTAGAATGGTCGGGATGAGGCGTTGCTCTTATAGGTTGCTAGATTTGTTACTGGTTAGGCGACTACTGGAGATACATTAAGGTGACCTTTTATAAAATTGAAGCTCTTCATTATTTTACTATAGTTTGATTTTCCTAACAGGCGCCGCTAGCATCAAAAGGGAAAAGTGGGAGCGTACTAAATTCTCCAACCCATCTCAAGAGCGCTCGGAAAATACGTACTAGGGTATAGCGAAAAGTGATCAGAATCTGATAAGAAAAATACACGTATTCACCGCAGCATTCACTTATCAGATTCTGATCACTTACCCTCAACACCCAGTACTTTTACTAAATCATTCAACCAATCAGACCTCGAGCTAACTTTTTTCGCCCGTACTAAATCCGCCGTCCGTACAGCTGAGGACCGTTATTATTGAGTATATCAAGAAAGGGTGAACTGACTGGGAGGATGTGGGCTCCAAAAAACTGGGGCAGATTGAAGAAATATTGGAAAATCGAATATCAAGAAAGAGAGTGAATTGGCTGGGAGGAGGTGAATTCCAAAAAAAAAGGAACATGCAATTCGTGGACTGCTTGACACACCAACGAATATTGTAATACAGAGTGAAGGTCATAACGCCACTTTGCTCTGTGACGATCGATTTGAGTATAATGCCGATAAGATAGCCCCCCCCGCGGAGGGCGCTACATATGTGTTTGACCCCCGATAGAGCATATATATACCCTCACGAGATTGCTGTATGCCCTTTTTTAAATTGTGTCGCCTGGCTGACGCCGGAGCGGAGTTCGGGATACCGAAGATCCCGTGATTACTATCCATCGTGCTTCCAAGCGACGTTACAAAACGACCCAATTGGTTTATTATTGGCCACGTCCCATGCAACAGTAACAGTACTGATAGCTATGGCCAGACAGACAGCTTGTGCTGCACTGCTAACCGAGCTTCCAATTGAGTTGTTCAGCCTCCTAGCTAGTTATCTGACTGTGCCTCTGCCACGCTTGGACCGAAAATAAAAAAAGAGTGCACTGGACGATGTGGGGCGGGCAAGATGCGGTGGAAGTGGAGAAAGCAGCTGTCAATTGCAAGGCCTCATGGACCACCGCTTTGGAGGTGTTGCAGTGAAGATCTCATATATATGATATGGGAATTGATGTATCGTGCAGCCTTTGTACCCAGAAACAAATTGAGATGAAGAGATATAGTGCAGCCGTCGGGCCGATGGGAGGCCGCGGGGGGAACTATTAGATATCCGGTTTCTGGCAGTGCGTTACACACCTAAACTAGTTTCAGTTGCTCTCTTCCACGGTACGGTAGATATGTACTATGTACGCATATGCACGGCCGGTACGGAAGAGTTGAATGGCCATGGGACCACCCGCGGATTTTTCCAAGTTTGTTGGGAGAAGATTTAGAGAGTGCTTTTTGTTTTCTTTACCCAGCTCCTAGATCCTGATCTCGACGGTTCTTCCAGAGAGGTTACTCGGGGCAGGAATAAAGTACCGGACAATGCAGGTTTTTGGTTCACCAATTGGTTCACCAATGGGTGCGCGTGCTAGGCGTGAACCACTGCAAAAAAAGCCCAGAGACAAAACTTGCATTGTCCGGTACTTTTTTGCCTCCCCCGAGTACCCGAGTAGATTGCGGGTACAGGATACATGATGTAGGGAAGGGGTGGAGAAGTCTTTTGGTTCGGTACATGTATGTATCTACATACCGTTGGGCTTTTATCCGGCGGGTGCAGATGTGCATGTAGGCAGGCATGCGGTTATCGGTTTGGGCCGTTCGAGAGAAATCGGGATTATCGTCATCGTGCATATGAGCATGGCAAGGGTTTGGGGGTCGGGTTTTGGACGTGCATGCCATGCTAGACTCTGGATGGTTAACGACATACATGGAGATCAGTACCTACACTTACACGTAGGATCTGACCTTTTTCTACAGTAGAGTAGATACATATACGTACTCGGTATATGCCTGCTGCATGAGTATATCGACTGGCGGGTACTAATTGTAGATACTCTATCACACGTAGTACTAGCGTACTCCGTGGCACAATTGTGCATGGTGTAAAATACCTAGAGTAGCTTCTAGTGCGTGTAGATACGCACGTACTTGTAGTTCCAGGCCGTCTAGTCCTAGCAAAATTTGGTGCGGTCGTATGTACCGCATCCCACGGGTATTGTGGAGCACGCTACTAACATGACGGAAAGACCACCGCGGCCGTAGAACACCGTCTGCAGTCTAAAGCCGAAGACAACGTAGCTAGACGTACCTCCGAGACACAGTCGAAGAGTAACATAGGTACTAGCTCTAGAACCAAGAAGAAGAAAAAATTCACCACGGCTCCAGGGAGCTCTTTCGTCAACATTCTTCCTCCCCCTCCATCCATGTTTTTTTCTTACACATAACACACACAACATCTCGATCAAGACCCCAATCCCGTGGATCAATAGAGTGCCCTGTGGTGTCTCGCTCGATTATCAGATAAGATTCCCCATTAGAGTTATAAATCTCCTAGAAGTCTCAGTTTTATTAGCCTCGTCATGGGGGAGAGGGGGAGGCATCAGATATCAAGCCTCTGTCCAGATCGAACGAAAAGAATGGAACGATTAACACAAAGTAATCACTTACCATGCACCGCGGTTGCCAGCTCTAGCCCTGGGGATTAATTACTCTGCCTGCGGAAAATGGCTTTGGTAATGTTACGTGCAAATAATCTTTTGTGTCTCGTATCGGCAACGACAGACAGCATACACTCCCAATATCTGGTACCGGATCAATCATCCCATCAACCCAGTGCCACGTACCAGGTAGCTACAATCTGTTTCCCTCGCTCTAAGCTAAATTAGTATCCAACCCCCCCCCCCCCCCCACCCCCCGCGTTCCCGGCGCACTGATATTGCCTGCTTATGCTGTTGTGTTGCTGATTCGCTACGTTGCTGATCCTTCGGATGGGGAGCCCTGATTTGTTCGTGTCATGTAGAAAGCCAAGCGAAATTCGAACGGTGGTTTGGTTTTGCTGGGTCACGCTGGGAGTTTGGTGATGCCCTACTAGATACTAATCCAGCAGTCCACCCGGGCTGTTGGTGAGCGCTCCATTAATGGTTGGAGCTTTGCGGATAAAACACCCGACTGAACGACCCACAGCTGGGAACTCGAGTTGTTTCGCAACCTGTGTTTGCTACTGGGCAATGTACGCGTGGAGTGGTGTACAGTTGCACCTCGCTATGGCGGAACTCAATATGCCGGATCCCTTGAGAATTCTATTTTTCTACTGCAAAATCAATTTGCTATCCCGAATTTCTTGGGAATATTTGCTATCCCGTACAAGATTTGGTGGATCTTGGCCATCCGGCATAGCGAGGTGCGACTGTACTACCTACTCTATTTCCCTACTCTAGAGTTACAGCGCCCCATGGCAAGGCCAAGTAACCCGCCGTTATACAACCGCCCCCCTAATAAGGGCGTCCCTCACCAACCGGAACCATTACCAGCGTCCCACGGAACAGAATTGATATGCATATTTGCCCTCACCCCATACCGGTCGACAATCCCACACAGAATCTGGATGGTATAGCGGGCCCCCAATATGGGGTCCGGGATTGTGGGTTGGTGGTGCCTGACCTTCCACTCAGCTGGGTTATTTGTTGTGGTGCTCTCAATATCCGACAACCAAGCCCAAGCAATGATATGATTTATGGGGTGGATAGGGCGTCTCACCTATCCTGGTTCTATTATTGCTGGACGACGCCCGGCCGGGTTGCGCACCACAAAACAAACATCAAACCAGCCGGCTTTTTCATATGTATTCTTAGCCGGTTCATCGTTGTCTAGACCTGCTCGGGATTTTCAACATCACGTGATTGGGCCCAGGCTAATGGTTCCCCTGAGCTTTTGCTGCTGTTGATGCTCGACGTGGGGGTACATAAAACCCAAGGGCAGGCAGCTCGAGGACGGGGTTGATTGAGGTGATGATATTTTAATCTCCACATTGACCGCAGAAACTAGAGGGGATGAGCCTCATAAAAATATATTGTCCCAGGTGTACAGGGTATTTTCTTCAATCAATCCAGCCATGTAAAGAATGTCAAATATTCAGGGTTCCGGTTGGAGTACCGAAATACTATCGTTTCCCAAGCCAAAGCTATCCCTACCTTCGGGTCGGCGGTCAACAACTGATGGCAAGGCAACGCAACAAAGCCAATCCATGGACATCACCCGCGCGGGGGGAAAAGGGATAGAAGCTTCTTCGTGACCGGAATCCCAACAAGCTGACTCGTCCTCTCCGCCGAGTCCCAAGTCCCGAGCGAGGGAACAGCGGGTTCGATGCCCATTGTCTTGCCTTAATGCCTTATCTGGTCCCGACGTACGTTCCGCCTGCCTGGCGAGACGAGACGAGGCGAGACGAGATGATGCTCTGCCGGTACGGTACGGTAACTCTACATACGTGTTTCCCCGTCGGCCACTCGATCGACCCACAGACATGGATGGCGGTAAATTCTAATTCATACCCCTCTCACGCACACGTGTGGTGGCCGTTGACGGGTTTTTAATTATTTCTTTCATTCTTTTTTATTTTTTTCTGCTGGCTTGTGGTTGGTTGTGGTTAGTCATTGGATACCGACCGGCCGCACAAGGTGATGACGCTGCCCTGCGCTGCGGGTTTCGTTTTATGTATGGATCGGAGGGGATGCATACATATATATGCAGGCTGGGGCCGTGGGCACCGCTGGGGCGAATCACGCGAGAAGAGTAAACAGTTTATGTCTACTGGGATACTGGACTTACGCAACGTTAATTTGGTGGGGGCGCAGGTCTTGGTTTTTGGTTTTTTTGGGAAGGGAATTTGGAACGTACATACCTACTCTAGACGTACATACATATGCTGGCTGGCTGTGGAGATGACTATATGTACTTTGCAATGCCTCGGTGAGTGAGTGATCTGAGCTACATGTAGATAGAAAGGAATGCCGAGGGTTAAAAAGGTAAGCAGCTGGTACAACTATACTCTGTTCTAGTCTGCTCTATTAGCACTAGTAGCAGTAGTAGTGTACTAGCTAGGTAGGACTAGAATAATGACTGAGGATCAATCTGCGGAGCCCGGAGCTGGAACATGCAGGGTACGAGAAAGTCGGAAGAATAGATAGGGAAGACAAGAAAAATATTAGCCTACTACTACTAGGAGGAGTGAGGGTATTTCCAATTCAGCAAGAAGTCGAGAAAGAGAGACTAGAGAAAATAACCACGGACACCAAGTAACTCTAACTACCGGCGGTACTTGGGCAGGTACCAACACACAATATGTACAACATAAAACTTACCAGAAAATTAAATCAAAATTCCCCGATGGGCTGGCTGGCCGTGAAATGATCCACCACCACCACCACAGACAAAGGAAAGGGTAAGTACTAACTACGTACATATATAGAAAAGCGCTTTAGAGTAGTTTACTGTGAGATACCTACATGTAGGTACACTAGGGTATACACACAAATGATATGACCCCAACATACAATATGCACATCCCTCCTCCTCCTCCTCCTCCTCCTCCTCCTCCTCCTCCTCCTCCTCCACCCTCCACCCTCCACCCTTATTCCGCATCATGCCCGGGGTGTTGGGTTAATTTGTGGAGGGGAGGGGGGTCGCTGGGCCGCACGGAAGCGCTTTTTTATTTCTTTTGGGACGTTCGTTCAGGTTTGTTTATCTGCAGCATGATATGAGCCATGAGTGCCTAGCAGCACACTGAATTAAGCACCCGACCCGATCAACGGCCAGCCAAAGTTCAAAAACCCTCACCACCCCCCTTCCCCCCCCCCCCTTCCCTCCCCCTTACCTGGCTCTTGGTTTGGTTTTACCTACATATCCTTATTTTTCGTTTCTCTTTTTTTTCTTTCCCTACCCAGTGTCCTGGACCTCGCTGCCAGAGAGAGATAGACAGGACAGACCACTTATATACTTAAACCTTACCCACACCACACACACACACACACACCGGCCTCTCACACACCGCACACCCTGCGTTCGATTTCGTACATATCACCCACCACCGTACAGCCTCGAATCGCTGGGAAACCCGAACACCTGGTTCACTCACTCGCTTCATAAGAATCTGCCTCTCCCACTCCCACTCCCACTCCCACTCCCCCTTCCTTCGCCGAGTAGAGTGAGGTGGTGCTCAGATAATATTTGCTTTGGGTATATATTGCATTATTATTATCATCGATCATCCCAACCGCCAATCCCAATTCTAATCCTAATCCGAATATTCCCAATCCTAGGTCGGGCTGGCTAGCTGGACTAGATTAGAGACGTAGCATAGGCCTGGTAGGGTGCACTGCATTGCTTGCCCATACCTAGTATTAGGCTGCTGAGATCTTGTTTAGAAACGAGGAGAGGCCAGGGGGATCCAACCGCTACTATATTATCTGTTGTTTCCTCTCTCTCTCTCTCCCTTTTATTTTTTTTGTGTGTGTTGCCTCCCCGACTCACACATACCCTTTTTCTTGGGGGAACCTACCGGACGGACCTGGCTGGATATATATAAACAGGTTTATACCACACATACACCCGGCGTTTTATTGGAAGGGCTCTCTAGCTCTGCTTGTATTATTACGTACCCGCGATAGCCCAATACCAATTTGCCTCCTATAGTTGTGTTAACCTTACGCACTTTACTCACTTCTACCTCCAATCCAATCCAATCCAATCCAATCCACTTATTCCACCCACCCACCCAGCCGGTCCCACAATTCCCACCCAATACCGCATGCATATTATGCAAACATGTCCACCCGCCCGCCCGCCCCCCCAAACCCAAACCCGGCACTCGCTCCCCCGCCACTCCTCCGCCGCCGCCGCCGATCACCATCGCCGGCGGCCCCATCATCCACTGGCACTATTCCTCCTCCTCCTCCGGCCCTAAACACATGCACCACCACCAGCAGCAGACTCGACACATACAACATCCCACCGCAATTCCTCTACGGCGGTGGCAGCAGCAGCAGCAGCAGCACAAGATCGCCTGACGGCGTCCTGGCAAGCAACTACTCGCTGAAATCCGAGCTGGAGAAGATCCGCCTGGAGGACCACTACTTTTTACGCCCCTCCTCCACCGCCGCCGCGGATGCAGACGCAACGCTGGAGCCCGACGAGTACCCAGACCCGGAGAACATCAATCTGAGCTCGCTCATGTCGCGGATGCGGCAGATCCGCAGCAGCGGGCAGATCCAGTACCGCATCCCCAAGAAGCGGCGGCGCGCGGACGAGCCCAAGCCGAGGGCGGAGGGGGAGCTGGAGGATGACGAGCTCGAGACCGTCACCATACAGCGTCAGAAGAGGGTCAAGAAGAATCCGAGGGGCCCAAGGGGAGAGAAGGAGAAGGAGAGGGGCAAGGAGAAGGAGAAGGAGAGGGGCAAGGAGAAGGAGAGGGAGAGGGAGAGGGAGAGGGAGGAGGAGGGTCAGGGAGTGGAGGAAGAGGGAGAGGGGGGGGTTGTTGAGGCCAGCGTGTCATCCACCCATGGTGCTGGAGACGATACTGGAGTGCCATCCGCCCATGGCGTTGGATGATGAGCAGTTTGATGCTATGGAGGCGGAGATGGAGGCGGAGGGATCAGAGATGAAGCTGGTTGTTGAGTGAAATCTTGAGGATTTGTTTTTATTTCTGTTATTTTGTTGTCCTCATGCAACAATCCTCAGGAGGTAATTGTCGACATTTTCGACAGTGCCCTTCCTTTAACCAGAGTGCCGGGTTCTTTGCTATAGGTAAGGATATCTCTTTTCTTCTTCCCCACATGGTTTCCCCCATTTTTGGGGCACCAAGGCTTCGGGTTGAAACTAACTGTCTGACCCTAGGTAGTGGAGATTACTCTATTTGTCCCACAGTTTTGGTTTTCGGTTTTTTCTGCTATTTCGATTTGGCTTTTATTTTTTTTTAACTTTTTTATTTCTTTTCTCTTTCTTTTTTGGGTTTGGTTTTTGGTTTTTGGGGATTCGGGTATACATAAAGGACGGGCTGGAGTTTTACACTATGACTTATTTGGGAAGGAGGTTTGGGGGGGGGGGGGGACCGAGGGAAGGGGAAGGACGGAATGGGGTATTCATTATTTTTCTGGAGTTTCAAGGGTTGACGGTACTGTAATAATTGGCCGCTATTTGCGGACAGATGGACTTTGTTTTGTTAACTAGTTGGCCCAGTCGTTCGTCCACTCGGGCGGATGGGAACTAGATAGGTACTGTAGTGTATGTAGAAGTATACTAGGCACTGTACTCTACTCTAGAGTAGAAATATCAGCTCATGTAGTTAGGGGTTCCCAGAGACCTAACTCATGGTTCATCCCATCCCAAATATCTTTGAGACTTTTTCTCTGGGCTCTTAGCTTACCCCTGTGCAGCAGCAGCGTGATGTCTTATGTCTCACATGGCCGCCGGCCACACATCGAGCGCAGATGTTCCCGCTCTGTCAAGAGATTCTGGGATTAAGAATTGAGCTGATCAATTGTATATCAGCGCGTGGCGCGCGCGCGCGATTGGAGTAGGTACTCAAAATGCTGTTGGTGGTACTCTAGGTTATATGCACTAGTACGTAGGTACCTACATCATCTGTAGGGTCCGATCAGGGACTTGGGGGGGGGGGGGGTGATGGATGATTTGCAAGTTGCAACCCAACCTGCCTACCGCTCACCACCGGCCATGTGTAAGGTACCTGGGTCTCAGGATGCTTCTTCTTGCGTGCAGCATGTCAAAATGAGCTAGGTGTGTGGGGGAACGAGTTCCCAGCCCCCAGGTTAGCTGTTTTTTCCCCCTTCCCTACTGGAGATCGTAAGCTGCAATGAGGATATCGAGTGTACCCACAATATCAAATGATCGCTGGCCCCCACGTCGACCCTACGTCGACTCACTTCCCAACCAAATCAATGAACCATCTGAAGGGACCTAACAGAACAGAGCAGCCGCCCGCCGAGACTACTTTAATACTAGTTTGATAGTCAAAAAAAGCCAAAACAAAAACTGGGACCTGAAATTTGTTTCTGTTTCAAAAGGTGTCCCCTCCGGATCCCTTCTCGTTCAAATGACGAAAATAAAACTATCTGGACCGGAGCCAGGCCCTCACACGCGCCGCATAGGGATTCTAGAATCGACAGTTTCACGGAATGACGATATTGTGGTGGATGGCCTAGACCGTAAATGTAGAGTAGGCGCTCTGCAAAACTATGGTTGGGGCTGGGTTTGCGACATGCTGATTTGCGATGATGTTACGTGTTGTGGCCTGGCCCGTGGGTGTGGGATAGCATCAATTGGGACTCGGGAGGTATGCAGTTTCAGCTTTCTCTTTCGCTGGGAGGAGGATGCTCGTAACGGTTAGGCTGCATGAGAAGGCCAATGTTTCTAGGCTATCAGCAAACGAAAAAAGGAGAAGGACATTTGAACTCTGATAGCCTGTACGTTATGGAGAATAACTACGCATGTACTCTACTTACAAGGCACCGTAGTTACTCCATTATACTATTTGAGTGATAACGGCCACTAGACGAAATGTAGAGTGGTTATCCTGATCAGCTGTAGGCTTTCACACTATTCCCTTTTCTCTCCTATTTTACACTGTATATAAACAGGCATGTAGGCTCATTTCACATCTCGCAGTGTGTATGTGAGGAAAATCGTCTGGTATTTCTCCAACAGCCAAGAAGATGCTTCCACTGGACTGACAGTTGCAGCGGGAGAGCAATTCGGCGGCCTGTAGAGTATGTAGTCTACCCAGAGTAGTAGAGAAGTCGCAAAGATCGATCGACGCCATGCGATGCCAATGTCAACCTCCCTTCAACCACAGCAACCACAGTCTCACCACTCAACCCACAGGCCATGCTTTGGCCTTTGAGCACGCATACAATACCATAATATCAACTTTCCAGCTGGTCAGATCTAGTCCTAACTTTAACACAGCTCACCCTGATATGTATGATGCTCAATTCCCCGATCACACAGACATGTTTTTGTTCATTACGGAACCTATCTCCTACGGTTCCTTATTCGCTGGTAACTTGCTCATCTTTAACCTTGACTTTGCAGTGCCCCTCGGTCCCCTGCTTTCCATTATTTTATCTGCCCCGAGCACCGTGCATTTGTTGGGAAGAAGACATTTTTGCAGAATGAAGCTACTCATAGGCGTAAAGGAAAGAAAAGCAGCTTGCTGGTCACGCCCAACTTAATCTCCCGAACTCATGTGTGTGGTGATTCTTCAGGTCTCTTGCTGCCCATTGCAAAAACAATTTTGTCATACCAACGTGCTAATCAAGACATCGCATGGCATCCGCCGGGAATAAACCGGCCGGCATACCGGGCTGCGCCGATTACTTCCTAGTCTCTGCCAAATTCCAATGAAGCGATAGCGTTAGGATTATCAGATGTAAGGCTCTTTCCTCTTCTATCTCCTGCGCGGGTACCTACGAGTCGGAACGACGACATCCCAAGTTCTACGGCCACGGCTCGGCCCTGGACTTCAGGGATGCTGTTCTAGACTCCAGAAATGTGGTGTTCGGGTTAAACGTACATAAGTTGGTGACAGTTTTTTTTTTCAAGCAAGAAATATGCCTATCTATGAACTTGCTCAGGCCAGCGGTGAAGGATAAAGGTTATGTACTGGGCGAAGCTAAAGTCAAGATGCAGCGGTATGTGCGGTCGGTAAACAGCAGTGGGCTTGCTTTTCTAGGTCACAAAACCTCCCGCATAAAGCATGTTCTCTGAGCACTCAGATTTTCGTTTAACTAGCCATTTAGCGTGGATATCACAATGGAATTTAAAAAAGTAACACGGCCAAGAAAAGCGGGGAAATAATGACACAAAATAAATTGGTATCGTACCAAAAGCCAAGGAGTGTAACCATGGTCCATAAACAACAAGCCAAGCTTTGTTTCATGAGAGTAAACTTACTGACCGGAGTATGACAACGAGTGCAAACTTATGACCAAGCTATCAACGACACATTTCGAGAGGTTTGTGGTGCGCTCCCCACGGCCCGGCTCCGTGCAGGTTCATCCAGATAGAAACAGACTTTATTCTTTAGCCAGTGAGTGCTTTAGTCGTCAATATATAATCATATATACACGGAACGGAACAAAATGTACTCAGGAACTCACCCCACAGAACTGGATATGATTTGCATGCAAAGAGATGCATGTTACACCCACGGCATTTCCGGCAGGTCTGATTTGCGCACACCCCCGGACTAATTCTAACCGAATCGAATAGTCGGAGAAATAGTTAAAACTCAAACTACGATGCATCGGACCGCGTCTCCCTGATACCAATGCGCCGGTTCCATCAGGTACTGACAGCCCATTTACAGGCCAAGAGCTTAAAGATAATATCGACAACTGTATTTGTCCACGCCCAGAGAGACCTGCATGATGTTTTCCCTGATGTTTACATGATTTTTCAGTACTTGGGCCGGAATTCCGTCTTGGTTATTATTCTTTTCGTGAATTCGGTCGAAAGAGCTCGGTGGATTCTCCAATGTTGAGTCCGAAGCTTCTCTTTGATGTGAATAAGGATTAGCTATAAAACCAGAGACATCCAGCGTGGTTTTTCTGTTATTCCTCAAACTAGGAAGTAGTGAGCATCACGAGTAACCCGTACCTACTCGATCACCATGAGAACCACATCACTAATTTTGGGAGCGCTCGCTGCGTTCCAATCTGTTCTTGCCGCCTCGGTCAATGATGTGTGCACGGTTGGATACTGTACCCTTAACGGCGGGTAAGCTTCACATTTAACCTCTCCTTTGCATTGACCTACGGCAGCGGACTAACTAACAGAAACCTTACAGAACGAGTGGAGGGAGCGGCGGTGTTACAACCACGGTCTCCTCATTAGCTGCGCTCAAGACTGCAGTTGCGGATGATGTTGCACGGATAGTGGTAGTCACCGGTACTATCACTGGCAACGAAGCTGTGCCAGTCGGATCAAACAAATCGATTCTTGGAAGCGGCGGTGCAAGTAAGTTATATTCTAGACTCCTCAATCTCCCCACCTCCTTTTGTATTCTCCGTCGGGCGATCCATATATTAACCTCATTCTCCAGCCCTTGTTGGTGTTGGTTTGAGAGTCTTGGAAAAGAAGAATGTCATCATTCGGAACCTTAAGATCCAGAAGTGCCTGGCGCCTATCGATGGAATTGGTATTCAGCTATCGACCAACGTCTGGGTCGATCACGTTGACCTCTCTGCCGACCAGGATCACAGCAAGGTAAGCTTCAACCCGCTGCATAGTGACATATTACCCGCGAACTTCACACATTAGACTTCCCGTGTTGTCCCCATGATCATTGGCTTATCTTCACATGTTTACGTGCAGGACTACTACGACGGACTCCTCGATATCACCCACGCGGCAGATTATATCACTATCTCAAACGTCTATTTCCATGACCACTGGAAGGGATCCCTTATTGGACACAGCGACAACAACGGTGCTGAAGACATTGGCACTCTCAGGGTAACATACTACCAGTGCCATTTCCAAAACGTCTATTCTCGTGGCCCCAGTCTACGTTTCGGAACAGGTAACCAGACCATCCCCCATCTCAAATCGAAGAATTTCATTACTGAAACGTACTAGGACACGTCATCAACGGCTGGTACGAAAATATGGAAGATGCCGTGAACACCCGCCAGGGCGCTCAGATGCTCCTGGAAAACTCTGTCTGGAGCGGCATCACGAAGTGTGTGATCTCATCAGATGCGGGTTACGCCGTCCTGCGTGGATGCGATCTTGGAGGAGGCACCAATAGTGCACCGACTGGAACGCTGACTAGCGTTCCTTACTCGTACACTTTGCTGCCTGTGACATCCGTCCCTAGTGTCGTTGGGGCTAACCAAGGGGCTATCTTGACTTGGTAGAAATTTCTTCTTACCTAGGGCCTGAGGTTGGAGGTAGCTAGCTAGCTTGACATGTAGAAGTGGAAAAAAAAATTGTTGAGACATACTGCGTACTGTGTACATACATACCTATTCCTGACCGTAATCCACTCGTTGCGTGACAGGCCATGCTTGGCTGTCTGTCAAATGTGAGGAATTACACCCATGATCCATGAGCCGGGAGTGACACACGCCGAAATATTTAAACGACTAAACCAGGTGATAGAGTAGCAAAAGATATGAACGTAGAGTATTCTAACAGGTAGATAAATAATCAAAAAGATGAGTACTCATCCGATTAATTTTAGGGTAATATTTTTCGGGGGAAGATGCTTGCCAAAAAGGCCAATGACCCATAGCGACAACGTACTGCAAATCAATTAATTAATAGTTTTAGTGACCGCAGCCTGCCGATCGAGGCGAAGGGAAGTGACCCGAGATGGGAGTGTCCCGAACACGCAAGCCTGCTGCGGAGTTTGAGAACCTCTGTAACTATTGAATCCTGAAGATAATTAATTGAGATGATCTTCAAGTATTTTTAGTAAGGTTTCTTAACCTCGCTCCAGGTTACTGAAGCAACCGTGACCGCCGAGTGATACTTTATGATTCGGTACAAAAAATAGTTCTTTCCCCGTCACCTTCAGTTAATGATGATTGGGGAAGTAATACTGCAGGGTAAGCAGCAATATGGTGAGGTGGTCGGCACCTTGCAGCTGGCGGCTTCTCGATATTTTCCAGTTTAGTCAAATCAACAATCTTCACCGTTTAGGCCTATCACCTCTACCAGAATGCCGTGGCATCTCTTTTGGAGGGTTAGGTTTCATTCCACACCTCGGTCAATGTCTGGCTATTGAGTTTAGTTTGATCTGAACCGGACGCCGGCTCCTCACCTCACACAAGTTGTTGGCCGCCCGGTAAATAACAAGCATTTTTCGCGCCCAGTGGGGCCCACACGGTACTTACAAACTTCAACCCTCCTTCTCCTCCTTCACCTTGTTGATCTTTTAGGGTTACGGATTCCATCAACCGGTCGGAAGCTTTACCAGGTATGTATGTATATATATTTTTGTAGACTGGGAAAGGAGGTGTTAGGTACACATGAAATAGTGACCCAGGATAAAAGGAGCCCCCGACCGATCCTTGTGAAACGTTCCTAAGCGATATTGGGGCTTTTTCCTGAGAGAGCTTCACAAGGATAATGCCGGGCGAGCCGCCGGGTGGGTGTGAAGAGGTCTCTCTTTTTTTCTCTTCAGGTAAAAGAAACGGGCCACGATATCTCATACTTTGGGAGATTTATTCGGCTTCTCCAAGTGTCTCAGTCATCTAGAACAAGGACCTTCTGGATCTTTGACCCCCAGTTTTTGCACAGACCAAAATTCAAGAAGTGATTCTGTTACATGGGACGATGTTAATCCAACACTGCATAAAGTTAGTGGAGAAGGTTTAAAGAGACACGACTGAAATCTTCACTTACACAGCTAGGCAGACAAAACGCAGCAGCAGCAGCAGATAGGTAATTTTGCCGATAAATAGGATATTTCTTTTGATGGAATTGATTCGAGATTTGGATAGACCTTTGACTGAACCTATGGGCCGTAGAATTTAGTCAAACTGACTGTTAGTTGTGGCGTAGGTACAGGCAACTTGGCGTGTCCCACCACATCGTGGAAGAGGTTGTCGATCGGTTATAAACGCCATCTGCAAAGTCTGGAGGCCCTTTAACCTTGCAAGTCTGTAACCTGGGAACGAGTGAGGTGAGGTAGTTACCGTGATGTGTTTCCATTCCTTCTCTTTGTTACAGAGGGGAAGGGGGGGGGGGGGGGTGTTGTCAGCATGATTATTATTGGGATATCATTATTAATTAGCTATTATTGATATTGCCTGACTGAGGATGGTAGACCACTTTCCAGCGAATTGGAGTACTAAACAGAAGGTAAAGTACTCTCGAGCATTATTATTGAATGAGCAATGAGACCTTCCACTCCCCAGTTTCCCCCAACCCCCAACCCCCCAAACCCCAATTTTCGGGCCGGACCTTTTTGTCCTCGCCGTCTGGGAAGCTGGCTTAGTGCGTGTGTGTTTGCAGAAGAAGCAATTAACCCGGGGGGGGGGGACGCTGGACTCGAGGGAGGATGAGGGGTTGGAAGTGGAAGTGGAAGGGAAGGGAAGGGGAGGTGCAGTGGATGTGCGAAATTGGAATAGGCATGTTGCTCCAGTTGGTTAGTACACTGTCGAGTGAGGGTTTTACACCATCCACGTTACTTTATTCAGCATTTGACCCACCACCATTTACCACCACTACGACCACTGTAGAGTAGCGCGGTACTCTACCACCGACGCCGCGTCCGTCCTTCAACCCTAGCCATCCACCCCCCCCCCAACACTACCCACACACCCTGGTTGCTGGCTGGCCCTGTTCCAGTTCTTTTCCCAGACAAGTGAGAGAGAGACCCACTCACACGGATAGCCTTTCCCAGGCATGCCAGGTTAGACAAGGGTGTCAAGGCAGGCAGGCGACCTGCTCCCAACCTGTCCCAAGAACCAGATTTATGTATAGACCCGACTCCCGCACCCACCCTCTCCCCTTCCTAACCTTAATGCTACCGATATGCGCTGACAGTTGATATTTGTCGTTGGACCCAAGGCAAGGTCTCTGTCATTCCAGCGCGCTGGGTCTATCTTCCCTTTGTTTCGTCACACTCGTTGACGGAACATGTCCTTGAGCAATGCTGCCGTCTCGCTGGACTGTTCCGACAACATTTCCATCGCAACTACTTCAACTACTACGTCGACACCCATCGAGAAAGAGGAGGCTCCTATTGTGGCACCTCCAAAGTCACCATCACTATCACCATCACTACTACTACCACCATCACCACCATCACCACCATCACCACAACCACCACAACCACCACAACCAGAAGAAAAACAACAACCTATTCTCGACTCAGCAAAACCCCTTTCTTCTCCAGAACACCCTGATAAGCAAACAGAACAAGGGCAAGAACAAGAGGATAACGGGGGACAGAAAGGAAAACAGGCGGAACAAGCGGAGCATCATGAAACTAATTCAACTAAATACTCAGGCGCTACTGAGTCTCCCCTTGAGGCATTCAAACCTAAAGAACAAGTCATAAGCTTCGACTTCGAGGATACCCCACTTATTGCGGACGACGAGGTGGATGATGAAGAGAGCGAGTATGATCTATCGAAAACTTTGGAGGAGGAAATGGCACAAATGTCTAAAATTCGTGGACGGGACCGAGAAACAATGCCGGGCGCTAAACGCGTTTTGAAGAGAGTACGTGTACGGAAAGACACGTCATCATCTAAGCGGCGAACGAAGAAGCACAACCTCCGTGCAACGATGAATTCGGCCGTCATTGCGGAGAAGTTGGCGGCGGAAAGGGGTGAAAGGAGTGGAGGAAAGGAGCCATTAAGGAGTGGAGGAAAGGAGCCATCAAGGAGGGAGAAGAAGAAGGAACGTTTGGCGGCTGTGGTGGAGTGGAAGCCGATTGTTGAACCGGTCTCGAAGCCGCGAGCACGGCCTAGTGGGCTGAGGTTCAGCATGAATTGTTATTCCGACCCGGAGGATGATGATGATGATGAAGGGCAAGGGTCAGAGCAAACTGGCCACAAGAGGAAGAGGGAGGATCAGGATTTGGGCGACGAGGACGACGAGGACGAGTCTCTGGGTGGGTCTGCAGACATATCTGAAGTCCCAGAAAAACGACAACACCAAAGTCACCCTGAATCTAGTACTGAGACGGGTACTTTGCCGAATCCACCATGTGTCGCTACTACTTGAGTATGCATTTTCAACCATATTTGAAGCGGTTTTTGATTTTTGGTTGTTGACTAACATAACCTTTGTCTTTGTCAGATTTTTATTTCATTTTTTCCTTTACAGTACATTAACTTTCTTGCTTTTGGGCGTTCTACGTATCATTCATATTTTCTTGAGACTTTCTTTCTTCTGGACCATACACATCAGCCATGATGCTCGAGTATACTTACCCACCCCTTTCTGGCCCCAACCGAAACCGAAACCGGACCCGGAGTCGATATTCCCAAGGGCTACAGGTATCACCATCACTTACTCTTTACCCACCCCCCTTTTACACATCTGTATCTTTCATTATTACATTCATTTCGCGCGGAGAATGCGGCAGGAACCGGGGCAAATGGTCCATATTCGAACCCTTTTTTTATCACCTGTTGATAAAAGGAAAGACATTAATCTATATATGCGGTCTATCGTTTCAACAACTCAACTTTCTTACAGGAATATATATATATATCTACCGCGTTTTTACTGTTTATTTTCTTCTTCTTTCCTTCTTCCATGTTAGGATACTTTGCGCTGCATTTTTGGTGGCCTTTTTTCGCCCCACCCTTTTCCTGGGAATTTCTGAGCGTTTTTTTCTTTCCCTCTTTTTTTTTTTTTTTTTTTTTTTTTTACATATTTGGGACGGGGAGTTTTTGTTTGGTTTTTCTGGGAGGTCTTTTTCACATATAAAAGGGGAGTACGAAGGAGTTTATTTTTGTTCGGTTTTTTCTTTTTTGGTTACATGTTAGCACGTTGCGAACAGCACATTTGAGCCATAGTTGATATGATCAAAAAGCAAAGAGGAAGAAGAGATAATTCCTATTAATTCCAGCGAGGGGGTCAAATTCAACATCCCTAACTCAACGGGTGGGGGGGATAATCAATTGATCTGCGCCTCAAAATCCCCATTGTGACTCTGCTGAGAAAATATGCCAAACCCTAGCTATGGTGCGCGGTGAGAAGGGATGCTGCAAAGGATCACTTCGACTCCTCGACGTAATTGAACAAAGGATTGAAAGGGGGGAAACCCCATGCTATTACTAATATCGATCACGGAGTTAGTAGATCCCGGCATGTTGTCCCTCTTCCCCCAGATCTATCTATGGCTTGCTTAACTTGCGTTTGGCCCTGGACACACCTCGCCCCACTTCAGCGTACTAGGTTGTATACACTTGTTTACGGTGTACCGTTGTACCGTTGTAGTCTCTGTTACAGGCAACGTTAGGTTGTACCAAACTCGTAGCCCCTGACAATATCTGCGAATACTCATGGTGATACGGGATTCACCGATCGCAGCCGCCGTAATTCAGAGAAATACTTGATATTCCGCACGCTTGACAGAGCGACAACGTATGAAACATGGACAAAGAGTGTATAGAATAGATCAGTAGAGGTTTTTCTGTAGCTAAGGACCCGATACTAAGGGAGAGTGGTAAGCGCAGTAATTCGGATAGGAATCGTGGCCAAATAAATATATGACCCAGTTACCAGAGCGCTGGAGGGGGCGTGGCCGTCCAGTATACGGCACGACATATGATAGTCCACCGAGATGACTACTTTTAGTTAGTTTGAATACTGACAGCATTTTGACTGCCTCTTTGCCGAAATTTGAACTCATTGAACTATCTCCCCACGTACGATGGGGCGTATTCAAATACAGTTAACTAGTATCTAGTTAAGTTAGCTAGGCCAAGCCCGCAAAATTACGGCCGTGCCCAAAGGAAAATCTGACAAGCTATGTAGCGAGCGTTTTTTGCCGAGCACAGATCTAGAGGGGGGAGGTAATTGATACGAGAAAAAGAGGCGGTGGTTCGGTGCGTAGAGTCTTGGGAATGTTTGTGCGTTATATAAAAGTAGTCGAAGGCTTCTCGTTTTTTCAAAACCGACCCAATGGAAGAGGCGAGCTAGTGATGTAACTAGGGTAAAAGTATTGCGAAAACTGATTCAGTGACCTCTCAGTTAATAAGCTGATATTCTCTGATTACAGCGGTACTATAGAACCCGCTCTCCTGCCCCCCCCCCCCCCATGCAAAAAGAGATGGATGTAAGATAAGCATTCCGCTGTCTCATATCAATAGTGAGGTTCTGGGGTTCAATTCTGTTTGAAATCTTGTGCCTTTTTGGAATTTGCATCCAATGTCGATTCAAAAACCATTGCGTCGATAATGCCTATGCCTGCGTAGAATATATGCAGATGTATTTAACTAGGGTATTTGGGTTCTAGGAAAAGAGTTATTCTTCCCGTCTAAAACACTGAAGATCTGGGTGACCGTTAACCCGTTTTCCTTTGTTTTACATTAATCTGGATAAAAAACAGGCTTTAACTCGGGGGCGGTACCTCAAACAAGTAACGGCATGTGAGTCATTCCTGGGCCTACACGTGAAGGGAAATTGCAGGTTTGCACACGAAATATCTTCGTAGCGGAGCGACCAGTCGAGGAGTCCATGTGATCTAGCCCGGTATTAGTACAAATCTGCAAATATTTGCCTGTGCCGTCATGATATCCAAGTGACGAGAGATATGTCATACTGCTTTTGGTGTGGTTTGATGTCAATTAGTCGATTTCTTGTACCTCTAATAGTCGATCTCGGTGGTTGGGTAGTCACAAGACCTGGAGGCAGACGAAAGTATTATGAAGTGATTCACGAGATATCACTCGATTGTAATTTCCGGGTCACACGGCCACACACCCCGTTTTCCGATTTTCTGCGCCCAGAACAGTTAATATACCACCCCTATAGCCTAAACATAAAGTACCTCTTCTCTCTTTATGTACTAGTTCAAAACATTGGCGAAAGAATTCGAGATATGAAAAAAAGTCTCGGAAGCCATTGGGATGTGAATTAGGGCCCGTTCAGCAACAGTCCAAGACTGCGTTTACAGGGATGAAACCTTTGTTTCAACGACCTGTTTGTTAGGCATTGACCTTTGAAAACTCCGTTTCGTCTTGTTTCTAAATGGGCTTTTAGATAAATTAGGAAAGAATTAGCGGTCGGCTGAATGGCTCCAATAATTTGAGATAGATGCATACATACGTCTTTTATTGAATACCGATGACGATAAGAAGGTGATAAAACGAGCCGAGAAATTAAGTTGAGATGACGTTTCTGGAACAGCGGCAACAACGACGTTCAGTTAGACATTAATGCATTACGTATATATAATACGGTACGGTATATACGTAAGCGTTGATATACATGTACTTCAGGGATAAGTGAGAAGACACCACGATGCCAAGATTGCGTGAAGGGTGTCTTCTCACTTACCCCTACCCCCGAAGTACATGTAGTTTCCTAAACCTACTTTTCTCACCAGCTTTGACGTCTAAAACTTATCTGCCAAATTCTACTCAGACTAAAGAGAACTACACGAAACTTAATTAATCAGGAACACTTTTTCTTATATATATTCATATCAGCTAGTGAAAATTCCAACAAGCAGCACTACCTACGTTAAGAAATGATCAATTGAGTGTTGATCCACACTCCAGGGGAAAAAGTACAGGTTAAGGTTTGTTCACATTCCGAAAGAAGGGTTTAACGATATGAATCTTGTTAACCAAATTTATAAAATTGACCAATGCCAGGGCCCGTAGGGTCATTGTCATTCTGCGACGCCGCTGCTATGCAGCTCAATATCCAAGGCGGTAACTAGCCTCTTCGGTCGGTGCCCTTTAGAAAAGGGAAGCGGAATTATTGCACCCGGTTTATTACTACTCTACGATTCCGACTTCTACTGGTCCAACCACATTACCGACTGCAGGGAACCCAACACACTGGCCTGTCCGTAATCCCTGTGCAAATCCTGTCTCGATCAATTTTCCCACTACCATGTGAGAAATGATCGGTAAATACCAAACAACCATGCAAAAAGATTTGATCGATGGTATGTAGTTCGTTGGCCAAGCGGGGTATGTAGGCGAACACGCGAACACGCGAACAACGCACTGTGACGCACGCACGCAAGCAGGGAGGGAAACAGCAGGGACAACAAAACAATTCATATGGTAGCGGATTGAAATTAGAGTAGAGTTAAACACTGGTATCGTAGCTATACACTTCCAGTGCGGGGTACCTGAGGAACAACAAGCAACGACCCCTTATCTACCTTATCAACCTAGCTACATAACTCGTCCTCAACTCCAAGTCTTTCACCAATAACTCAATTCATGATGTGTTCTGCCCTCCAGAGCTTCCTGCAAAAGTACACTTCCGGGAAGATCCTCGTAGGACTGACAGCATGGGATTACCCATCTGGACTACTTGCGGAGAGATCAGGCGGGATTGATATCGTCCTTGTGGCGGACTCTCTAGGAAAGGTTATACTAGGGCTCCAGGGGTCGATATCATTGACTTTAGATGTAGGTGTCCCTGAGAAAGGCCGCAGGCAGAGGAGGGAATTAACAACGATGCGGTAGGAAATGATACATCATACGAAAGCTGTAGCAAGAGCCGTTAAAACACCCTTACTTATTGCGGATTTACCGATGGGATGCTATGAAGTCACGCCAGAACAAGGTACGATTTATTTCCTAGTGGAATACCTGAGGACTAAACTGGCAGGCTGACAAGAACAAACGTATGCACAGCGCTACAATCCGCAATCCGCATGATCAAAGAATGCCCCGGCGTCACAGGTGTAAAGATCGAAGGAACACAAGACCTGTGCCCGGCGGTCCGGAAGATTACCTCCGCAGGGATCCCGGTATTTGTGCAAGTGGGTTTGACGCCGCAGCGGAGCATACAAGTCGAAAGCAATCAAACGGGAGTTGGTAGGACCGCTGCGAGCGTTAGTTATATACACTCATGGGTTCATGGTACTAGAAAGACAGAATTGGAATTGAACTGATAAGATCCAGGCGGGCGAGATAATAGACGCAGCCATCGCACTAGAGAAGGCTGGTGCCGTTGGCCTCTTCCTTACAGCGCTCTCGGAGCAGGCGGCAAAATACGTTTCGGAGCACGTTAACATCCCAACCATCGGCATTGGGTACCCCTTCCCCGTCTCCACCATCCCCTATACCGTCAACTGACTGAAACAGCTCCGGAAGTGCCTGTAGTGGTCAAATTGTCTTACAGTCCGAAATGCTGGGATATCAGGATCCATGGGTGCCCCAATGGCACAGCCAGTACGAGTCAATTGGCGCAAAGTCCCTCACGGCGATTAGAAACTATGTTAGAGAGGTCGGGGATTGCGTATTTCCTGGGGAAGAACTGGTACAACTTTCGTTTCTGCCTCCGGATAGACAATATTGAATTTTTTCTGTGTGAGTAAGACGGGAGCTAGAGCTATGATGGGCTGACGCCATTATGGGATAGACTATTCCGATGCAAGATGGGCAGGATTTGATGTAGTACCAGCAGTCCTAGGCGGGGGGGGAACAGTGGGATACAGGATAGAAATTTGGGTTTTTTTTTTCAGTTTCTTTTTTTGTCTCTTGCATCGGGGGGCTTTTTTTCTTGTTTATTGGCATTTAAAGGAAAGGTAACCATATTATACTTATAAAGCTAGAAAGAAACCCCGAAAGAGTGACCATACATGTTATGACCATGATTACAACAATTAAAGCACTTCTTCCAGATGATGGTTCCAAATATTTGGCTTTGACCTTACTTTTAAATATTTACTGACAATAATATGCTTTTTGCACTATATTTCTAATTTACATTCAATCTTGAAATTGACCCAATGAAAGAGGGTGTGTACTGAATATTTAGAATAATGGTAGTACTGGCGATCTTATGGCGCAGTGGGTAATTTTTTTAATGTGCTAAAAGTCATACCTTAAGATTCCAGGGGACGATCAATGACGCACACCTAGTGCATATGCACTGTGAGGGGCACTAGAGTATTCACGAAACTTTGAAGGCACGTGTCATAAAACACTAAATATATACCGACACTCTCCTCCCTGATCCTACACATCGTCTTGTCAGTTCAAGCTTATCCAAGTGTCACTCTATACCACCTGCATCGAAATAACTGCCATAATTTTGTATCTTTCTCTAGCCCCCCGCCTTGTGGGTATAAGAGCTGTGCCACGCCCACTTTAGATAAGTTTATCTTGATTTTCATCTTATATTGTTTCGATTTCTTCTTAACTTTAGTTTATTTTTTTTATTCAGAAAAGAAAGAAAAACTCTATAAGTCGAAAGTGGAATCGATTTTCGGGAATGCCAGCCATCAAAACCGATATATCTCTATGGCATACTTGCCTACAATGAACTTACTATAAACTCGACTTGAAACATGTGGCGCTTCCACAAGACCAATATTTTTTTACAATTTTAGGTTATTACTCCAGTCTACTGGAATAAATTTTAATTTCAATGCATATGGTGCATGACACGTAAATCGTTCAAATATCATACCCATCCCATACGTGTACGGATATGTACATGTAGGTATCTCTTTATCGTGGTCTTACTTATTAACACCCTTTTCCGTATTCTCTCTACTCCGAAATTAGCCCAGGTCTCGGAAATTGTCTAAAACAAATGTATAGGAGTTTACATACTATGGCCATAGCTCGCAGCCTAGGCCAGGTGTACTGAGAATATAGGTGTGAAGTGAATCGGTCGAGCAGTGCCTGAATGCTGTAGTAAGGTCTATGACGCCGTGTATGCACTTACAGATTATAACTGATAACTGTGATAGAATCGAATACCTTAAGTCTAGTAGTTTATAGGCTTGCATACGAAAGGCAAGCTCCGAAATATGCCCCGAAATATGCTCCAAAAAGCTATCGAGTGATGTATTGTGACGCTGCATACTACACCCCTCAAAGTTGTCTCATATGACCCCTGGCGACTCTCAGACGCCAGCAGAGAGCTTGAAGACACGAATACATACATGAGCTGCACTGCGCTTGAGATGGCAAATGATCAGTCGTTCGTTTGCGCATACACAAATCGCGGGGATGGCCCCTGTTAGACAATAGGAGTGGGCACTCACGGGGTTTTCTGGGTGTCCTATAGGCCATAGGAACCGAGATTTGTGATAAGCCCGTGCGAGGTCCCAAATACTATCAGACCAGCGGGGAACTCTGCTGTGAAAATTTTCAGTAATCACAAAACTTGTCTCAGCCTCTAGCCCAGAACCGATATCATGGTTTTCTTACAACGCTTAAGCATCGACAAGCTTTACTTTTCATTCGCACGCCTATGAGCTAATTTTTCAATCCCATGACCCGATAGCCACCAAGGTGCGGGAGCTACATTTTATTCTTCTCAAAAGCCATCATCCTCTTTTCAATCCACTGCTCCCTGACCTCCTCTGTCCAATCCTCCAGGTCGCCCGGGAAACCTTCATCATCTTTGCGACCACTCTCAAGCCATTTAACAAACTTACGATCAATTCCATGCCAGATATCCTCTAACCCAGTCTCAGGATTGAGGCCACCCTTAAAAGTTACATGATGCGCAAATTGAATTTTTCCCCTTCTTGGGGTCGGGAAATAGAACGCAAGAACCAGGGGGAGCCATTCACGAGATTCTTCCCACATATTCTGGAACGGGATCGCAGGAGAATCGGACGAGTCGTGAGTGGTTGAGGGCGGTGCAAACCACACTGGGCGCATCTCTTCGGTCCTACATTTTTCACTTTTGTCAGAGCCTTTGATCGAATTAAATTGCAGAGATGCATGGAGATTCTCACTCCATTGGCTCGCCAGCCCATTCAGTTGCAGTGAAAACATGTATCTCTAGGATCGGAGCTTTAGAATCTGCGGTAGATTCCAGGAACAGGATGCCATGATAGGGTAGATTCTTGGCCTTGATACAGGCCTCTTCCTAATTATCCACAAAAGGATCCAGTTAAATACAGCTCCCCGCTTGTTAGAGAGTTTCAAACCTCAAGCTCGCGGATTGCCCCTTCGGCGATAGTTTCGCCAGGTTCTACCTTCCCACCGAAACCGTTATCTAGAAAAATTACATCAACAGATGTCAGAGGAGATAAAAACAAATAAAAAAGAGAATGTACGACAAGTAGTGCGATTGGAAACACTTCTAGATCGAAAAAAAAGGGGGGGGGGGGGGCTGGAAAGCGCAAACCTACATTTCCCTTCTCCAAAACCACGCTTCTTGTATCCTAACAAGACGCGCTGGCTATCTACAGGAACGATGAGGGTGTAGAGTTTCCGTGTAGCAGTATATGATGCCATATTCCAGTAGTTGTTTGGATGATTGTGGGATGACAGGAATAGGAAATGGATTTTTACCTAGCTGGAAGCGGAATAAGGTTTTTCCTCCTTAAGGAAATACCTAACCCTGGACCCTGAAGAAATAAATGTCAAGAGCAACCAACTGCCACAACACACATGTGCATGCTGGCAGCTGGCCACAAGCACGAAAAGCAGAGGAGTATGTACCTATATCATCTGTAGGTACTAGGTATTTACATGCCTACTCTACCATAAGGTTGGCGCGTGTGGGAGCTTAAGGAAAAAGGGAGTCCGCACCCATCCCATCGCAGAACACATCTTGTCTTAGGCTTCTCTAGCTGGCGGACCGAGCACGCGCGGGGAATTCGCTCAATTTGTTTTTTTTCCTCTTTCAGATGGGCTCAACAATAATTTTCCTATCCTTTCTCAGGGCTAATAATTTTCTCGGGGGGGTATGTAGCAGCCAGCTTGATTGCTAGAAGAGAAGGGGGGGCAATAAACTGGTCACCATGATCAGACCGCTTTGACATAGTCCTCAAGCGCCCTCAAGTTGGTTTTTTATACTGTACCCCTGTTTCCAACAGGAAATTCCATTATCGACGTCACATCAGCAGGTACATAGACCGTTTGGAATTACTATGAATATTTTAACTCCCGCCGGTGGCGGCGATGCCTAGCTATGTATGTAGCTATACGGCAGTTGCAAAAAAGACAGAAAAAAAGTAAGGAAAGAAAGAAAGAAAATTTGGCAAACTTTACCTATCACAATCTGGAGGCTCAATTGGATGGATTTCTTTCTGACCATTAAGAGAGTTGGTTAGCTATGTTATTATCAAATCCGTTGAATACAGAGTTGGCTCTTATGATCTTCCCAACCCATATGGGAACCGAAGATCAGGCGCTCCCTTCCCGTCCGTAATCTTCTTGGTTTTTTTTCCTATTCAAATCACGAGCAGGCCAGCACACAGCAATAGACCTAAAAGGACCTCTTTTGCACATCTACTCTGTTTCAAAAAAAAAAAATCCCGAGAACGAATAATTTCTCGTATGCCGGGGAGGTTCAGATCACAAGATTAATTTCGAAAATGTCTTATGATTTGGCTGCAAAAAATGAGATGCGTAGCTTCCTCGGAGAGAGGAGTTACTACAACTGAGAGGAAGTTGATCGTGACTATGGACACGTACATAGTTACGTGTGGGTGTGTGTGGGTGTGTGTTGGGGGCCTACAGTAGATCGACACAAGAGAGATGAAAGACTTATTCCGAGTCATTTAGTAGCAGATGTAGGGCCAGTAAGACTTCTGTGCCCGAGTTGGGGTCGCCGTTATCACTATACGATATGGATTTGAATCTTGCTCAATTTATCGACGACGGGTTATTGAAAGGTTCCTACCTCTCCCTCCCTGCTCTCTAATCCCCAAATTCGGTTTCAAGTTTAGAATTTTGTGCTGATCACTTGAGAGTTTTACGATAGAGGCTACTAATATCTAGATGTGAACCCCCCGTCAACCTATTGGAGGGTGGGGTAGCCCGCAGTATCATCAAGCTGGGGATGGGTGTAGCTAGGAGGAGTGAGGCAGGGTGCACCATACAGAGAGCAGAGTACCTACCTTGGTCATCACCTCACCTCACAAACCCTGGCCCAACCATCGTAGATCAATCGACACTCGGTTCCAACGAACAAAGCGTCGGGCTGTGTGAGTGAAGTCGAAAAGTAGTTCTGACTGCGCGGTAGGGAATCAGGTGATTGGGTGCGACAGTTTCAGCATCGCCTGAAGAGCAATGACCTCTGTATGATCCGTGCGCGCACACACCACAGGAGAATTGATGAGGGAGTGAGAGAGCAGGTTAAACTTGGCGATTTTATCGCTTAACGATAGCGTAGTTACCGATTGTTGGACTGGCTACCTATGTAGTCTGAGACGACATTCTGGTACACTCCCGCACGAGACGAATTAATTGCTTTCTCCGCATTGGACCAGTTTCTCAAAAGAAACTCCTGAATTTAGATCACTGGTGACCCAAGAATCATAAACTGTTTAGTTACCGGTACGACTATGTAACTTATCCAGTAGCAGACATCACAGTACCCGCCCCCCCCCCCCCCCCCAAGCCAGAAGAGTCTGAGGCGGACTATATTTTTTTCAAGTTCCGTCGCCCCGCTGCTGTGATTGCACATTTTACGATAAAGAAATTTGAAGTTTCGAGGGACTGGAAAAATTAGAAATGAAGGGTTAAAGTAGAGGGCGAGGTTTCGAGGGTCCCCGGAAAGGATAGCCTTGGGTTCCAGGTGCCTATTAATGACGATCATTGCTTTATTTAGATGATATCGACAGCTGGCAGTCATTTAGTGTTATGTCACGGCCTTATCAGAGACCGACATACTGAGAAACCCCACCGCAGTGTGACCAGGACATGCGTGGGGAGTTATGAGGGAAGGGCGACTGGGACTGAAGTTCACGAGGGATCAGAAGGCCGGAATGAAGCTTGAGTCATGAGGACCCCCAGTTTAACGAAAAGAGGCATAGATCAGCAGAGAAGTGATATTGACAGGGCTTCAAACGCTGGCGAAGATAAATTCGAAAGAAGGAATGCCTACTTTAGAAACATTTGGATACGTAACGGCAGCGTGTTTGGAGTTTCGACAATCGATGAGTGTAGCCTGTAGCTAAGGTGGCCTGATTTCTGCGGTTTTGCTCTCCTTTGATCTTCAAGTGTGTTTCTCTCTCTCCCTTCATGAGCACAATATGTCTCTCGTATGCGTGATGATCGGCAGCCTTCGGTAATAGTCACAGTTACTCCCTCCTCCGCTGGATGTATTTTGGGCGTTGTAGAGTAGCTTCATGCGTGGATCTGAGCTTGGAGCCCCCCCCCGACTATGACGCCCCTGTTCCCCCTCACTGCACGCCCTCGAAACGAGAGCGGCACGCAGCTGAAATATCCGGGAACAAGTCCATCAATTGGCTGCAGGGAAGGTTGGCTGAATCGCTTAAGAGGCTCAGCAAGCAGTTCCAGGGATCAGATCCTCACCTATCCGTTATTTTCTGTCCATACAGACAACAGATATTACTTACTTAACTGTTTACTTACATGCTCCCCATGTCTCTTTCCTAGTATTCAAGGCAAGTCACACGTCGTCATCACAGAGACATAATAACGATACATACTAATAGTTATCGCTGGTTGATGGACAGAAAACGTCCCGTTGCTCAGACATCACTCACTACTCTACATGTGCCCTTCTACATCCACACATGTATGTAGCTATAGGCAGCTATAGAGGATGTGTGATTATGCCATCCCGTTTTCTTCCGGGGAAAAAAGGGAATAAGAAACCCCATTACGGCCCCCATCTCTGTATTTACGCTGAGTACACTACCGTGATCTGGGTCAGGCAGTCAGTCAGTGCCCCAGGCAAAGCTGAAACCCAAGATCAAGTTCATATTGGCCGATCTCAGGGTTTCTCTCCCCTCACATTTTTGTATCTTCCACCCCCCCCCCCCCCGGTCTACCCGCTCGCTCTGACAGTGACAATTGTCACCCGGGAGATCACTTCCCCCTGAAGAAATTTGCGTTGCTAAAAAAATATTTCAAAGCCCACATTCCGACTAATTTTTGACGACGAATACGCCTACTACTTAAATTGTACTCCTACAAGGCTTATTCGACCATTGCGCACAACGTCTCTGGACCAGTGGGTTCAAGTGGTTAAGGGAAGAATACATAGTCTCCCGGGGAACCCGACCCGAACAGCCTTAAAAGTGGATCCACTTAGATTGCACCTCAGATAGCGATCACAGTGCATGCGCTGGTCCAAGCGTCTAATCCCGCGATATAAGACAATACTCGTCTCCTCTTACTTTACCTTCACACTCCCAACTAAAATACAGCCAGGAAAGCAAACTATCCATTTTTCCATTACCATCTTCTTTTTTTCCTCTCGCAATGCCTCCATCAACCTCCAATTCTTCATCATCAGCACCTCGCCGACGCTCTTCGCGTCCCACAACTGCTCGCCGGGCATCCGCTGCTGCTGCAATAGGCACCAAAGCGTCTGCATCATCAGCATCATCTTCTCCTTTCGATGATTTCCATTCCTACGCGCCATCAGCTGGCTACTTTTTCTCTACAACCCCACTACAAATCAAAAGAACAGTAAACATAACAGTCGAGATATCCTCCGGGACTGCAACGGCAAGTCACATGGACGTATCACAATACCACATGCCAGTTACTACTTCCTGCTACTCACCATCGTCTGGTGACGTTTTGTACGAATACTCCACAAATACATCGGAGTATGAAACTGCGACTGAATATGGGGCATATCCGTTTTCGTCATCCTCAACGGCCACCTCATCAAGTTACTCCTACGAACCATCAGCTCAAAGGAGTAGCACCGATGAGTCAGAATTTCCTTGTGAACCACCATCATCATACTCAAAATACAAACCACAATACGGTCAGTTCTCGTCCATTTTGGTCACGCCTAATCAGTTAAATAATAATACTGATATAAAATCCCGTGCCTTTAAAAGAGAGCAAGACACCTCCACCAGCAGCACCAAAACAAGCTTATCAGACATCCAGTCGTCGGCAAAGATAGCTACGGGCATGTTAGAGCAATTCTTAGCTGTGGACTCCCGGGAGGATGCGCTGGTCGTAGAAGCAAGAGTTGCGATTTCAGAGAGAAGAGTCAATGATCTAAGGAGTAATCTCATGTACGGGTGGGAATCGATAATTGACGATTTGTTACAATAATAATCTCTTTATTAAAAAAATATCCTTTTTACTTTCACTTTCGTTCCTATATCTCTTTTGTCTCGGATCTCGGATTTCTGGCATGAGGAGGCTATTTTTTAGGGGGCAATGCGTGTAAAATCTGGTTGGGGCGGGCGCACTGATCTTTCTTCTCCTTTTTTTTTTCGTGAGGCAATGGTTTTTTTCTTCTTTTCCTTTCCACTTTCGTTCTCAGTACATAATTTCCTAGGATCGATCGGATGTACATTTATTTTACCTTCTTCAAGTAACCCGTGTATGATGACTCCTAGCACGATATATCATATTTCATGACCGCATCACAGTCCATCACTCGATTGAACGCAAAAAAAAAATGTTGCAACATAGATCTTCAGACCTGTCATATGTATAAACAACCCCTGCCTTGCTAAATGCTTGGTCGATCTGTGCTTCGTGGCACAGACCCCACTTTATCTCATGGTCAGCCGCCTGTGAGGATTCCCACAAGGGCATAGCTATGCTATGTTTGACTTGATAGTTGAGACGTAATGTCATGTAGAATAACCGGGGATACTCTATTGGATATCTATGTATATGGTGATGACGGAATAGGATGTTTACCGTGACCTAGGTTATAACGCAACTCTAGCAGCGAGTATCGCATTTCTCATGAAGAGCTCCGATTGGCCCTGGCTAAGATATTGACTCTTGTGTGCCGGTGTATGTCTGGCTATTACAAAAGTTAAGTTGGCGAGAACCATATCAAGACAGTTGCAGATCATATATCATGCTGGATAGCTGAAGCCTGGACTTCAGGTTTTCGCGCAAGTTTGTGGGTATGGTTACGTTACGTGTCCTGCCTACACCTCAGAATAATTCGCCGCGGCGAGTTCCAGTATAATGATAGAGCCGACCCAGGCTCAACCCCAAGTTAAGTTGCGCGCACTGTACTATGCTGTAAGATCACTAAATATAAACACCTCCGCTGGCCCGCGCGGGGATTTCATATCCGTTATGGGAGGTGAGGGGGAAAACTGAGAATATCAGAATGGTGATATGATATTGTTGGCAGTGACGTGCTGCGCTGGTCTGTGATTTGATTAGGATCGTGATGATGCCTCATAATTTCTCACAAATACATACATGTGACAGGTGGGGAAATACCTATACTTTTTTGGATTTGTAAGTCGGAGTGGTAATAAAATAGCGGACTTTTTTACTAAAGTTAGAGTCGATATGCTCATAAGGCAAACATTGATCTGTATCTAAATAGTGCACTCCTTAACCTGCACCAATGTTTCCCTGCCTCATTTTGGTGACCACCCAAAACCAGCCCTATGTGAGGGTAACGTTACATACTGCAGTAAGTCTATCGTGCGTTGTCAATACCTACTGCAAATGCTGTGCCCCCCACTCCGCGAAATATTTATTTGGGTTACAAAGCAAGCCGGCCTGCCGTGTGCTGGCTTTATGTTTTTATTGTGATTTGAGTCAGCCTTGCTTGGCAGTGACTGTTTCCTGGGGACCGGAGATCGAAAACCGCCTGTTATTTTTTGTGTTCTTGTGTGTCGTCGTTTAGGACTTGTGGTTTTCAATCATGGTAACCAAATCTCAGCCCTATACATATGGGAACGGGTGCGGCGTGCACGGTCCATGATCCCTGCCATTTGTTTCGCCGCGCCCCATTCCGAAAGGATATAAATACATCAACCCAGTGTCCTAGTGGTTTTCGCCAAAAGAAGGATAAATTAAGCCCTTGTCTGGTGATCATCGTTATCCGGCCTGCCTATCGTTTGCCCATTTGCTAATTATAAGCTTGGGGGCTCTAAATTTGTTGCTACTTGGCTTAGAGTCATAGGTTCGAACCAATTGTGGTGATATGTGTTGAAAACTCCGAACCTCGGGCGCTGCTGCAGGAATGGGGCGTGTGTACTTACACTCTATAGATCTTCAAGCACCACAAGTTCGTGGATTTCAAGAAACCTGAATTCTGGACCCTGAGAGTAGATGGTCTACCTAGTTGACGAGGCAAATCTGTTGTGCTTTGTGCTACAAATCTCATCTTGCTTGCCCGGTCCCATTGGTCACGCCGGTCCGATGTGATTGAGTGAAAACAAGTAACAGTAAACGATACTGAGGTCTGAGTTCGTAGCCAGCCCGTAATGTGGGATCTGTCTGTAGCGAGTTCAGCAGCCAGAATAGGAAACCGGCCCGAGTGGTGCCCGATTTCTTGTGGTATCTGAAATCGCGATCTGCTATCCCACGATCCTGGGAAGAGGGCTTGCATCACATTTTGATGTGACTGTGTGGTGCATGAGTTTGGTTCCGAGCTGTTTTGTTTGTGGGGATGGGGGGAGGTTTCGGCGTCTTGTTTGGGACACTCGAAACGCGTGCACGTCCGTTTTCTGAAACCAATTCACCATCCATCCCCAGACAAAACGACGCAGTCAGTGACACATCAGAATGTGCACACCTGAGCGATTCTCGCCAAACATCTCAGGAGGGCCTATGGATGGATCAGTGTAATCCCGTCTCGGCTGTTAATACCAGCACTGGTAGTGGTGATGTGATGATGATGGTGATGGGGTGTGGGCCAGGGCAGAAAAATGCGGGGAGCCGCACCCCGCGCTGCAGCAGCAAGCCCACATCAATTTAAAATGCCCCACCACATAGGCCAGTAAGCGATGCAGATCAGCGAAGTCATCCACCCACCCCACAGCCACATCACACCATTTACACAAGCCACACCACATAAGGCAAATGATCCAGGTCTGTCTGCGGTCTCCTCTCTTTCCTCCTCACGCGCTGTGCTGGGACGACCCACTCTTGAGCACTCTCACCGTACCCCCACGTCACGTCTTTTCTGAATATTTGTTACTTTGAGGCTCTGCTGCTCTGCTGCGATACCTACATGTACTGATACATGTTCTTTATCTAGCTGTACCGACAAAAACTGACTGGACTGGACTGGCCGAGCTCATACTTCCTGGTACAAAGCGGGCCGTAGCTTATATACCTTACCTAGCTCTTAGTAACCTTCCTTACCCGGGTCCAGCAATCAGCCCATCACACACAAGCACAGACGCAGACGCCGACGCCGACGCTCACACACACACGCACACACACCCCTCCGTTATCTGAAGGTTCGGCCCCTCCCACCCCTCAAAGTAATACCTGTCATCCGGCTTCCCGAGCCCCCGGCTTCCTCCCTCTTCCCTCCCCGAAATCCCTCTCTTCTCCCCGAAGTTCCTCTCTTGAATCCCTTCCCCCCCCCCCCCCCCCCGCCCCCCCAAAATCCTTCCTTTATTCGGCCCGTCACTCTTTGTGCGCACTTTTTAAGCCTCATCCATATTTCAATCCCTGAATCAGCTGCTGCGTTGCATTCTATTACCCTTTGTTATTACTATATCGTTACCCCTCGTAAATACTTACCTCATCTTTGTCCGTAGCAGAATTTTTTTATTAAAATACAAGCCTCATTTATACATGTCTCTACAGCCCAACATACCCTTCACGCCTGTGCAGAATCGAGAGCAAGCGATGAACAGCATCTTTGCATCCGCCGGAGCAAACTCCTCGAATCTATCCTTCTCTACGCCTCCGATGCAGAAGAGTAGCAGCAACCTTCATGGACGCAAGCGGTTCGTGGACGGCGGCAGCGCCGACGATGGGGCCAGTAATGGTGCTGGGGGACCGTATAGGTCGGTGGCGTATAGGACTGAAGGTTTGTGCAAGTTTTCGGGTGATTTATTTCTCTCGATGTCAATGGTGGCGGCGGGGGGCAGTGTTGTGAGAATGTTTCGTAAAGAAAGGCTAGAGTCGTTGCTGGTTGCTGGGTTTTGCGTGGTTGGACCGTTCTCAGACGTGCTGCTAGTGCTTGGTGCTAATGCGGGTGGTGATCTGGATTGTAGGTGCTAGGCTGGCTTGTCTAGTCAATGCTTCGGTCACTGTGTGTGGAGATGATGAGGCTATCTATGCCTTTGGAGGATTCGATCAGTACACGGATGAAGGTATAGTTCACAATGTTGGTTGGTCGATGAGGTTGTTCCCCTTGCAGGGGTGGGTTTGGGATTTATTTGCTGACTTTTTCTCCTTTGTCGGACAGTGTACAATCACGTGCTGAAGTTGGACCTGCATACTTACACATGGACGTTGGTTGATAATTATGGTGACATCCCGAGTGTCAGAATGGGTATGATTAGTGGTTTCTGTCTTGTCTCTTCCTCTGCCCATCATTATTCCCTCCTTTTTGTCGTTAGTTTTGTGCTTGGCAATTTGTGTGGTTTTATGTGTTTAGAATCTGGGCCGCACCCTAATTACTACTAATAGTTGACTTACCCGTTTCGGCTTGCTAATAAGCTTGGGTTAAATAATTTAGGGCATACTACTACCTACTGGCGCGATAATAAATTAGTCATTTTCGGGGGCGAGAATGAACACCGAATGTTTCTCTCTGATGTCTATATATTCGATATATCCACAGCAACTTGGTCCCAACCAGTCGTGGAGGGGCATCCTCCTAGCGGGCGCTCCCGCCACGCGGTTGTGCTCCATGAGGATAAGCTGTTCATTCTGGGTGGCATTCATAATAATCCTAATGCCATAGAAGATGACACGGAATACAATCCGCAAGAGGTTCTAGACGATATATGCTACCTTGACTTGAAATCTATGACATGGAGTAGGAGCTGGAAGTGGATCGCCCGATTCGATCACCAGGCTTGGGTCCGGGATAATAAGTTGTGGGTTTTCGGCGGTATGGGGAAAGAGATGGATCGAACGGGAGAACTCATTTCACTGGATCTGAACCATCCCGCGTTTGCGAGAACAGATACGAAGCAGATGGGGTATGTGACTCGACAGGCAGGCGCTAGTAATGAGCCAACCGTGGGCCAGAGTCGTGTGCTTCGTTCACACCGCCCTTATGGGCCAAATTCCCCAAGGCCTATTAATCTGTCTCAACGGAGTTCCCCGCCGCCGAGGAAGCAGTTTGTTCCTGCTGCTACCTCGTCAGTGAGGTTTTTATGGGGTCGTGATATTCCCTCAGAAGCTCATGGAACCCATTTCCATCATATTTGTGGGAACACTCTGTTGGACTTTGTAACCTCAGCCAACACTATTGATCCTTCGGAGACGGGCCTATGTGCGCTGGATCTCAACGAGATGACATGGCGTAAAATGGCCGATGGCCCCGATATCTTTGGGGGTGGAGAATGGAGATGGCACTATCTCGCTATCTCACCTAACAGCACAATGGCTTACCTTCTCGGGTGTCCCACCCACGAAGAAGATTTTGGTCTCGGCGAAGGCGAGGAGTACCTCTCGGATGTTCTCCCTATCGATCTCAGCCGAATCGGCATTGACATTGGACAGCGGCAAGGCGAAAACCCTCACAATGGCACGCTCGGCTGGGATCTTGCCAGTGTGTTCGACAACCATGAAATGGATACTGGCGCAGATTTCGTTATCCGTGCGATGAAGGACGAGGCTGCAGAAGGCGACGAATGGGACATGAGCGGCATTTGGGGCAGTAGCGTCAATAACAGCCCTATGCCACCATCTGACGACCCCGACATGCCGCCGGAGCAGGTCCTGGGACCCCCGATCAAGGTTCACAAGCTCATACTACTTGCTAGATGGCCCCACTTTGCGACACTGTACAACGCCCGTATGAGAGAGTTCCATCGCGGAAGCCTTTATCTACCAGAGGCATACTCGGTTGTGAGGGCGTTCATGTATTACTTGTACAGTGACTCTATCGCTACATCGCCGTACTGCGCCAACCTTTCTGTTGTCGCCGGTCTTTTAGTCATGGCAAACATATACAACATGAAGCGGCTACGTACACTTGCTCTCGGCAGATTGTTCAATGAGCTTGACATCGAATCTGCCGCAGTCGTGTGGGAGCGCGCCGGCACCGCTGGTGAGGAGGCGCTCAGGAAAAAGGCGGCGCGCTTCGCGCTGACTTTTTGGGGACGGATTGTCCGCACGATGGGGTTCAGGAAACTGAGCAGAAGAAGTGTGATGGAGTTATGCGAGGAGACAGATGTCGAGGGGCGGGTCATGGGTGGAGAGGAACTTGGTTCGGTGGGAGCCGTTGATGGCAGCGATGTGTCTGGGAGGGGTTTTGGTGGTATCGGTTTTGGTGGGGTGGCGAGAAGAAAGGAAGAGGATGGTGGGGAGATAGAGGTGGATGAGGATGATGAGATGTTGTAGAACTAGGCTGTGGCATCTTATGTTTTCTACTCTTTTGCTTGGTTATCGTTTCTGTTTCCTATCATCCATCTCTCTTTCCTTCGATAAATATTCTTGTCTCTTTATCATCATGGCGGCGTCTTATTTTTTTTTCTCTCTCTCTTCATATCTCTTAACAAAAAAAAAATGGCGGATTAGGTAGGTATATGGACGGACGGACGGACGGGTACGAATTTGGTAAGGATAGGGCTGGTAATTTATCTGTTTGTGCTGCTATTAAAAATTAAGACGTGCTTTCAAAAGCCAAAGAACCCTCTCTGCTCGGTCAATATACGTGGGAAGCAAGGAATCGGGATACTACCGCTTTTTGAGACATCATGATGATGATGATCATGATGCGAGTGATATGTCATGATTAAATTACAATGTCGTAGTTGGACCACCCTATCTATATATAACATCCCTATTTACAGCATCCACTCATCAGCATTGAAACATCGAATCTTCCGTTACTATCTAGTAGGGAGCTGGTATAAGACTAGGCCAGTTGTATTACCTACCACTGTTGAGTGATATCTGGTGTCTCTTGATCGATTGCTGGCCCATGGTTTTACACCAAAACGAATCATAGACGAAGGGTGGATAGTTATAACACCCTAGGCTTCTTACTCCACGCAGAGGTCAGAGCATAATTAATAAAGGGTTTAAGATTTAGTTCTAATCGGTGGTAAGTCCTCGATTGAACTATGGTCTATATGTTGTCGTTGCTTCTTCTTTTTTTTTTCTTTTTCTCTTTTTTTTAAATGAAGGTTCTTGTTTTGCGTGCGAGGGGGTTAAAAGAGGGCTGATCTGAGCGCATAGGATCAGGGTGGGAATGACCATTGGGAGACAAGGACAAGTTATGTTCATAGTTATATAGCACTACATAGGTAGGTGGCCGGGTGAGTGATCAGTGAGTGAGTTGGGAACCGCGTCATTACGCTTGACTAAAACTAGGATAAATTTATAATTAGTGTAGCTACATAGCTTTCTCTATGTAGCTTTACATAAAAATAAAAAAAATAAAAAAAGATTCTCCGGCCCCGCTCTCACCTGCAAAATCGAATTCTAGAGACACTGGCAAGTACATACATGTACAGCCACTCAGCAAAAGTGTTTGTGATATAGTTTTAATGTCAGTGCGCAGTGTGGCGCACCCGTCATACTGATGTTATTAAAGTTGAGATTCAAAACAATGAAAAATATATAATATAGTTTGTGACTATATATAAAAAGAAGATGGGTCATTGGTCTTATTCTTCATTAATTTGGGCGCCATTGGTCACTGGGACAGTCTTCTCTTTGGGGGGGGGGGGGGGTTCTTGATGGTCCGCCGCGGTTACTTCATATGGAGACATGTCTCACTCCGAAATCGGAATCACGAACACTTTTGCAGAGTGGCTGTACATACTGTCGGCCACGTTGCCAGAGGACACATAAAAAGATATGTATCTAGGAAGCGTGATGGGGAGTAAAATGGTAGAAGGACATCAGTATTTATACATAGTGAGAGAATGGGCGGTCACCTACTTGAATAGCTAGAATCGTCGTCATCATCCTCTCGCTGCATAATTATCCTTTACTTTGACGCACTTTGAAGAACTCGGGCCTCAAGATGAATTATCGATGAATCCTACTCACACTAGAGTTCTCCCCTGCCTTGCCTTGGGCTTGTTTTGGGCTTGTAGATGCGGATGAGAAGGCTCTGGGGCGGGGTTTTGGATCAAGGGGATTGTGGATCGAGGTTTTGATCTAGGTAGCCCGTTCTCTTAGTTATAAGTGTGTTAGGTTTGTTTACATATATATGTCCCAATCTTTTAAAGTTGATATTCGTGTCTTCGTTTCGTTTCGTTTAACTTCATCTAATCTATCCCTATTTCTATATATTTAGTCTCTAGCTCTCTGTACTGTCTATTCTATCTAGGTATCTAGCAACAAGCAAAGAAAGAAAAAAAACTAGCTATAGGTTTAACGCCCCCAGCTCCATATCGACCACCAACAACTCACCTCTCCATTCCCCCAATCATCCCACCCCGTCTCCACCCCCTGCTCAACCACCACCAGCCCCTGCTCCCCCATCTTCACCTTAAAATCCTCCCTCTCGCGCTCAAACCCCACCCTCAACGGCAGCTCCACCACCGCCCTCGCCCCCGCATCCCTCTTCATCCACCGCCCCACCACCCCCGCAAAAAGCCCCGGGTGCTCGGGCGAATAAATCGGATCCGCCGCCAGCACCAGCTCAAACCGCCGCGCCTCCTCCACCACCTCGCCACAATCCCGCCAGTCCAGCACCGCAACATCAACATCAACATCAACAGCGCCGCCGCCCCCCAAAGCAGCACGGTTCCGCTCCACGTTCCGTCGCAGGTTGGGCACGATCTCGGGGAGATCGGTGAGCAGGACGGAGCTCACCCCTGGCAGCGTCCCGGCGGCGGCGAGCCCGACGAGTCCCGTGCCGGAACCGAGCTCGAGGGCGCGGGCCCCCGCGGGGAATGCGGGGAGCGGCAGCTGCGGGAGGCGTTTGGAGAGGAGGTAGGAGCTGGCCCAGGTTTTGAGGCCGAGGTTGTCGGCGGTGAGGGTGGGTTCGTGGATTGTGAGGGTGAGGGAGGCAGAGATTTTGAATGTTCGGTCTGTGGATGGCATGGCTGTTACAGAGTTTTTTTTGTCAGAAGGGGGGCTTTTTTTTTTGTAACGAAGGGGGTCTATAATAATATTGTACTGACCAGTCCTACCACACCGCTCGGCGAGCCGTGAACTTGCAGACTCCCAGATTTGCTCCTGGACGGCTTCGTCGGGGATCCACTGCAGGGGAGAGGCAATTATGCCGGTGAGCCAGTTGGTAAGTCCAGGGGGCGTGCTTTGCTGGCTTGCTGGCGGGCGGTCCCATGATGGCGGCGGGAGAGTGAGTTTTTCGAGAGTCTTCAGGAGGACGATTGGGCTGGGCTTTGTGTAAAGTGCTGGTAAATCCAGAACTACATGATGGGGTGGGGGGGGGGGGTCTCTATGTCAGTTTATATCTCGGATGAAAACTTGCCACTAGAGGAGAGCTCGAGGTTTATACCATGGAAATGTTCAGATTCGAGCTCGGGCTCAGGCTCGTATGGTAATGTCAGAGCTGGTGCCATGGTGTGTATATATATATAAAATCAAAAAAGAAAGCTTTATCAAGGTATGCTCTGATTCTGGAAAGCAACAAGATCTGCGGACTAGCCTGCAGCTTGGAGATGGAAAGAAGCTTAAATACTCCCCCCCCCCAAACCCTGGACGGGCAACGTGGAGAAAAATTAACCAAAAAAAAAATTTCAGCAGGGGGCCGGGGGCCACGCAGGGACGGGACTTGACCCGGTACGGATTAGCTTTCTTCCGGGATTCTACTGCTGCTGCTGGTCCGTGCGTTTGCCGGGGGCGCCGTTTGCCTCATACGTCGGGAGCTGAATATAATAGATAACTGGATCGATATATAATTATATTAATTAATGCGTGTTGGTTGGTGGCTACTAATTAACATGCGATTACAATATACCTACTACAAGCTAGTGGATAAGTAAGAAGAGGTTTGTAACGCAGTGCAGCGCTATGCTACTGTGGCTCGTTGATTACTACTAGCATAACTAGCAGGGCGCTTACAATTGGATTGGGTGCACTGCACACCCCTGCCTGATCCCTTAGGGTACCAACAACCAAATCAAGGGAGACCCGAGCATTAGCGAGTGAGTGATATCTCATGAAGATGGCGCGGTCTGAGAAATCTCGCTAGCCGTTGCTGTTGTACCACCCACCTGTGTGCATACAGCAGCACATTGGCATTTTCACAACAAGAGGGCTCGGTATGCCGCTTTGGGGCCCCCGGGGGGGGGGGGAGATGTGCTTCTAGGTTCTCGCTCGTGTTATCGTCTTTTGCACAAAAAATCCCTCCCATGGTCGGGGACGCCGGGATCTACTCTGGGAAATCATGACTTAATTGCACATTTGCCAGTGCACTCCAATGGGCCAATGATCCTTTACTGGTCTCAACACTCGCACTTTCTGTGTAGTTCATATATGATATGCTGTTGTGCAAAGGGCTTCTTTACATATGTGCAGCAAGTGCAATAAGTGCAATAAGTGCCCTAGGCAAAAAGAGCCCTTTTGGATTTTTAAGGCTATGCTAAAGACTACTTACACACGAGAATGGATATTTTCAATGCTTAAGCTTTTTTTTTCTCTTGCAACCATGGTGGTGGTAGAGGAGACTTGTGCACTTTTCTAGCTGCTGCTCCCCCAGGACAAAAACCTGTGGAGGGGCTATTTTACTCTACATAAATACATCCCAAATTCATCATCACGCGTGCAAATACGTCCTCTACTCGGAAATCATCAAGCAGGAGCTAAATTCATTGAGGAAGAAGAAAAAAGAAAAAAGAAAAGGAAAGAAAAAAAAGGTATCTAAGAGGGCTTAGTTGATTGAAGTTGGGGGGGGTCCCTAAATCTGCATCAACTCCATTAAAAGTGCCTAGAAATATGTACAGATTACAACGGCCCTTAGAAAAGACTCGACAAAGAAGAAAACAAATAGCAATAGTAGTGGTGGTGGTTTAATGCGGGGGCATATCTCTTGTAGGGTAGTACGCCTCGTCGTGGCGGGGGAGTGACGATGAAGAAACAGTCCCTGGGCCGGAAACCACAGAGGTGATATCCTCCAAGACCGTTGCCGGCGACACTGGCGACATCGCTCGTATGTGTGTGCCGGCCTGGGTATGGTCGGGCTGGCTCAAATCACTGATGGGCGATCTGGAGGTTTCGGAGAGATACCCACCGCCATACAAGTCTGCGTCTATTTTCGTAACTGTTAGTATTTACGTGCAATAAGGGAAATTGGGGGATCATGGTACTTACGTGTTGGAGACCTTCCAGTTGGCAGCTCATAGAACACAGGTGAGGCCGGCATTTCAGATATCGTTCTAGATTCCGACGGCATCTCCGAGATTACGGTCGAAGGCTCCGACCCAAGCTCCGAGAACCTCGGGGGGTTCTTTGCGTCCCCAAACTCGCCCTGGGGGAAACCAGGGCTGAGACCTCCATGCTTTTGGTCGTACAGCGGTGATCCAGGGACATTGTCGCCTGTGTACGGCTCCTGAAGTCCCTCCGACCCGCGGCGCTGCTCTTCGAGCTTTGCATTTTTTCTGCGCTTCCAGAGCATAAAACCCACCACTGCAAGGATCAAGACGACGGCAACGGCTCCCACGATTATGCCGATCAGGGCGCCCTTTGCCAGGCCCGGCTTGTCCTCAGCGTCGTCGTTGAGGCCCGCATCGTTCGCCGCGAACCACTGCTGCACACCTGCGTCGGTCCAGCCCAGACTGGGCGTGTCCATCGGTACCGTATTCACCAAGCTGTTCTCGTAGACCTTTGGATTGACCGAGTAATTGAGCGTCGCGGGGACGTACTGCAGCTCCCACCTCAGGTCCGTCATATCCAGCACCGAGATCTCGTCCCACCTGCACCATTGCGCCTGCACCGTGAAGGAGTCATTCCTGCTCCCGCCGACAATCAGCATCTGCCGCTTGTTGATGACATGGCATGTGTGGCGGGACCGCGCCGCAGGCGGGTTCTTGAGGTCCGTGAAGCGCTGCCACTTGAAGGCCGGGATGTTGAGCACGTATAGGTCGCCCATGAAGCGCGAGTCGTCCATGCCGAACATGCGCGAGCCTGTGCCGCCGCCGTAGAAGTAGATCTGGTGCGATTTCTTGTCCGGGGAGGTGGCGGCGACGGCGCAGGCGTGCATGCGGTTTACGGGGACGTCGCCTTGTGAGAGCTGGACGTGCCATCTGTCTTTTGCGATGTCGTAGATGTGGACGCGGGCGTTGGATTCCTGGATAGGTAAGTAATTATTATATGGGCTTGATGCTAGATGGTTTTTTTTTTAAAAGATATCCTGGGCTTTAGTACTTACAAGAGTTGTGTTTTTGGGAGCTTTATCAGCAAGGTCATTTCCGTTCAATGGGCTTACTTCCTGTAAAATGTGTCAGTTTTGGCCCCAGCTTTTAAACAGCTGTACGGAGAAAGAAAGAAGCCTTACATTAGTCTCTGTATCGTTTGTTCCTCCAAACATAACCAAGCTCCCCTTGTCTCCCACAGGGATCCAGGTCACCCCAGCTCCCATAGCCCTCATAGTCCCCTCCATAATCTCTTGATACTACCTCCCCCAACCGCCCCAAATCAGCACAAACCCCACCACAAGAAGCCCTCACCCCTCCACTCAAAAAAACACCAAAACCTACCTGCGCATCATAGTTCCCCCCGCCAATATCCATGCCCACCATCTGCTGCTCCACCGGATACCTCCACTCCCTCTCCCCATCCGCACCCGCATACATCCTCGCGCCGCCCACATAGAAGCCCATCCCAATCTCGGGCACATTGACGCTCGTGCCCTTCGCAAAGCGGTTCGGCGTGCTGCCGTCCGGGTTGTCCCAGGCTGTCTCGCGGCTCCACTTGGCCGCGGCGATGTCGAAGCTGAGGAGCGTGGACTGGTCGCTCTTCTCGGCGCCCTTGATGCGCTGGCCCTCGTAGAGGTAGAGCGTGTTGTTGTCGGGGCCGGTCCATAGGCCGCCGTTGGCGATCGCAAGTGGGTATTCGCCGGGAACGTTGGAGTCGATGGTGTGGGTGACGGGCCGCCAGGGGGGAGGAAGTCACCGTTGTCGTCGACTTTTTCGAGGCTGAAGGAGGTGGTGAGGTCGAGGGAGATGAATTCCTGGCCTGTGGGGCGGGGAGGGGGGGTTAGTATATGGAGGTAGATATATAAGAGGGGGGGATATGAAGATGGGATGAGATAGAAGTGCTCCTCTATCATTCATTTAGGGTAGTGAGATAGAGATATAAAGAAGGAAAGAGAAAGAGATGAGAGAGATAAAAGAAACTCACTAGGTTCCCCCTCCCATGTCGAAGACCTATTCCCCAGTTTCTTCTGCAGCGTCTCCTTGATAATGACACGGCCCCCAACGAGATAGAGCGTATTATCCAGCACCGCAGCTACAAGTTCTTCATTAGCCCACTCCCGCCATCCCGCCAGAACCAAGGCTTCAAGGTTTAAGGACAGAATTAAAGCATACTCTGGTGGTCCCATCTCCGGCACAGCTGCTTCAGCGGATACTTGAGCTCCCCATCATCATAGGCAGCCTGGATACCCACTACCATCACAAGCCATAGTAATAAAGAAAGCATCTGGATCTTCTTCATCTTGGGTTTTTTTCTTTCTCTTCACTGTGTAGTGTGGAGAGAGAGAAAAAATGGTGGAAGAGAAGGAGAGAGAAGGATTGAGAGAGATGGGGCTGGGTGGTGGGTTATTATCTAGACTTCCCGTCCTCAACTTGCAGTGTGAGTGAGTGAGTGAGTGTGAGTGTGGATGGATGGACCCTCTAGCTCTTGGCATAGCATTGATGGAGCGGGTGTGTGGATGGGTGGGTGGATGGGTGAGTGGGTGGGTGGGCTCTTGCAGTTGACGGGAAGGTTTCCAGCCTGGAGTACACCCCCAACCCGCAACCTAATCTTGCTTTACTCTAGGGTACACCATACCTACCTGCATACTCTGGAAGCACATCTTGATCAATTGACCTGCACTACACTGCACTACACCACATATAGAAAAACCCGAAAGCACGGGAAAGTGGAGTGTCACCCAAAGGACGCCTTGTAAAGAAGAAAAGAAAAAAGAGGCGGAAATCAATTGGCAGCGGAGAGTGCCTACCTATGTATGCCCCCACTAAGCATCACCGCCGCGGCGCAGCAGGTGATGGAACAAGCAAAGAAAAGAAAGAGAAAAAATCCAAGAAATATTCCATGGCGTGGAATTTTTAACCTCGCCCAACCCCCTTTAATCCGAAGGATGTGTGATGTACATAATTAACGATATCACACCCCCCCCCCCCTCTTCCCCAATTGGCCTTCGAATCCTCATGACCATGATCTTCGTATATATAGATTGGGTGGTTTGTCGTAGATGACTACAGGCCCGTTTCCAGATCTGGGGGTAGAGTAATGGCGGAGTACGTTACGTTTGAGTGCAAATTCCATGCCTGGTGGTGGTGGCTTATGTAGTTCAGTTCAGTTCATTGTAATTGGTGCAACTTTATTTGCTCAATTGCATGGCCAAGATCGAAGGACCAGTCCCGTATCGTATCGTATGGGATTACTCTATATGATATGTTTTAATTTTCTTTCCCCACCGAATTTCTTTAGAAATGCAATTGACATGAGACCTACATTGCCCTACATGCACACATATGTGCTCTTGATATTCCAGTGATCAGGGAGGCAAGGAAGGAAAAGAAAGTGCATCTCTGTGCCGCAACGGAAAGCCACTTGGTTCCCCTTTGGGTGGTGTTATTAATAGCAATATTTAGGTGTCAGCCACTCCGCTAGCCGTATTGGGCTGTGAAAAGTAAATCTGAAGCCTGCTACTCCCCTTTTGGGGCGGGCGAGAAGAGGTGCAGTTAACCGTTGCAACGCGACAGGCTGGAAAGTTAGTAGGACCCTACACTACTACTACCTACTCTAGCTATGATGTAGTACTCTACTCGCCGCGCAAGGAAGAGTAGTACAATGCAATGGTATTCCTAACCAATTAACCACTCCACATGGCTACATCTACATGTACCTTATGTGCTCTACTCGTATTTCTCTGGCGTTTGTGGACGCGACTGATATTGCATGCTATACAAAAATACGCCAAGCTCATGATTTTGGGTGTATGCAATAATGGCCCAGCCCAAAAACGTCAGCGAAATACTAGTACTCTACTCATGACATACACGCCGCGCTTAGTTTATCTCCCTTTGAACTGTTGCAATTGTGTAGTCCGTGCTCAATAATACAACGTGGTGCTACCTCACAAGGTCATGGTACCGAGTTTTTTTGGCATTGCAAGACAGACAAGACATTACAAGTGGAATTAAGCGGAGTAGCAAGACAGTGGAGCGGTGATCCCGCAATCACACACACTCTCACACATTACATTACATAGGAATGTACATACATACGTGTCTAGCCTATACCTATGTGTAGAGTAAGTACTGCGGTATGTACCTATGTCGGTATCCGCAGAGGAGATTGGAAGCCTAGAGTAGAGCACTCAGGAGTCAGTACCAAGTACCACTGATACCCGGGTATTTCCCCTTCTTCCCTTCATGCCAAGAAAAATAATTATTTCTAGAAGCACATCCATCTGACCAGTGGTGGTGGTGGTGGTGCGGCCGGGTGCGAGATATGTAGGTATGAGTATTATGTAGTTACTAATCGCCACCCTCACAATCTCTCACTCGTTGATCCAGATCGTGAACGAAACTAACGACGGCCGGTTGGAAAAAACGAGAAAAAGAAAACATGCATATGCCTTCGCGATCGATCCCGCTATATATAACCTATCTACATAGCTTGCAGTGTCTCTCCTCTCCATACCTCTAGGATACACACCTTAGAGCAGAGAAGAGAAGAGAGCAGCCGGGCAGTGTTCGGTCCTGTGATCCTTCATGCCAAGTTGATGTTAGCCGATACTGCAGCACTTATGGAACGCACTCGAGAGTAGCGTGGCTGATCTGGCAGCGGGTTGATGGGGAAGTGCAGGACAGACTGTGCCACTTGCTCACTTGGTCACTTGTTCACTTATTCACTTGCGCACTTCTTAATTTCACTTACTCTCACTTCTTCACTTACTCTCACCCACTCTCACTCTCATTCACTTGCAATGCCCACATACTCCCTCTCCATACCTACTGACAAATTGATCTGAAATCTGCCCACTATACTCACTATACTCTACCATCGACTATCAATCATCAACCAACATCCACCGCCCCACAAGTGCACATAATTGCACTTAGCCTTATGCCCATCCCAATCCCCCATCTCCCCCTTCATCCATCCCAATCTGCAGTTCTCCCTCCATCCCTCCACGCCCCACCCGTGCCCCCAAAAACGTAGAACGACGTTTTTTCCTCCCCGGTTTCCAACATCCCCTTCCCTCGCCTGTCTGTGCCAACCGGAACCGTACCAGAACCCTTTTCTCAAGCCATGGTAGCACCCGTCAACCCCAATGCCAAATGCGATACAATCGATCCACCTCGGTTACCAACCTACCCCCCCCCCCCCCTTTCTCCCCTTTAATCCCCCCAGAAGGTCGCCGAACCTGTATGTACCCTTCCCTTCCCCATCGGAAGGACCAGTGTGACAGCAGAGTACTCTAGAGTACAGGATGGAAAGAAATAAACCTTCCACCCCCCGGGAGAGTACATACTGCGTTTGTATTGCGGCCCTTCCCGTTTTTTTCTGTTCCCCGTGACGGGTGGTTGTGTATGTATGTAGTTTTCCGCAACGGTGGCCGTACTCTACGCTAGAGTAGTTCTCCGTGATGGGTGCCTACATACTTGTAGAGTAGAGCAGAGCAGAGTACATATGTAGTTAATCGCCAATATTCCAGAGCAGTATCAGGCGCGCCAGCTACTCTACATGTATGTATGTAGTGTTGACAGCCCGCCCAGGACAAGGTAAGACAGGGAAGCCGCGTTAAGCCAATGAGAAGCACCCAAACCAAACCGACAATTAATAGGATTGCGCTATTGGTTTTTTAATCAATTAATTAATTAACCCCGTCGCGCGTTGTTAAGACCCTGCATGGCCCTCACTCAATAAACCTTGTCAATGACGGTAGTAACCCATACAGCTAGCTAGGATCCATTTAAGCCGAGTGACCACTTATGATCCAATACTGTTTTTTAGTCTTACACGAAGTGGGACTTGTTTCTCGTAGTTTAATTTATTTCTGTATCTTACTCGAGTTCTCTCGACTCGATCTACGTAGTTATACAAATCTTTTATAACAAAAAAGGAAAAAGCGGAAGAGAAACTAGATGCTAAAAATCGTCATCAAAAAGGAAGGGTCGCATGCTCACCCCCTCCCGCAAGGCCGGAATACAAAACTCCCAAAAGCGCCATTGACCAAAGAGCACTGCAGCACAATCGAAGTAAATAAAAAAAAAGCTAAAGTTGGAAAAACAAGCATAAAACAGCAGCAAAGACGCTAATAAAAAAAGATGCAGAAGAAAACCAAATACCTCATAATCTCTATAGAGCTTAATCGTCCATGTCCATGTCCATCTCCATCTCATCCCCCGGAGCATCACGCGCCCCCGACGGCCTCCATCCAAATGCCAACCCCAATCCCCACTCCATCCACCCCACCTTCCTCTTCTCCCGCAGCCCAATCATGCTAGCCCTCGCCTCCACCTCCTCCACACTCCTCGCAAACATCCTCAGCGCATCCTCAACATCCGTCATTTTCCCCCTCACGTTCCCAAGCTCGTACTGCATCCTTGCGCCTATGACCTCAACCTCTCTCACCGCCTCCCGCAGCCCTTCCTTCTGGCGCTCCAGCACATCGCGCTTGGCATCCTCCATGTCTGCCACGATCGCGCTCTGCGAGTTCCGGATCGCGGTGATGTCGTCGAGAGTCGTGCAGAGATATTGGTGCAGGTTTTCCACTGTCGTGATCTTGCGCTCAACCCATTTTGAGAGGGTGGGGATGTCTTCGGCAAGATGCCTCATGAGCTTGAGTGATGGCAATTGTGCGCCTTCGGATTGTGTGATGTCCGACAAGGAAACCCAGTCAAGGATAGCCTCCTCTGCAACACTGAAGGAAAGACGGCGAGGCCAGTATTCTTCGTGGCGTGGAGTTTCCCAGGAGTCGACTACCTTGGTGAAGCTCTTTCTGCGCTGTAGGCCAATGTCGACATTGCGGCACAAAATTTCTAGCGGGTATTCAGTGGGGAATGCCTCGTCGCTCCCGGGACGAGAGTCCACATATTCTTGCACGTCCTCGTCGTGCCCTTCCGCGGGGTGAGGATCCTTTTCATGGATGCTTCCGGTAACACTATGAAAGCCAGTCATCACTCCCTCGGTGGGGCTTTCCGTTTGGAACGACATCTTGAGGACCGAAGTAGTCGGGCTCTCGGCTGTCTGTCCCTCCTTTTCGAACCTATTTAGCTGTGCCCCTGTTGCAATTTTCAAACTCCCCCCATTGAGACGTTGTGTGATTGTTCCACTCTGTTCAAATGAATTTTGGAACTCAGCCCCTTCTATCGAATGGCTTTCCTTCGTCGGTGCAGTCCGCTGGTGCTGGCCACGGCCCCTCACATAATCTGCACCTGCTGATATGCCCGAAGCAACATCCTTCATACGCCCTGTCATTGTCTTGAATACAGCCTTTCTAAGGTCAGATACCCCCGTAGCATCCTTTGTGTCACTTGGACTACTCGAGGCACCCGCACTACCGCTTCCAAGTGACACATTTGAGGAATGTTGATTTGCAATCGGAGAGACAGGATTTTCAGAGATGTCCTTGCCAACCTGCTCCTCTTCGCTGATACTCCCATCACCTAGGCTGTTCCGTCTACTTTTACTCCCCTCTGGTGGGGATTGCATGCTTCCAACCCCAGGCACACTTTTTCTTGGCTTCCCTTGCCACAGAAATTTGCAGGTCTCGCCCGTTAAGTGCAGCAAAAACTTCTCGATATCTGTTGTTTCCACAGCGCTTCCTTCAACCTTGTTCGATGAGCTTCCCACGGCTCTACCACCAAGATCAACAACCGTACTTTTGATGGCTCTTGGGACAGCAAAAATATCCCCGGAAGCTCCTGTTCCATTTTTCATTGTAAATTTTTGGAGTCGGTCCATTGTTTGTCTGTCAAGTCTCCGAGTTCTTGGTATGCGCTGCTGTCTTTGAAAGTGATATATTGCTTTCTTGAACTGTGGGATGTCGAATGCATCTTTCGGTACGGGGGCACCGCACGATGATAATCTATTCCTGGCACCCAGGACCATCCCTAGCAATGCAGCAACAGTTGTCGGCCCCATTATTCCATCATTGGGCTCAATATTGTAGAAATCAGTCCCGAACTGTGTCCACCAGTCATAGATGCCCCTCTCGGTGATATCGCAAAGCAGCCCATCAGCGTACTCGGGTTTCAACTTCTCAAAAAGCGTCAACGCAATCTGGCACAGCCTTACAAGTTCAATGACAGCAGTGTAAAAAGGGATTCTATCGCTCGTGCGAAATAGTTGGTGAAACTTGGTTTGGCTGGCATCCCCGGGCTTAGTCAAGCTCATTGCCGACCGTCCGGAACAGCCCATCCGCTTGAGATCCTCATTCACGATAAAGTCCTGTCGATGCTTCCGCATATTACCATCAGGCACAGCGACGACCGTCAGCGCGCTTGGGAACGAAGACAGATTTGTCACCATCACAATCCCAAGGGGGGTTTGCTTGGGCCGTGCATGGAACTTCTCGACAGCCTTGAAGTAGACACGAAGGCGTGGGGACCACTGGGATTCATCGAGAGGGATATCCAGAACTCCGACACAGACGATGTGTGAGGGGTCGCCGGTATAGGTGGCAATAACGAACGTAGGATGGATACGGGAGCACGCCCATTGCTCAACGAGATAGAGCGAGTACCCCGGGAGTGTTCTCTGTCGGCACACCACCGTAACACAAGGCTCATCTTCGAGATAGCGAAAAGCTACCTATGTTACATTCGCAGATCGTGAGTAACGGGATAAAGATGGGAGGGGGGCTTCGGATAATCCCATATTTACCGGATCACAAAACACAAACAACTGTCTATCCGCAGCTGGTGTAAGTTCTATCGAGGCTCTTTCCTCCACCGTGCTTCCACTCCAGCTCCCCTCTCCCTCCTTCGGCGCTCCAACCAGGCTTCTCGAGACTGAATACCCATTCTGGGGCGACGGTGTAGAACTGGTGGATTGTTTGTGGTTATAAGCGTTTCGCTGGAGAGTCTGGGCAGCTATGTTTGAAGCGGACACAGGGGCTGTAGGCATCGTCCGCAGCAGCCTGCAGCATTTCGTGGGGGAGGGCGCCGACGATAGAGATGATTCCAATACTCAATAGAGTTGGGTATGTTGGAGACGGGAACCTGTAGGTATGACGAATGAGTGGAGAGGAAGGAGAGAAGATAGATGGGGGGGTGGGTGGGGGAAGATCTTGAGAAGGAGTGTGTTTGAGCCAAGAAGTCGTTGAGCTCCTAAAATCCAACTGCTGCAGTTCTTCTCATGCATGTGAGCTAGAAAGGGGAAGTCCGTGCACGTGGCGACGATCTTGTGTAACCATCATCCCATCCCCGCGATGACAAGTGGAAAGCCACACCCTTCGTTCAACCCCACATTTTGGCACAGAGTGGAGACGTACGGACGACATTACTTACATTTAGTCAACGGGATTCAGTGGAGAGTACCGGATGAATCTAACGCGTGCCTTAAAATGCGGTACCTCCGTCCTCTAATCATTCTACTACCATCACTTACTCGGAAATCTAGCTCTAATTAAATAACTAGTAGAAATTTTTTAAAAACAAACAGAACCATGAAATAAAAAATATCAAAGTCATTCTATCCGGATGAGACGGCATGATCTTGCACCTTTCCTTTGCTGATCTCAAGGCTATTCGCTATTAACACAGAAAACACTGCAGATATTCCGTAACGAATCTATATTTCCATTATTCCTACTGGCTAAAGACATCACGGACATTAGCCTTTCACATGCTTTTTCAGCTGGCGCTGATGTCAGTGCCCGTGTCAGTACCCGTGTCAGTACCATCTATTATCCAACTGATGGCACCTCGCTCGTGATACACGTATGTAGCTATTATGTGTGTGCACGGAGAGAAAACTGCTAATATAAATCATCGACATGCAGAAGACTCTCTTCTATGTTACCCTAGACATTCGCGCACTTCAAATGCAGTACAGAGTATGATCCATTTCTGTTACATATTCTCACATTTTATATTTAGTTAACCAATGTTAATAGGGCTTAAAGTGGTCATTAGGATTATTCAGCCCTCGTATTATGGGTTCTTTTCTTTCACAGGACTTCTACTAGAACCGATACGTATAGTAGAATCGCCGGCCTATAAGGGTACAAAAGTAGCGCGAAGTCGTACCCTTATAGACAGGGGAATTTGTGTCTACAAAGGCTATTATAGCCCAAGATCCCATACCCTTATAAAGGCGATTACACTTATAAGAGGTATCCTAAGGCGATTCGACCGCACCCCCGAAGAAAAAAGAGGTCTGGATAGAAGAAAATCGTGAATTTAAATGTATCAAGTGAAGCGGCGGGCGCAATTAAAGATGATATAGCTATTAGCTCGTACGTGGGAATATGCTGGCCATGATCTAGTTTTGATATTTGTTTTAGTGCCGAGGAGGTAGAGGAAAGACAGTTTTCCGGCTCCTTAATTACGTGTAGCGACTCTATCAACCACCACAAATCCCCAGAAACAACGGAGTGAACCTACAGTCAACTGGAAAAGCCTCCGGCCGCACTTTTTGTGACGTACCTGCATGTATGTACCCCGGGCTGTTTTAATCACCCCCCGCAGAACCCCGAACCAAAGCGCCAGACAGCAAACTGGCCGGCCGGCTAGTTCAAATTAAGGCCAAAACTATCCTGTTTCTCGTCAGCCTGACGTGTCCTACTTGCTATAAATATTCAGTCCCCCTCCCAAAAGAAAAAAAAAAAAACCTAAAGTCCGCAGCACTCCCCACCTCCGAGTCCCCTGGTATTATAGTTCAATCTCTTCTACGCGCATACCGCGGTCTCCCCGTTCCAATTTTTTTGGGCTAAGCTACGTTTGGGCATTTAGTGGTGGGTTAGGGTCTTTGAATTTCATTTCCTTATAATTAATTATAATTGTACATACATATAGATCGTATGTATTTAATTTTATAGGTAGTTTTTGCTTGGTTGTGGTATTGTAAGTGAGGGTAATTAAGCTTCGAGTCAGGTTTTCGTGCATTCTAATCATTCCCACCCCCCCAAATAAAGATTATAATATTTGGCATATCCGTCAAAAGCTTGCTGGGATCTCTAATGCTTCTGTAACATTGCTCTAGAGTTTCGCCACCATGATCTTGATGGATCATAGTCTATCACTCGAAAAGGCACGCCCGAGCTCGCCTCGAACAGATTTTTTTTTTTTTTTGTTTAATTCATTAATTGCCTCGAACAGACTCGTGGGGAATACTTATATTGCGGGGGAGATGAAGCCACACAAACAATGTCCAGATAAATCTTATATTGAATTATTCTCTGAAGTGGTTTGTTACTTATATTTTTAGAGACTTTTTGCTGGACGAAATTCCAAGTCTATTATTGCTCTGAAAGCTCTTGATAAGACAATTGGACTAATGATGGCCACGGCCGGCGCGAGAGAAGATGAGACCAGTTTAGACAAAGTCTCGTTTCTATCTCGTTCCATCTTATCCTAGTCTTGGAAGTTTCGAGGCGAATCTCGAGACGGATATAAACCAATCCGAATACGAGGTAAGAACTTTGTATTTAGATTTCCATCATTAACGACAACTTCCAAAAGTGGGCGGAAGGCGTCGAACCGTAATATCCTTGACAAAAAAATGGCCATACAATTAATGGGTTATCAATCAATCAACTAATCAAGGTGCACACCCGATTTCAGCCAATCAGAAGAAGCCTGAGCATGAGAAAGCCTTGTTTTTGCTCATGACTTATCTCAAGATTTCAAAAAAGTCCTCGAGACATCTCGTCTTGTCCTACTAGGGTCGTCTCGTTAGGTCTTGAGATAAAGCCTCGAGCCATAGTCCGGGATATGGAGTGCAATCAACCATGAAAAGTCCAGCCAACTCAGTGAACCTCCAGCACTATAGCTCTTTACTAGACTAATGATTTCCATGAAGTGATCAAGGACTGTGGTATATCATTTCTCGGCGTGCTAATCAAATTAGAGATGCAATTTCTATAAGATTGAAATTAAACAAACAAGTAGATAAAATATACGCCTTGAATTACACTCACGGGTGTGCCCAGTCTCCGAACACTGCCAGACAGCTAGTGGTTCATAAAAAACAAGAGGTTATACTCGTCCATAGCATGCTTTTAATAAATCTGGCTATATATATTCTGTTTACTAAGAAGAAATGTACCTTTTATACGTGGTCTGTGCATTGGAATAAGTCTGGAAGAGGTTGACAGATGACTCAGTGTTCTGCATGAATTGCACTACGGTTCTTAAAGGAAATTAAAGTTTAAGAATTCCAAGAATCTTTATCGATAATCCTTTACTGAAACTCAATTAACTTCTGCTATTCCGGCATATATTCTACTAATACATAAGTTAAGTATTTTGTAATTCAATGACTAGCTTGGCGCGCGCGCTCACCCGCAACACACTAATTACAGTGCCCACAGCACAAATCCCGCATCCCAAGCCCTAAACGAGAATCATACCCTATAAAAGCTTCTTATACTTCAAAAAGGACTCCATACCATCAACTCTTATATCTCCCACATTTGTGCCCAAAAAACCGACCGAGTGATACCCCATGAAGCAAGCCCGCCGGCGTGCATACCAGCCCTGACCACCAGCACGTGCGCCACTGACCTGGCCTAACCATGACCCAGTAGATTCAGGCCCCCATCAAGCCCTTGTGACCACCGGCCACCGAGAAAGAAAAAAAACTGCAGTCAGCACGTAGGGGAGGGAAGGGTGACAGAATAAAATTACACCTGAAAGGCCTCGGCCTCGTAATATCATAATCTGAGGGGTGAGTCGATCACTCAATTGCCACTATATATAGCGCTTTTTATTGGCGCACAGCTAGTTGCGGGTCGTGACAGGTGACGCATATATAGAGATAGTGTGCACTGAGACTTATGGGCAGTACTAGATAGGGAGAATACTGGTTTCGGAAGAGCATGGCGGGAAAATACGGGGGCTATGAGACAGTCTGTATCGTAGCCAGGAATCGCTATGCTCCACTCCTAACCTTCTCCACAGGTATTCTGATACTTTGGGTACTCCCACCAGACGTTTCATGAAGTCACCTCCAATAACTCGGTGTTTATGGGCAACGGCAAGATTAGTATGATCTCCGTGGGCGACTAGTTTAGGATCATTTGTTGGTGTTTTGTTTGTTTTATTACCAATTATTAGAAACCTATAACCAGGAGTTCCAAAGCACGTGTAATTAACGAGATATTAGTGTAAAGCTTCTGTCGTCAAAAGTGATGGTAAAACGGGTTTTTTTTTTCAGAACCACATCATGCACTGGATGCGCTAGGACATGCATATCGGATGGGTTCACAATAACCAGTTTATAAAAAGAGGTCTTAGGACCGCGAATGCTAATGACCAATTAACAGAGGATGCCTAACCAGATCTAATATAAAAAAAGAACGAAAAAAGAGATTCAAAAATAACTTTACTCGATGCCCTATTGATGGGCTCCTTGACAACTTTTGGCATCATTGGAAATATAGGATGCAAAAACGCGTCCGTAAAAAGCAACTTTCGATACGGGATACCATGATATGATGGCTTACAAGTAAGTACCCACTCTTGCTTGGATGCTGTGTTGCCACAACATATGCATAAGTGTACGGGGTTTCTTTTTTGCTGTATTTTTTTTTGATGGCTGCCATGCCAGGCATACATCACCTCTCCCCGGAGCCACGTACTGATGAGTCCCCAAAACGAGGACGCCAAGATATTTTTTTGCCGGATAGGTCACTCACTCTACCGACAGACCGGTAATGGGCTTGCCCCGTGGCTGAGGGGCACGTTGGACCTTAAGCTTTCATCTATCTTAAGTACACACTCGATCAACTGCATGCAGGAGAGGGAGAGTTCGGTCAGTGGGTCTGTAGGGCTTAGCGTGATTTCCAATTCCATAAAATGTCTTCTGCGAGTGGTGCAGGAGGATAGGCAGAACAAGCCTTTTCTATTTCTGTCATTTCTTCTTCTGAACTAATGCAACTTCCTAAACAACTGAAACTTCAACCCGGCCATTGAACCTTTTCAAGAATAGATTGTAAGGTTGGTTAAAGACTTGCGGGGATGCGTGGCACGCAGTCAAGATCGTCATACCGTCCGAAGAATAATTGCAGAAACGCAAGTAGGTACTAGCTACTGATCAAGGCCGTTTCATGGCATGCATGTCGACATGTCTTATATCCTGTAGGCACTTTCTCGCACGAACTACCAGCCTGTTGGGGCCGAAATCCCCTCATTCACACTTCCCACGCAATAAGAGTAAAACACCTTTTAGATTTAGACTTTTCGACACTTCCAAAAGGTTCAGTTGAGGGGTTCGTAGACCCCCACCCTCCCAGATAAAGGATAGTGGTGATAGATCTAACATGCAGTCTTACTGGCCGTTTTAAAATGAAAGTGCTGGAACTAGGCTCCAACACCTCGAGCACGCAGGAACTCAACAGGAAAAGATCAGTATGTTTCAGGAAATGGCCTAGATCAGCGAATCTTGCAGCCTTCCAAAACACTTGACTCGTGCTTCAGCGGTACGATTGACCACTTGGTACCCCTAGACATTAATCGGTACCCTGAGCTACTTAGATGTTTGTTACCGCCTGTAAAAAGCAAATGTGAAATGACTCAAATAAGCTAGTAACAGTTCCTTCGATCGTGTCAAGGACCGCTGACTTGAAACCTATGCAGTAACGGATTCGCCAGTAGGATTCCATGAATTTCTTCTGTGATATCTTATTATTATTAGCTGAGGTTGACACAAATTGAGATAGTTTAGATATCATTACATTGATCGTGATGTACATACCTGTACATGGTAAATCCACTTTGGTTCTTCTAATCATCATGCGACATCATGCATTTGCCAAGTCCGCTAGTTAATTCTGTCTAGCAAAAGGAAAGAAAGAATTACCGGTGGGCATTTACTCTAGCTAGGGCTGCATATTTTTTATGATTTTTAATTATAGAGCAGTATGTAGCCTATCAAATGCTGCGCCTACTGCATTGGTGATCTTAGCCATCATTCGGCGACATTTCGGACGATCCGGGCGGTCGGAATAGGGTGCATGTGGGGAAAAACAGTTAGAAAGCCGCCGTAGGGCTGGAAGGTTAAATGGTTGATACATTGGTGCTTGGTAGAGTATACACTCTTCCTCCCCCCCCTTTTTTGACACGTCGACCCAAAGTAGAGAATCTATCCTAGCGAGACCCGTACGATTGTTCAATAAAGCCGATATTAAGATCCCGCCGGAGTCATTAATTGATATAGATTAGGCGGCGACGGCCTGACAATGTATTCCATACGCATTTGTTCTCTCATATCTATCTCCAATCCGTTTGCCCTAACAAGGTAATCTAGGGCCGTAGTATTGGATTTAACTGAGTTAATTCCGAGCAATATGATAACCGATAACGGAAGGTGCCAAAGAGATGTGACGCTGCACAAAAAGTGGCAGCAAAACATAGGACATGCTCTTTCAATCATATGAGGTAGTTTATGAGAGTGAGGCTCTGGGTGAAAGCGGTAATCCTTTTCCATTTAGGCGGACAGGGTACAGTGACATTCTGTTGCAGATCGCTGGCACCGAGTGATTGGCTGTGATGTGTGGGCGTGCAAGGCAGTTTTGAGCTAGGTAGAGTATGTCGAGGCTTGCTCATGCAGCAGAACACAACCAGTAACTAGAGTGGTCCAATCCCATCCCAACCATTGGAAACAAGATATTTCATGCGAACATTCTGCATCTACTCCGGAACGGTCATCAGCCCAGGCCACACCCATGTTCATCTTAAGGTTGTAGAAGTAAGCAGGTGGTGAAAACAAGGGAAGATTGGCGAGGTACCTACCAGGGTAGCCATGTACAACACGCGCGCTACCTAGGCAAATTATCCGAAATACGCGCCGTAATAAGTTTGATTTATGGAATTCAATGTCAATTTCATCATCCAGTCTAGGATATCGATCGGCCTCGTGCAGATCATGATATGTCACTCGGATTGCGACCGTATTGGCCAGTCCGCGGCCGTCAATCCCTGTTACTCGAAAGATGTGGTAAGAGTAGGGGCTTGCCCGAGGTTGTTCGCAGTTATAGTCGTTCTATTCGATTGATCAATGGGAAAACCTAAATGTAGTCAGCATTGAGGTGGGGCTTTAACGCCATGCGGCACTATCCCTAGATTGATCAATAACACACACCGTCGGAGGCGCTGCTGTTATCCTAATACATGTAGATAGTATGGCTCAGGTCAGGTATAGGGTGGGACGGTTGATCTAGAAGGAATGGAAGGAGTGGGGGAGGGGGGGGGAAGAGGAGGAGAACATCGAAGATCCGTGGCTACATACTCGGGTGTAGCAATAAGAACCAGAACATGCAAGTGAAGAGACTGGGATTATTTGTATGGAGTGGCGCCGCTCTGCCATACAAATAACCTCATGGCATGTTCTGGTTCTAACCCTTGTACCCGAGTACATGATCTTGTGAGACAGACCACCTATTCTTCCCGCTAGCGCCTTTTTTGTGGGTGATCAGACAACTCACTCCGAAAAAACGGTCAAGATGTGGGCAAATTGGCATTCAGTATATCCTGTCATACTCTATATCTCCGTACGTCATACGATTAATTGCTAATCACAGACAATTATCACAATACACTTCATCACGGATCCGGATATAAGTTCTTAGTGATCTAATAATTTGAAACCGGTGTAATAAATTAGTAGCTGACAGATCAAAATAGCCACATGATAGCGCTTCAAAGCATCATAGCGGCGAAGTATTACACTTTTTCTCTGGTGACGGCTCGTGCACTCGAGTTTAATAGGGTACATCATGTATGTACTCTGTGTACATTGTACATGTGGGCATGAGGAGCTGAACCTAGGTGATTCATATCCCGTCACTCGACAAATAAACTTATTCTCAAAGTAGGTACATGTAGTCACGACACTAGTCGATTGGGACAAGGAGGATTCGTGTCGTGAGAAAATGGAAAAGAACAAAATCGTTCATTCTCCTCACAACCCCACCCCCTCTCTCTCCTCCTCCTCCTTATCATCGTCAGCATCATCATCATAATCAATAAATCATCTTATCGTTCGACAGGATCTTATATGCAGGCACAATGCAAGTAATTCTACATTCTAGAAGAATGATGATATTCTCATGCTAATCCTAAGAAAGTTGGACTTAATGTATGCCGGCTAAGCCTCATATCATATCAGGGGTAAGTTGCTACAATTAAGGACGTACTCTATCTACCTCGAGGACTTTTTTTCCTTATTCAACATACAACATGATATCGGCTGGACAGGCCAATTGATTCGGACAGATATCTCACCGAAAGTTAATTTACCATTCCCCCAGCTGTCAGTATGTAGCGAAACTGTGCATGATTACTCATCTCGGGACCAGGTTTAGCGATCTAACGGGTGGCTGATAGATGATTCTGGGCCCGGTGGACTACTGCGTTCGTGGCGCTCGGACGAGCTCAGATACAGGGGAGACATTTCTGCACATTAGGCCATTCCTTGAGGGCTATCGTCGTCCGTTATTGTTGAAGACTCGTAGAGGTTGAAATGTGGGGACTACCTAGGTCTCTGAAAAATAACCTCAGATAATTCCTTTTTGTGCCGAGTACCGGCGTGGCACATCTGGCACATTGAATCTTTCTACATTGGGTCTTTCCACTGCTACTAATAATAAGTACTCACCCCCCAATGGCTTAAGTAATGTTACCATAATACAGGGACGGTCACACGCCCGGACTTGCGGACATATCGATAGGCGAGCAGAAAGGAAAAACCTAAACTCAACTCTCCGACTAATGTTACTTTTTGGGAAGATAAGAAAATCTAAGGGCCGGGTCCATAACCCAGCAGATCCGGTGAGTGAAATCGGTGGATATAACATGGTTGGTTGGTTTTAGACAATATGAAGGGGCGCACGTCGATGCACGATGCCGTTTGGCATGGGTCTATCTCTTGTCTTGAATATAGCTGCTCATCTGGGGCCAACGGGTGCTACGAACTTTTGGGAGCTTTTCGATGGAGAGATCTCGGGAACCAGCCAACTAGCCAGCCTCTAGACCTTATTCACAGCCACAAGCGCGGACTGGCGTTAAATAAGCTAAATAAGCAATATGTGGCTTGTAGGTTGGATTATGTGACGTGAGAAGGTGAGGATGTATGGAGTAGGGAAAGTACCTCCACTGGGTACAGAAATCGGTAGGTACAGGTACCGCAGCTACATGTACCTACTTTGCTACCAACTGGGCTAAGCCTCGTCTAGTGTTGTTGAGTCTTGGCAATTTTCTAGGTTAGCTTTCTTCTGCTAGCATGCCCCGAACTGCCCCTATTAAGCCAGTTGCAGATGTAATATTATTAATCGGCCAATAGGATGCCATTACAACAACCCATGTCACGCTCCCCACACAATGCTCAATCAGCCTTAAAAAGCCACGATCGATGGATGTATTCTACCGTAGGGCTGAGAGATCAATCCGGCCTTCCATTTTCCGGCGCGCTGACGTGATATTCTTAATCCTCCTGAGCGAAAAATGCCCTAGGACTACCCGTCCAAGAGCTATGGGAGTTTTCCCAATGTAATGTATCCCTCCATGAATCGAACGTGATTACATATTATTCACTTTCCCACACTGTCAGATGCAAGGCTAAGGGAGCTGCAGATAATCCATCCATCATTGAATCATAGGGCTCAAATCACATCAGAAGACCCTGAACTCTTAGGGCCAGAGCATGTACTCTACTGGTACCAGAAAGGCTTATCCACGTAGGTAAAATCCCCACCGATACCACCACGCCCACCAACCACATCATAACGGCCGAACAAGGTAAAAAAAAAAAAAAAAAACCCTGGATGAATCCTGGTTAATGCCATACCTCATAGGGCTCAAGTAGCCAAGGTGACCGTTGCACACATCCCTATGTTATCGGCTCGTTCGTTGCGCTGGGAAACCTGCCGGCTCGTGAAACCGTCGATGCGCTAGTGGGTTCACGTTGCTCTCTCCTCTCTGCAGCTGTACTAGCTAGCTCTTGTACATCCTTCACAAGGCTGAACGTGCAGGTTACAATCAAGCATGGGTGCGGCACAAGACAATTGATTTTTTTTTTCCTGTGAGGGGGAGACACGGGCCAGTCCTTTTTCCATTGCTTCTACAGGTAATACCTCTGTTCATGCGGATTTAAAAACTGTAGGCAAATCTCAGGGTAGGAACCTGGACCCAGCAGCCTGATGTTGTGTGTTGTGTGTTTCGCAAACAAATAACAAAAGAAAGGAAGAGAAAGAAAAAACATAAACACCCTATTTGAACATTGACTCAGACGAGAAAATAAAGAAAAATAAACATATGAGAGTGAAAAAAATGTGGGCAGTATTTGTAGAGTTGCAGCCACTGTGGTCAAAAAGTGTGGGAAAAAAAAAAAAAAAAAAAAAGAGCATAATAAACGAAAAGAAAGCTCCAAAGTTTCAAATGCACCAATAAATGGAACCCGAATAAACACCAGTCCAAGACTCCCCAAAAGAGAACAAGAGAACAACAAAAAAGGAAATCTAATTACAAAGAGGGTAATACGAATGACTCGGAGGAAACGCCGCATCATACGACCGCACTACGAATCTCCATGGTCTACTGCCGAAACAGGAGAGAATCCCTGTGGCCACTGCGTGAAATATTCCGATGGATCTGGCATGACGGGGCCAGTCGACGATAGAGCAAGAAGTCCTGCAGTGAAAGGTGGCAGTGTTGAGGGGCCTGCCTGCGACGACTGGAGGAATTGGTAGTTGACATCCTCCTGTGTTGGGAACGTATTGGCCTGCTGCTGCTGTTGCTGCTGGCTAGAGCCCAGGAAGTATATGGGCGGCGAGAGTGGGTCAAAGGGGGAGAGTGGCAGTTGGGTCCAAGGGCTATCATCTACAACCCCGATACTTGACGAGCAGGAAGATGGAGTTGGTGTGCATGTGGGGTTCTCCATCATTTGCGACATTGGAGGGATTATTTGGCGCCATGTAGTCTTTCCAATAAGGCTGCTAGGGTCGGCTTTAGTGAACTCCCAGAGGAACATCGCTGACCTCCGCTTGATCCCTGCACTCGATAGGGCTGTTGAGAAAAGCTCCTGTACGACGGTGATACCCTTGATTGCTGCTCGGGCTTCCTTCCCCCGTCTGCGGCGCAGACGCTCCCCGTCTAGTGTAGCAGCTCCATCTTGCCGTTGGGCGGTAGAGAGCTCGGTGTAGAACGCAGCCCAGAACTCTGATGCAAAGGGAAGTGTGAGCTTCTTACTCCCGTTGAACTCATCAGTGACGGAACAGGCTTGGGACGATTCCCAGACCCGCTTTCCCGTCGAGTATATACGAGTCACACACTCCCAGCCGTAATTGTCGTATGTAGGGCTGGATGACGTAACTTCAAATTCAGCGCAGAGGACCGATGATTGCGAGGGCATTGTGGGCATGACGGACACGCTCGATTCAAAGTGCACAATCGGGAAGCTGGGTGTTGCTGACTCTGAGTGTTCTAGAAGATCCGCAAGGTGTGGGAATCGAGTGTTCCACTCTGGGATTGATGATAACGGTGCTGCAGCTGCAGGCCTTTCTGTGTGAGAGAGACGTGTATAGGTGTGAAAGCAGCCCTCCACACCAGCAGCGTGGTGGCTTGGGGAGCCAACCCACATAGCAAAATTCGTGGGTCTAACTGTGGGTAATACCTCCTCCTCAGGATTAAACATCCCCTGCGGGTAATATACCGAGGAATCATTTGAACCACCGAAGTCACCGGAGGAGCCGCTGGAATGAGAGGGATAGAATTGCGAACCATTTGAAGGTGCTGGACTCGGCGCCATATTGATTTCGGCCTCATCCTTCCAGCTATCAGAGTTGTTGTCCCACCCAGATGCAGGTTTCTCCGTTGTTACTAGCTTCATGACTATTTTGGTATTAGCCCAATTCACACCCCGGAGACTTTTCGCAGACATTCAACTTACAGTCCTTGTTGTTCCGCAAAAGATTCTTCAACACCTGAATATGGCTTGAGACCTGTTTCCGCGTCCTCCGCTTTCCAGTGACCTTGAAGATGTAATCTGCAATCAATTCATTCCTTCCGCGGGGTTTCCCCTCCATTGAGAGCTTCCTCCTTCCGATCTTCGGGATCTTTTGGATAGCTAGATACTGCTATTTAGCAAAGCGTGCAGTTTTGAGATGTTGAATAAAGTCTGTTTTACCTTCCATGAATGCCTCCTCGAGCTCCTCGTCCCATACAGATTCTCCCTCCATCGAAGCGTCTCTCCTCTGGCGAGCTCTATATTGGTGATATGGCACCAAATCCTGCTCCTGCGCAACGGCGGCCGCCAGCGTTCTTGGAGTTGAAGCAGCCAGGTTGCCTTGCGCTCTAATAATTCTGGAGCGCTTTCGTTGATCCAACTTGAGCGAGTTGCGCTTTAGCTGATCAGTGTTACTAATAGACACTGGTGACAGATTTCCTGGTGGTGATGGAGAAGATAGTTGTGTATTAGTTGAGGTTTCCTCAAGTGCTCTTCTGGATGAAGATGAGATGTAACTTGTTGGCACACGAGGAGTAGTGGCAGATGTGGGGTGCGTTGAATGGGAATTCAGCATGCCCTGGCTTGGAATAAACAGGGAAGAATTATGATTATGAATAGTGTTCAGCTGGTCGTCGTTGAGGTTGACGTTATTACTATTGTGGCCGAGAGAGCGAATATCGAGAAGATCGGGATATAATGATGAAGGAACACAAGATGCATAGTGGTGAATAGACGAAGAGGAATCCATTTAATACTAAAGTAAGAGACCAAGTAGGTCCGCGCTAGAACTTGCCGAGTGTTTTTTTATGCACTTGCTTGTATGATTGGGATGACAGGGATGAGCAACGGTAAGGCGTGAGTGGCCGTAGAGAAAAATAATGGTATACCTGCTGTACGAGGCAGACAATAGAGTGTGCAGTGTGCAGCAAGGAGCAAGCAATACCGGTAGGGTAATTATGTATGTAGGGAATAGAAGATCATTGACTGAGTAATAAATAGAATAGTGTACGAAAAATCGCCGAGGTTCTTACTGGGAGGTAAGAGAGGGTAGGTGGGCTGTATCTAACTCGTTGGATGACGATGCACAGGTTCAAAATGACCGTAGTGGGCAGTGGCAGTGAAAATGAGTGACACCGCGATCTGCTGTATTTGGAAAAAAAATACAAAAAAGAGAGTGTAAAAAAGAAAGTGAGAGAGAGAGTAAAAAATAAAAAATAAAAATAAAAAAAAGAGAGTGAGTGATTAGAGAGCGGCGGTTTTCGAATGAATGAATGAATGTCGACTTGAGAGTGTAAGAACGAAAAGAATGGGAATGAATCCGGTTTGATATAAAGATTGAAAGCTGTGGAAAAGTACACCGGTTACAGAAACCACGGGAATCTTGATCAAATTCCTTAGAGATGCAGGACAAATACTCAAAGACCAAAGGAGAGTATTTCCAGCATACCAGAGAGAAAGAAGTTTTATTGAAAAATATAGGAAGAAAAAAGAGTACCAAATATTTAAGTGGGAGTCTGTACGATAATAATACTACGAGAATGATGAACCAAGGGGCTCCCCAATTTTCTCAGAGAAACCAGATTTGACTACAGAAACCCCCCAAAATGGTCACATCAATATTACCGCACCCAAAAAAGGTCAAAGGGCTGCATCTGGAAAAGGTGGTGTTCTTGAGCAATTGATCAAACAGTGGGGCAGAAGCAAGGGGTTTCCCAAGAAATCCCCAGGGGACGCGACTTTTGGGAAACGACGCGAAGAATCAAGAGATTTCACGAGAAGTACGTTCACCCATTGATGGAAGGAGATGTACAACCTCAGCGAGGGGCGTAACTAATGGATTCCTCTATTCAAATATCCCATTCCAGTGTGTGTAGAAGCCCGATCGGGAAGGCTTTCGTGATGAACATCAAGCTTTCCTATTCCAGGGACGTCTGAGATTACGGATTAACGAATCTACAACGATATAGATCTGTACGTCACAGCATCCCACGAGGTGGTAGTGGTGGTGTTCACGGAGCGGACACGGGCCGCGGGGTGCCCTCGAGGGATGGGATGGACATTATGTTTAATTGTTATATCAGATTAATTCCGACATAGGTTATGTATTTCGTCAACGTTTTCCAGAAGGGGACAAAAGGAAATAACGCGAATATGTCCGGCTTAAGCTCCCCTCTCTCGATTTAAACGATTTAAACGGGTTTCTCTCCCAGGATGTAGTATGTACATAAAATACCTATTCTGTCAACACAATCGCCGGTATATCTCGGTCATGCAACAGACGAAGAAATAAATTGAATGTTGCGGGGCTCAATTGATACATGGATGGCTACTACATAGAGTAGAGTCTTGATCTATGCTAATAATATCCCAACTGGTGGGTATATCGCAGTCTGTAGGAGTTACTTTCGATCATGTACAGATTATTAAGGCAGGTGCACGAGAGATAACTCAAACCGTTCGAGAAAGAACGCCCCCGTTGCTCTTCGGGACCAAAGCAATGACCCACGAGAGACCCCTCCTGTCCTCCCGCAGCACGCTAAGTAAGCGAATGTAGAAACTTTTCTGAAATCCGGCATCAGAGCCGGCCTACCCTACGGGGATGCGGGCGGGCGGGACAGGAAATCCGCTGGAAGCCATACAAGGCCGAGGACGAGGGAAAAAAAAAAAGAAAACAGATCTTCTACCCCCCGATCACAGTGATAGGATCACGGGAAGGGGGGAAAAAGCTCTTCTCTGAGAGGGCTGTCCGAACGGAGTTTCTTCTCAATCCAGTGGTGTTTTTTCTTTCCTTCGCGGCCCTCTTTGCTATTCACAAATATATCTAAACGCATTCCCATCGACAAAATGCCCGGAAACAGTATTGGAATCGGCAAAGGTGAGGGAAGCTGTCTTATCTTACCTCTGTTTATCCAAGGCAGAATGTTTCTTGGCTAACTCTCTGAGGCTCAATGGATTGTCATGAGTTGTGAGACTCATGACGTCCTGTTTGGCCTTCATTCATTCTCATAGTCATCTTTGTCGCGATAAAACCGATGGTTAAGATGGCAGCCATTGCTGGGGGCGGTGTTTACTTTGCGAAAAAAGGTACAGATTTCAATTTTGTGGTGTGTATGCAGTTGACGAGATGAGGAGGACTTTTTTCCTCCTCGGGAACGTCCCAATGCCATGACTGCGGGATTAAGCTTCACCGCAGAACAAGCAAACTGAGCAATCATCCCCTTATATTTACCCAATTGCAAGAAGAGATGATGGAAGAGATGAAAAATAAGGAAACATAACGAGAAAAAAACAAATGAGTTTAGTAATTAATCGTTGTTATACCCCAGGATTCCTCACGCCTGAAGTCTGTAAAGCAAACGCATCGATCCTAATGAACCTGCTACTGCCACTACTAATATTCGCGACTGTCCTCCCCGCGTTTGACCGTGATAACATGACATCAGTCTTATCTGTCGTGGTTACGGGAGGTCTCTACCAAGGTGTGCTTGCTACTTTATTTCTCACTCTACGCACAGCAGCAGCTATCCCGGGGTTCGGATGGCTGCCTGTGTCAGAGAACAAAAGCTAAACATATTGCGTGTGTGTGAAAACCGTTCAGTTATGGGGCTTGTCTTTGGACTCATCGTCAGGTGGCTCACACCAGTCCCGCCATCATGGAGAGGTGGTGTACTCGCTGCTGGTTTGTGGCCCCTCCCCTCACTCTCATCTATCCATTCAACTCCCCTTCCATTGTCACCTAAACAGCACCTGCATCTCCGTTTGAGTCAGTGACGAGGTCATAGGGTGATGAGCCTGTGATTGAAGCGGTGTGGGTGAGTGCTGATTGAATTGCTCCATCTAGGAATCTTCAGCAATCTTGGGGACCTTGTAAGTTTATAGTTTTATTTTTTATTTTGATAGATCGATCTCCCTGCATTAGAGCACACATCTTGGAACGAACTATTGGTGGTTTCTGGGCGGGCAACTCTCCCAAATGGGGAAAATGGGGTGTTGGCCCACATGAGAATATTGGCCGGGCGGCCCCGATACTCTAGATAGTAGTCACGGTCACGGATCACGGTCACGCATCTGATTGCGGGGGTGTCTATTGGACGGTGTCAGCAGCTGTCAGCCCGACGTTGTGCTTCGGAGTTGACGAGTGATATCTTAGGTGATCGCATATCTTTCGACACTTGCGAAATCTGAGCCTTTCCATGGCGAGGAAGATGTAATAGTTCCTTGGCTTCTCCTCGTCTAGCTTGGGACAGACATCTCACGATTTTTTCATAATGAATAGGTTACGAAAGGAATTGCATATTCGTCCATCTTTATGGTCGTGCAAACGATTGCAATGTATGTTTCTACCACTATCTTTAATTTATAAAGACACAGAGCCCAATTTCCACCATATTCACAAGATCGCACTCGAATTTCTCTCCCCTCGACTCCCATTCCTTCCCCGCTGCAAAGACACCCCTTGATACGAGAACCTCACCGCTAACCAAATCCCACACCAGCTTCAATCTCGGTGGTCTCCAACTAATAAGAAGCGATTTCAACATCTCCCGCGACTCCCTCGCCGAGGCCAACCTCGAGAAGGTCGAAACACCAATCTCACCCGCACCTCCTTCCTCCGACGCTCCATTCTCCCTCCGAAAAAGCCTCACCATACTCGCCCATGCTTTCCGCCGCACCTCCCCCAGCTCCCCCACTCCAGCGCCAACAATATCGGACGAAAAGACGTCCCCCGCACCCCCCACCATCCCCACCAGGCGCCGCATCTGGCTCGCACTGCTCCCATTCCTCACCGCGCCGTCAATCGCGCTCCTGGTGTCGCTCGTCGCCGCAAACATCCCCGAGTTCAAGGCACTGTTTGTGAAGACTCCTGGCGTCAACATGCCAGAGGCGCCGGACCAGAACCCACCGCTGGACTTTATTATGGATCTTGCGACTTTTGCGCAACCGACAGTGCCAGTTTTGGGGCTGATCCTGCTGGGAGCGAACCTGAGTAGGCTCAGTATGAAGGGGCTGCCAAAGGGCTTTTGGAAAAGCGCCGTACTCATGGCGGTACTAAAGCTGATTGTTGGTAAGATTTACGGATTCTCTACTTTTTCTTTTTGCAATTCTTGGTTTCCCCCGGTGTATTGGTATATCGGTATATGGGATGAAGTATGTGTGGGGGGACTTGGTCGAGGTGCAATGAGGTCACCTGAAATGGCTGATCTAGGAATTGTCCCCGAGTCATTGACCTCACTGAGTTCTCCGGAATGAGGGAAAGACTACTGGAATGGGACGAACTTCGCAATGAGTGTTCGATCATGACATCTCACCCATCCTCCCCTTCTTCCCTCACACCCTCACACCCGCATACCAATTGCCCCCCCCCCAAAAAAAAAAAAAAAAAAAAAAAAAACACAAAAACAAGATAATAGGGGAAACGGGGACTAACTCATAACAGGACCTATAATCGGCATAGCCTGGACCACAGGCCTCACCCGCCAAACTAGCTGGATCTCCACAGAGGACAAAATGCTGCAATTGGTGCTTATCATCGGGAGTGCGGGTACGTGCATGATATGGGGCGATTGCACTGGGTCTGGTCTCGTGGGTGGTGCTGATATGAATATGTGTAGTCCCGACTGCAACAGCGCAGGTGTATCTGACGAATATATTTGCGCCCCTGGGGCCGGAGGGGTGCGTGGAGCTGTCGGCATTGTCTGCGTGAGTCTTTTTTCTTTCTCTTCTTTTCTTTCTCTGTATTTTGTGTGTGAGAGAAAAGTGTGGAGATGCAAGGTGGATGGGACGGCGGCTGCAAGGTGCTGGTGAGAGAGAGATTGGAAGTGAGGAGAGGAGAGGAGGTTTCTTGGGGCGTTGCTGATTGAGTATGTGTGGGGGCTTGTAGGACTTTGTTGGCGCAGTATGCATTGAGTAAGTTGACTCTATTTCCTTCATTCGCTCATTCCTCCCTGCCTCCTCCTCCTCTGTCTGCAATTGCGCGGAGAGAAAGCGATTTTAAGTGGTCGCCAGCTATATCTTTCAAAGTTATTGAAACTGACTATTATAGTGCTGTTAACATTAACTGCGACGGTGGCCTACTCCCTTGTGTTTGTCTTGTAACATCCACAGGGAGAGAGAACGAACGAGAAAAGTATTGGTTTGATTAGGAAGGTTTTGAGATTTGCATGTAGGAATAGAGAGCATTTTTGGGAGTGAGGGGATCACGGTCATGATTATGGTTATGGTTATGGGTCTAGGTATGCATGGAGTTGAGCGCATGGAGTTGAGCAATTTGTTATGAGTATAATGATGTGGTTTAGCCTTTAGTTTATGACGAGCACACGAAGAAAAGAAAAGGGGAAAAAATAGCATAGCAGCAGTAAGTAGCTAGCAGTCTGTCATTCAGTATACATGTGGATGGATACATGTATATAGAGTAGTCAACGTTCGGTATCCGTCATGATATCACTAAAACGCATTATGTCAAAAGGTCTCCAGGTAGAGTACTACTACCGTTTCGCCCGGGGGAGGGGCCAGGGGACATGTGCCGTTTCGGATAAACTACCCTGCGGATGTCGGCAGAAGGATGATGGAAGGAACGATAACTTCTCTCTGTATTAATATCGCCTCTTTCACCCTGCTTGCTGCTGCTGCCAGGAAGAAAAGAAAAGAAAAAAAGAAACCACGTCATCAGGAGATCGGTTGCTTCTGTTCCTGCTTGAGAGATGCCTGGATCGGGCCGGTGGACCTAGCCCGGCGGTGTGTCCCTGCAGCAGAGGAAATGGGATACATGTAAATAGTAATAGCGCGCGGCAGTGATTTTCATAATTAATATTTCAGGTTTTGCATCAGTGCGGGGGGAGGGGGGTTCTAGCTAAATACATAGTTGTAGAGGAGGATCGGTGAGGGAGATGGAGAATTAAGGGAGATGGAGAGAGGAATAGGAGAGGGTGCGTGGGTTTCGAGATGTGAAGTTGTGGCAGGATGATGGGTGGTGAGACCTTTCACTCTCACTCGCTCGCTCACTCACTCTCACTCACTCATTCACTCTCACTCACACTCGCTCACTCATCCACTCAATTCATCAATCAATCCATCAACCAATCCATCCATCCATTAATTCATCACTGCTTACTAGTTATGCTTGTCAGTTAAGCCCTGCGCTCTGTTTGGTCTACTTACTGCTACTCTACTATCTATCTCTATCTCCCCATTTCTAATCTCTATCTCTATCTCCACTACTACCTACCTGTTCTATCCCTATCCTGCTCCATCTACCACTCAATTCTACTGATCAGCCGCACGATTCTGCACGGAGCCGAGTTGCAAGCAATTACACGAGAATTGCGCTGTAACCCACGATCCTCAATTGCCCTATCACGGCCCACCACCACTTCCCACCACCTCACCGCCCCTACCACATCAATTGAAATCAGGGCTGCTCTATCGTGATAGATATCTGGCCTGCGAGATCAGGAATAAAGAGAGAGCGAGAGAGTGTCTACTCACCCACAATCTCAATCCTCATAACCGTTGTTCTAGGCCCATATTTAATAGCTACCCTACAGTAGCAGCTAGCCTCGTTGCTCGACCACACATCCCCGTCAGTCGCGTTCACCCTCGACAACAAGCAGAGACAGAGCCTCCTCCACATCCCCTCCAACTCTCGAGTCCTCTACCCGCCTACCCACCTACTGCACATCCACTCACCCACCCACAATCCACAAATCACATCTCACACTGCACGCCATGGCAGACATAGACAGTCTCTTCAAGGTTCGTCTACCCGACCCTCGATCGCCGATCTCACCCACTGACGCCCCCCCCTCCAGAAACCCGCGCTGCCCCCCACCACAGGCAAGAAACGCAAAGCCGAGCCATCCATAAACCCACGTAATCATCCCTTCCTATCTCCCTCCCCCTCGTTTCCCCGCATTTCAGACCAATGTTTAACAGCCGCTCCTTCGACATAGTCGCCGCCTACAAGTCCGTGCGCCTCGACGACGCCGACGAGGATGGGGACAGCAGCAGCAAGGACGCCCTCCCGGCAGACTTCTTCGATGCGCCCGCGGAGGACGAAGAAGGCGGCCGCTTCTTTGGCGGTGGTGTTGATAAGAAGCAAGCCGAGATCCTAGACTACGTTGACGAGCGGGAGCGCGAGGACGGCGCGGCTGCGGTAGAGACGATTGATACGGCATGGCTGCGGCGTACGGCGCTGGCGTTCGAGAAGAAGATTAGTAAGAATGCCGAGATGCGTGGCAAGTTTGAGGATGATCCGCACAAGTTCGTTTTTCGCCTCCTGTTTTTTCTGTGGGGGGAGAATGCTGATTGGTGGTAGGTTTATGGCATCGGAAGCGGACCTCGACACGGATATCAAGGCGCTCAGCGTGCTGTCGGAGCATCCGGAGCTGTTTGAGGAGTTTCGCAAGCTAGGATGCCTTGGAAGTTTGGTGGGATTGCTAGCACATGAGAATACGGACATTGCGATTGATGCCGTTGAGGTAATTAGTGAACTGACGGATGACGAGGTAGAGGCGGAACCGGAGCAGTGGAGCGCGCTGGTGGATGGGATGGTGGAAGCGCAGCTATTGGAGATGTTGGCCTCGAACCTGGAGAGGTTGAACGAGAGCATTGAGACAGATAGACACGGCGTATATCACACTCTCAGTCAGTATACCAGCTCTCCCCCCAGCCGTATAGATACTAACTCATCTTCACCACAGGCGTATTCGAGAACCTAGCTTCCCAGCAATCCCTAGCAGACCAAATCGTCAGCACAACACCCCTCCTCCCTTGGCTTCTCACACGCATCCAAGCCCGGGAATCCCCCATCTCCCAGAACAAACAATACGCGGCCGAGCTGCTCGCCATTCTGCTCCAATCCTCACCTCCTAACCGTCGCAAGCTCACCTCCCTAAACGGCGTTGACATCCTCCTGCAACTTCTCTCCCCTTACCGCAAGCGCGACCCCGTAAAAGGCGGTGACGAGGAGGAGTTTGTCGAAAACATCTTCGATGCCCTTACCGCAATTGTAGACGAACCTGCCGGAAAGGAAAAGTTCGTGGAAGCCGAGGGTGTTGAACTCGCACTCCTCATGCTGCGCGAAGGCCGCATGGCAAAGCCGCGGGCTCTCCGCCTCCTTGACCACGCAGTCGGCGGGCTGCAGGGTGCGCCGGTCGCGCTCAGGATTGTAGATGCAGCCGGACTGAAGACGCTGTTTGGCATGTTCATGAAGAAGAGCGACAGTGCTACGACAGAGCACCTCCTCGGTATCTTTGCCGCGCTGCTGATGCTGCTGCCCGCAGAATCATCGGCGCGCATTCGCACTCTGGCCAAGTTTGTCGAGCGCGACTACGAGAAGATCGCTAAGCTCCTCAAGCTGCGATCCGGATATGCCGCACGACTCGGGGTCGTGGAGCGGGAAATTGCGGCGCAGAAGGCGGCGATGGAAGAGGAGGCAGAGGAGGACATTGAGGATATGCGGGAGGAATGGGAGTCGCGGCGGTTGGACGCGGGCCTGTTCTGCGTGCAGGTTGTAGACCTGGTGCTGGCGTGGTTGTGCGCCGAGGATGACGCCGCAAGGAGTAGGGTCAAGGAGGGGCTTGGTGGCAGTTTGGACGCGGTGAAGAGGACGCTGGAAGGTATGTTTTCTCCTGTTGGGCGGAGTGTGCGGAGTGGGACAACGGCGGTGGCTAATGGGGGTGTGCGGGGGGTAGCGCAGATTGGCGATTTGGCGGCGGCGGCGGAGGCGGATGCGGAGGGAGAGGCGGCGGAGACGAGGGATATGCTTAGTACGCTGGTTAGGTTTTTGTAGTTGCAGTGTGGCGGGTTTGGGGGGGGGGGGGTAATGATAATTTTTAACAGCATTTTTTATTTATTTATGGACCTTGTTTTGCTGCTGCTGCTTCTCCGCTTTCTCTGTATTCATTTTTGCCACTTCTTTTGTGAGTGTGTGCTTGTGTGCTTATCTATACCCTAGGTGTGTGGCTATAGTGGGTTAGTTACGTGTAGTATGTTGTAGATTTAGTAGTGCGAACGGCACGAGTGACGGATCGTGATCCTCGCCATATAGCAACGGGGGGGAAGAAATACGGTAGTTAATGGTCTGTCTACATGTATCCAGGTCTGGATATTTCTGGTACTTTAGTGTAGCTACTTTCTATATGTATCTATTTGAGAATCAATCGTATTGTTGCTCGTAGTTGTGGGAGTTCGAAGGGTTGGGGTCTAGGGCGTTAGACGGGTGCGTCATAGGGTATTACTTATATAATGCATCTTTAATAGACATATCATTGGCGTTGGCGCGTTGGCTCTTGTTTTTAATGGAGGTGTTTTGGGTGAGAAAGCACACATGTATCTACATGTGTTGTCACGGCTAGTTATGGGCTGAAGTGGGATAGATGCGTTGTAGTTACTCTATATCTATGTCAGAGCGAATAAAATTATTGCCTACTTATTTACACTTTACGGGTTTAGCGGTAACGTGGGCTGGTCTCGTGGGGTAATCTACGCGGGGTTATATCCACCTGGTACTTAGAAGTATCGAGTGATGCCTTGAGGTTGTTCTGGGTTTGGTGAGCTTACCGACCTTGCGGGGGGGACCTGAGAGGAAGAGAGCCTCTATATTGAAGTTACGGTGATGATGTTGGTAAGAAGCTTTGGGAGCAAGGGGCGAATTACTATTTAAGAGTACAACATTTTTAATCGCCGTCAGGATCATGCACCATCAACTCTGGTCCCCCCTCGATCGTTGCTTACTCGAGCTCGTGGAGGAAAGCCTGCGGAATCGACCGCATCACACCACATCACTCGCACGCCAAGCCTCTAGCTCCTACCCGTCCGCACCACCATCAAGAGGCCCCCCCCCCCCCCCGGAGCTCCCTCCAGCGGAAGGGGAAAAAAATTGAATGACGCCTCGATGGGGATTTGAACCCCAGTCTCCTCTCTCACAGCGGGTACACTACGAGCTGACTTTTAAGAGGTATGCTAACCGACTGCACTACCGTGGCTTGTCGATTCGTGCTGGATGGTAGATGATAAACCTACTAGTAACTAGATGGACACTCTCGGGTAGATGGTGGACATCTGGTGAGGTCGGGTTACTATGGAGCACGTGGAGATCACCGGCGGCCTATTTCTTGCGCAACTGTAGCTACATTATCTTCACTTACTTTGGGATCCTCGAGTGATGGTTTCCTTTTTCAGAAGGGCGATTACATCTTAACTCACTACACACGCGTACGGGTCTAGCACATCATCTTACTCAACAACAGTCTACTGAATCCGGGAGCTCAGTTCACTCAGTACCTCCCCATAGAAATTCTCGAGCGGGGGTCCAACCCCGAGATCTCCGCCGCAAGGCCGTGTAAGGCTGCAAGTGTAAGTGACCGAAAGGGACGTGAGTCTCTTGCCTTGCCGCAACTCAAACGGCCGGCCTCGTGGGTCACAATGTGTATGATATGCAGGTACCTGATGCCGACATGTATCACATGCTCTATTTTAGACTACCTCCTCTGGCACCTGGCCCGTTTCACCTGTCCGGTCCTGTCAAAAGGTAGACACCTGATCACGGTCACGGTCATGATGCCCTACCCCAGCTATCAGGTCTTGATTCAAGGGGAGTCACTCAGGTGAGGGGGGGTAGGAAGTAAGGGGTGTTCCAAACTTTGACAAGTTGTGAGATTAAATATTACTTAAACGGGACACGAAAACCTACAACTATATGCCTTTGACGAATTCTAAGTACGGTTATTTGGATTATCTGCAGTTACAGAAGCGGGCGTTGCGGTCACCTACTAAGTTCTTGCCGCATTGGCTTCACGACGGGAAGATATACCCATACGGCGTCAAATTTACCGCGTTTCGGGGACTGGGCTCGTGTGTGCATGCGGATATATATCGACGTTTCCAGAAGGAGTTCAGGCCAAATTAACTATCGCTAGTTGCTCGCTATAGTTTACGCCCTTGTGGTTATGCAAAATCAAAACAATAGGCTTTTCTTGCCTGGATCCCAGCAGTGCAGCGACACAGTCATGGTGGATCACTCGCCAATGTCGCGTCGGCTACTGTTGCTACCAAGATCCTCTCGAGTGGCATGGTAATTCATATTCTGCCTTAGGCGGTATTTTTCGCCTCTAGATAATGTGGTATCTCCGAAAACAGGCGGCCGCAGTAGGTACATCGGTCGCTATCGACGGTCTCGAATCCCTAACTTTTATTAATTTCTTTTTTAGACGCATGCGCAGCATAGTGCACCTGAGCAAACAACTGACATCTGCAAGTGTATATTTATGGCTCTCAAGGGGGTTTAGTTGGGTAGTATATAACAACTATCCGGTTACGAAGTTGAATATAAGCTTAAGGGCTAGCAAACCAAACGCAAGGGGGTAACTTTTTGCCAAGATATCAATTAGTAGGGGCGCTCGAAATTGCGGATTTCTACTTTTATAGAGTACACCACAGTAATATTACTATATAGTACTTTATATAGAAAATATCTATTATTACACCCCACCTACCGTCGGTGTGGTGACGGAATGCTGGTGCAGGGGGGTGGGACCAATGATAGAGATTTGGGCTTTTATATCTCAACTAGCCCTAACCCTGGTACCAGGGTACCTGGTTAGGCGAACTAAAAGGCATGATTGATATTTAGTCTTTCATTGGTTAATATCCAGAGCCAACACACTCACTCGGGCATTAGCTTAGCTCCGGGCGCCGTTTATCAGTCAAAGGTCAATGATAGAAGAACAGGCATGTCATTTGTGCGGGAGGATCCTGCTTGTCCCACCATGTTTGAGTGTTTTGATAAGCATAAACCGGTCCTGTTTCTATGTTACAAGTGCAGAATACAATGCGGACGAGATATGGAGTTTGAAGGCGCGCCAAGATGAATATTGAACGGTCAGATAGACAGGTATGTAGGGGAGCAGCGATTCTGCATATTCCATCGAGATCTCCATCGTGGCCATGGTAATATCGAGGAACATCTAGGTGTTGCTCAAACACGTCAGTACATACGTCGTAACGATGCAAGGTGAAATCATTATTTTGATGGAGAACATGAATACTAATCTTTATACCCTGGGCCTATTCACTAGCTGCTAGTGCCATGGGTTTATTTTTTTGATACGCTCCACAATCCCCACCTGTGCATTGATTGGCGCGAGATAAGACGAGACCAACCTGGACCCAGGTCTTTTCTTTTCTTTTCTCTTCTCGCCTCGTTTGTAGTATGCAGTAATTGTATCGCTGTGACTTGCACTATTGATGGTAATTGCTAGGGAAGAAGCCGCTTGTAATCTCTCTTCTTATCCTTACACTTGTTTTCTGGGATGATTTTTTTGAAGCAATAGAGAACCCAGAATATAAAGCGTACCGTATGAACTGATGATCAGAAACAAGAAGAGGGAGAGCTAGAGAAGGATTCCTATTTATAGGTATAATTTAGAGAACAAGGTTGCTCAAGACAAAAGTACAGATAGTTTAGAGCCACGTCTAGACATCATACTTATGAAACGTTAACAGCAATGTAGATACTGTCGTTCACGAGGTATTGGCGGATACCAGGTGACGGCGGACAGGGCAAAAAAGAGACAGCCAAGCCAACTTTTACCTACAATTCGCCAATGCCTAGTATCCACCAATACCCCGTGAACGACAGTACTGATCACATCTTATTGTTAATAACAATCACCGAAATGGCTTGCCATATATAAGAAATAGCACTGATGACACGCTACTCTACTAATATATGTCCTAGTATCCTCTATCTGGTCCAGCGCCAAGATGCAGCTACAATTCCCATACTCTGCCACTTCTCACAACTGTATGGAATTCTAGACCGCTGTATTCGCAATATTTCAATCCCTAAAGCCTCGAGACCCAGATAGATGTAACCCAATCCGATTAATTCAAGAACCTACATTGGTCTAAAAACTCTTGCTTCACTTCCACTATCGATATATCACCGCCCCCTGTCTCCGCTCCCAAACAACACCCCAGATCACCGCCCAATGCCCACGTGCTTGGCCCATTTAGCCCACCAACGACCCTAACAAACCAACCACGCCGCCGACACCCAGAAAAGAGACCCTCTATCAAACCACAAAGCCCAATCCCATCCCACCCGCTAGAGCAGAGAACAGCCACTAACGTCCAAAGCAATCTCAGACTAACATCTGTACCATCAACCTGCAAAAAGCTGAACTAATACTAATCTACTCCAATGGAGAACCCGCGAAGAGTAGCCTAATAACGAGACGCGCGTCTGTCCTAGCCCTGGCATGGAGATTAGAGATTAGATCTTCCCGCATCCCGTGTATTACTCGATGACATGTTAGGCCTATAATATGCTATCCAGGAGCTATCGACAAGCCACGGTAGTGCAGTCGGTTAGCATACCTCTTAAAAGTCAGCTTGTAGTGTACCCGCTGTGAGAGAGGATACTGGGGTTCAAATCCCCATCGAGGCGTCATTCAATTTTTTTTGGCTTCCCTCTTGTTGGAGGGGGGCTCTTGATGGCGGGTTAGGTTTTGGTATCAGGGGGCAATGTCAGTAGCCAACGGGTATCGATTTTTACCGACATCTCTCCACAAGCCATAACCATAACTTCACTTACGAGTTTCAAAGACAATATGGTATTTATTCATGTACTCTTGTACCTTATGCGTTCCTACAAATTCGATATGCTTGGCATTCACTAAACCAGACGAGTGATATACCATGATCGACACAACAACCTAACATCACCACTCCACACCACACCATCCCTTAAGCCCAATTCCCCACAACAATTCCACACTACCCACCTCCCTAAGTGGTCCTATAAGAAGTCTCATGCTGACCATTCTCATGATCGCACCCCGAGTTACACGAGCTCAGACTACCCGCACTACCCGAAAACAACCCACAACCACACGCCTCCGCACAATCCTCCGAGCTACAATCCCACAGCTCTTCCGTCAGCGGCTCCAGTAGCAGCATCATCCTCCAGCTCTGGCCACCACCACCGTTTGGCAAGAGCTTGGTGCGTATAAAGCCCAGTCGCTCGTAGATCTTAATGGCGTTGGTGTTGGTGGTTTTTGTGACTATCGAGATCTAATGCAGGCCGTCAGGAGAATTGCTGAGAGTTTAAAGTAGGGGGTGATATGTACCTCATCGGCATCAGCATCAATGAGGGACTCTACGGCCTGTGCTACGAGTCTTCTTCCTGGTCGGGTGTTTAGCTGCGGTGGGGGGTGCGGTTACGGCAGGGGGTGCTATGAGGGGGGGACGTACCGAGACCGCAGCTTCTGTAGTCTTTCCTTACGAGGAGGAGCATTATCCCGCCGCGGAGCATGTTATTGTGGTGTATCTGGACGGTCGATATCACAACCCCGACGATTGCTTCTCCGTCCATTGCCTATGTGCATCCTAGGAGTCAGCGCGCACACACAAACACCAAGAACACGGCGGATGTATCATATACCATAAAGCACAGCTGGGGCCAACTATGGAGGGTGCAGCGGTACAGCCACATGTTGGAGGGGAGCGTTGGGTCGGTTTTGATGACGAAGGCGCGGATTGCGTCGATCTTTGTGGGGTCTGCGGTGCTGTAGGGGACTAGTTGTACCATTTTGGCGGTTTTCAACTTGTGCGGATCAAGAAGATGTCTAGAAAGTAAGTAGTTGGACTGTGATGGATGTTTTTTTATAGTAATGGGTTGGAGCTTGGAGAACTGATCAAGGCTGTGGGAAAGGCTGAACAAGATCTGTCTTCACCGTGGACTACATATGTGGAAGACACGTTGGATGCTTAAGGTGAACAGGAATGACCTTTTTTTGGCTCACTTGGATCTGGATAGAAACATCTCTTGCTGTAGGAGAGTAGCCCAGAATATCCTAACAAAGGATTCGGAAGCAAAAGATTTGATAGTATGGTACAAATCTCCAATAAATGATTGCCATATCGTATAAATAGGACGCAAGCCTAGCTGCAGTCCTAAACTTATATACACCCCAGACCCCCTAGCTTAGGTCCTCCAACACCGTTAGAGCCAGTTGTTACACACAAGGAAGTCCACCAAGAGAGCAAAGCCCCGGTATGCGTACTATCGGGTTTTTGTGCGTCCCAATCATTTCCACTAACCTTGACTGCCGGCCCATACCTGCCCACCCCATCCAACCCGTTCTCTCTCGTGTATAAAGACTTCAACAAAACAACGAAAAAGCGGCCTCTATAAATCACAACCCATCCAGTATAGGGAGACTCCTCACTATTCGATCTTAAGCTCTTATTCAAGACCCCTAACCAACCCTAGCCTTATCCTGTGCCCGGCCTCAATACACCCACCCCCAAAAACATCTGCAGTGCTAAATACCATAGTTTCCCCCCTCCCTCCTATCAAAAAGCCCTCACCGTAGAATCAGGCTTCCCCCCCCCCCCCCCCCTCACCCTCCGCCTCCCTCTCACGCGCACCAAAAACTACTTTAAGATTACAATCACAACCCATCACTCGCCCACACCCACACCCACCTCGCCCGAGCCCGCGCAGAGCCATCCCCAGCCTAGAGTATCATCCAACGATCCTAGTACATCCTCCAACTCAGCAGCGGGCAACGTCCGGGTAGGTGGGTGCTGCGGGGGGGGGGGGGGCAGGGTTAGGTTACCGCTGCGTTCTCTGTGGGTTGGTGAAAGAACTCGATCAAGACAGCGTTCTCTTGGGTAGGTATGTAGGTACCTGAGTTTATCAATTTACAAGCCCTACATGCTACAGAAGCTACTAGACCCCCGTCCACATTTTTCTCCAGACCCGCTACCAACCCGCCCTAAAGCACCCAGACCGCAGCACAAACACACCACAAGACGCCCACACCAACAGACACAAACCCGAAGAGCCGCCTTGAGAGATGTCTTCCACCGTCTGTTCCAACATGTGCAACCAACATCAAATCAACCAGCACTAAAAAAAAAAAAAAAAAAAAAGGCAAATAATAACCCTCTCTAGGTACGTGGCCGAACAGCAAAAAAATAATCTAGAAAAACCAAGGTTAAAACCCAAATAATCTGAAAACCCCGAGGGTAGTAGAAAACCACAACTCGAAAACCGAGCACCTATCTGTCTTGCAGCCGAACGGAGCCTAATTATACACAAAACCATCTTTCTCCAGCATACCCCCACTCCCATACCAACAGTTTGTATATATAAAACCGTTTCTACAACAACAGGCAGCGGTCTCAAAAAGAAAAGAAGTGATTAATCGGATAGATATGACGGGTGGGTTAGGGTTACCGCACACCTACTTACCACCCCACGTGCACCACAGCTCTAGATAGATACATGTAGCTGGGGGGTAATGACTACACTGCACCTTTAATTTCCCGCTGCACCTATTCACTCCACAAATCATCTAGAAATCCGTCAAAAAAAAAACGAACAAAAACACAAGCACAACAGCCAAACCCTTTTAATTTTTAATTCCAACCCCCAAGCAGCTCTCTCTTCCTCCCTCCCATCTATCCTATCCTATCCACCCTATGTAGCACGTAGCAAGCGGTAGAAAAAACCCACCAACTAAAATTATTTTACAATTACCCCCCTCCCTCCCTCCGCGCGCCCCTCCCACAAAGCACACATCCATCCACCCTACCCCAGCAAGCCACTAGCCAGCGCCTCCAAGTCCTCCAAGGTCTCCGGCTCCTCGGCGGCCTCAATAACCCTGCCCTTCTTACCCTTCCTCCCCTTCCTCCCCTTCCTCCCCTCCTCCTCATCCTCCGGATCATCCTCAAACCACTTCCTCTGCCTCTTCTTCTCCCTCTCCTCCACCTCCTGCACCTCCTGCACCTCCTCCTCCTCCTCACTCCCACTCCCACTCCCACCCTCCCACCCCAACGGCGCCTCATACGGCACCAACCCCCCCTCCTCCCCGCCCCCCTCCCCACCCTCCACCCCCCTCGCCCCCCCCTCCTCCTCCTCCCTCCTCCTCCTCCTCTCCCTCCTCTCCCTCCTCTTCTCCTTCGCCACCCTCCGATCCTCCACATCCGCCACCTTCACCCTCTCCCCCTCCACCGCCACAAACCGTCTCCGCTGCTCCTCCGCGCTCCCGGCCTCACGGAACGTCTCGATCCCCTGCAGCTCATACAGCGGCCGCGCGTTGCCGTCATCGTCAAAGACCAGCCGCGTGCCGCGCGGCTTGAGCTTGGCCAGCTCCTTCTTGGAGGTCATCATTTTTTCGCGCCGCTTGGATTCGATGGTGAGGGTGGTTCCGGCGAGGTCTATTGTTTTGGGCTTGGTGGTGGAAGGGGTGGAGGAGGTGGAGGAGTCGCTGTCGCTGTCGCTGTCGTAGCCGGTGCGCTTGACGGTGAGGAAGTCGCCTTCGGAGTCGGAGGAGGCGCCGGCGGCGGTGGGGTCGTCGACGATGAGGTTCTTGTAGTGGTCTGCGAGGACGTTTTGGTTTTCTGCGGGCTGTCAGTTCCTGCGCGGTACAGCTTCTATCTATGCGGTATCAATGATTTCGGGGGGGGGGGGGGGTGCAGAACTCACGTCTCTCAACCATCCTATCATACTTCGTCCTCACCTCCTTCTTCTTCCTCTCCTTCACCCCCTCCACCACCACCACCTCCTCCTCCTCATCCTCATCCCCACTCACCTCCTTCTCCAGCGCCTTCAGCCCGCGCGGCGCATTCTTCAACTCCTTCACCCTCTCCGCATCCACACTCTTCAACCCCCTAATCCTCGGCGCCCCGGGCAGCCCCAAGGACGCCGCATACTCCTCCAGCGGCAGCTCCTCCAGCCTAAACACCTCCTTATCCTTCTGCACACTCACACTCCTACAATAGCTCACAAACGCCTTCTGCCCCAAATACTTAACCTCCGGATCCTTAAAACACAGCGCCTGCAACTGCGTCTGCACGCTCTGCCTCTTGGCCGCCTTCGCATTCACCCTCGCCACGGGCACCTTCTTCGCCACCAGCCTCGCCACAAACGCCCCCTCCTCGCTCGGCGCCAGAAACAGCACCGCGCGGCCCATCTTCTCGAACCGCGCCGTGCGGCCCACGCGGTGGATATACGTCTCCGCGTCCTCGGGCGCATCCACCTGCAGCACCCAATCGACCGCGGGAAAGTCGAGGCCGCGCGCCACCACATCCGTCGCAAACAAGCAGCCATTCTTGGCCGCCGCAAAGCGGGCCGTGACCTCCGCGCGCGCCGTCTGCTTCTGCTTCCCGTGCAGGTGCAGCAGCGGCAGGCCGATATGCAGCTGTCTGAACGTCTCGTACACGAAGCGGACCTGCTTGCACGAGGTCATAAAGACAATAATCTTCGCCTGCAGATGGTTCCGCAGAAACGCAAACAGCGTGTCGAGCTTCTCCTGCAGCGGCACCACCATATAGAACTGCTCCAGGCGCGCGGGGGTCGCCGCCTCGGCCGCCTCATGCACGGCCACATACTCGGCGTCCTTCAAGCCCAGCCTCGCCAGCTCGCCCACATTGCGCGTCTGCGTCGCCGAGAACAGGAGCGTCTGGCGGGTCCGCGGGAGGTTGGCGACAATGGCGTCGACCGTCGCGCGGAAGCCCATGTCGAGGATGCGGTCGGCCTCGTCGAGCACGAGCAGCTGCACGTTGTCCACGTTGAGGCCGAACGTCTGGTCGAGGTGCTGCAGCATGCGGCCGGGCGTGCACACGACGATGTTCATTTTGTGGAGGGCCTCGCGCTCCTCCTTGGCGCTCTTGCCGCCGATGACCAGGCCGGCGGAGAAGGTGTGGTGGCCGCCGACCTTGCGCAGTACCTCGAAGATCTGGGTTGCGAGCTCGCGCGTGGGCGAGATGATGAGCGCGCCGAGGCCGTCGAGGGTGGTCCATTTCTTGCGGTAGAGGATCTCGAGTACCTAGATATTCCACTCTGTAAGCATGCCATTGAATTGAGCGCGCGGGGTGAAAGAAAGAGTGAGAGCGGGAGAGAGAGAGAGAGAGAGAGAGAGGAGCAGACATACAGGAACAATAAACGCAAGCGTCTTCCCACTCCCCGTCTTTGCCGCCCCCAGCACATCCCGCCCCTTCAGCGCGAGCGGGATCGCCTTGCGCTGGATGTCCGTCAGCGTCTTGAAATGCGCCTTGTGCAGCCCCGCCGCCGTCTGCTTCGTCAATGGCAGTTCCGTGAACTCTGTCGCTTGCAAATCCTATCCTCCCCATTAGCCCCTCTTCTTCCTCTTCCTACTACTCCTACACTGGTGGGTGGTGGTGGGGAGGGGGGGGATATAAAACACACAAACTCCGAAACCCTCTTCTCCAGCTCTGCCAGCTCCTCCTCATCCCGCTTGCGCTTCAGGCCCTTTGCCTTTACGGCGGGCTTCTTAAATTTCGGCGCTCCCCTTTCCGGGACCCGTACTGACGGCATTTCTCGATTTTTCGAAATCCAAGTTTTCGCGGTTTCGAGTTTCGCGGTTTCTCGGTGTGTGAATATTTTTTTCTCCCAAGGTTTAGGTGTGACAGAACAGATAATTCCCCCCCCCCCCCTGTACCGAGAATCTGATAAGATAAACACAGCATGATTCCCCTACCCTCAACCGTGTGTGCTGACTGGGCTTGGCTTGGCCCAGCCAGCCAAGCCAAGAAGGAGTGGGGGTGAGGTTACCCTGCAGCCAGACAGCAGAGTGATTCGAGGTGCACCGCTGACCACCCACCCCGTATCAATGTGCCCTCTGCAGTGTACCCCCGAGTGCATGTAGTACAACCCTCAGGCTGCATCTCTCCGCAGCAGATCCGCCAGCTCACTAATCCAGTAATCCCCCCGAGTTTCTGCCGAGGCTCGTATCGCACCGCAGTAGTACTACTGTAGTGTCACTACAGCCTAGAGTACATGTAGGTTAGAAGAGTATCACCAGTAACCAGCCAGCCAGCCTTGTACCTAATATTATTACGCAAACAAAAAACGCCTACACGCCGTGCAGACGTCCCTGCCACTGGGCCACCAATCGGACTATTTCACCGAACCTTCCGCGTCCTATCATTGGCAGGGGGGGGAGGACTGCGAACTAGAGTACTGTACTTCTTAGCAACTATCATCATCTTACTGGTTGCGCGCCGAGAGGAAAAATAGTGACCAGTACGAAAAGAAGAAAAAGAGACAGAGACAGAGACAGAATCTGAATCATTGATGCCACGCTGAGTGGGCAGGGAGGAAGTTGTTTACCGCTACCCATCTACATGTATGTACTGCATAGTATTATGTACACAATGTAGGTATCACAAGGAGCAGCATGAGATTTTTTCGACAGAAATATCACTGGCACGGCTCATGCTCATGAATCATTTCCCCCCCAATTCCACTATTTCATCCAGTAGAAACTGTAGAATCCAGTTTAGAGCTAGCAGAAGCGGAGAGAATTTTTTTTTTTTTATTAAAAAAAAGGTTTCTATCCCTGAGGCCCTTCTTTTTCTGTCCCACTGTTCCAGACCAGGCCGGTCTTCGGCGCTAGAGTAGTAAAATACCCCGAGCAGATCTAGAGCAGAGTAGAGCAGACCGACTAGGTAGGTACATAGTCGACGTCGAAAATAGACGCCAACCCCCCCGCGGCAGACGCCATAGAGAGAGAAAGAAAAAAAGGAAAAAAAACCACCACGCCCCCAACACTTCCCCGCACCAGTTAGCTAGCCCTTCCACCGCCTCTCTGATCCTCAGGGCCAAACTACAGGCTGGCCGGTGATAAAGAAAGAGAGGGAAAAAAACCCACTTTCTCTCTCTCTCGATGCAGGGCAGACGGGTAAAGATCAGCGGGTAAGTACCAGTACCAGTACATACGTAAGCAACAAAAAAAGGTACGTAAAAGAAAGAAAAAAAGAAAAGAAAAAGTCCCAAGACTTTTTTAGGAGAGATCGTGGAATATATCCGGCGCCCATATATCAGATCGGTGATCATTCATCTGGCTGGTTGACATCAGTACTTTAGTCCAGGGGAGCGGGGTCGAAGCTCGCTTAAAGAAACGAATAGACTTGTAGAACCATAAAATAAAATAAATAAATAAATAAAATCCGGGGGGGTGTTTAGTAGAAAGAGAGATTTCGATTCCAAAATTTTGACACAACTCCCGGACGGACTTGGTGGATAACTGTATTTCCGGCCGGAGATGTACCGGGGCTTCAGCGGTGAGGAGAAAAAGAGGGTTAAAAATCATCCTCTGTGGTGAAAAGCTGTGGAACCGTTCCGGACACAAATTCTTCTGTGATACCCCCTAGAATATACCCGATATCATCTCCGTCACTATTAAAAATAAAAAAAAACAAGCTGCTGGTTAGTACAGGCTTTGATCCCATGTGGAACATAACACGAAAGCTAAAGTCAAGGTTAAACTCCCCCGCATTAATGATATTGGGAAACCAGAGTCAAAATTGGCCGTAGATAAGATTTTAAGCTTTCGTCTGTCTCGAAAAACATGAGTAAATCCTCTCCGCACCAGTCTTTTCTCTCTGAATATCTGTCTATTAGCATATATCAAAGGTTTAGAGAAAATCTTTCGTTAAACCGTAGCACATCTTATCCATGTATTAGTTAAAATCACAGGATATCTCACCCGGATCTCGACTAAAATCGTTGCGTCCGTCAAAGTGTCGGTCAAAGATAGGTTTGAATATCAGAAATCACCCGAGGAAAAACTGAAATCCGTTAAAAGGATATCAGAAGGGGGTTTTGGCGCAGTGGAGTAAATCTCTTCGGAGAACACGCAAGGCAAAAACAAGGCTTCAGCTCCACGTAGGTTCTTCGATGTCAGAGGAAAGCCCATGAAGAATTTTAAAGTTCGCACCTCCGGTGCAGTGTTGCTCAAGCTCAGGTAGAAGCCCCCTCAGTGAACAAAGGTATAAAAAAAAAACCGAAGAACAGCCGTGTCGATGGCAAGAGAAAGTAGTGAGCTCATCAGTGAGCACCCAAATGCAACGAATAGGCAGTAAATGAAGCCTCACACCCCTATATCGACCATAGGAAGAGGAGAAAGGCCAGGAATCAGGCTGCGATTCCGACAGAATCTCCGGCCCAAAAATAAGGCGAGAATGATGATGGTGAGTCCGAGAGAAAGAGAAAAGATCATAGGTAACTATAGATCGCCCTCGATCGTAATATCCACTGCCTAAACATATCCCTTCTCCAATCCATAGACCAATCATACTCCCCACGTGGCCCTCAGAGGGGGACTGCCGAGTGAGCATCCATGATCTGTCTCGCTGCACAACCGACCGGGCAACCTGCATAATCAAGCGCCCGACGATAACGTATAGGGTTACAATCTTGGCCCTAGCACTAGGTTCTTGGCAATGTGCAAGGGAATCGTCGATTCCCTTGCTGATCGCTTACAACGTCCTAAAAACGAATAGCCTGGATCGTCAATCCCAAGATAAGCAATGAGATTTAAAGCGGCGGATAAATTGCATCAGCAGTGCCAAGAACCCAGAATATCTGTCTCATAAGATCTGTTGAACCGATGGATGGATGGATGGATGGTTGTCGGTAGTTGGCATAAAATCCAACAAGGAGCAGCATATCATGTAGCTGAAGGATTCTCAACCGATCGATTGGGTACATAATCTTTAGCAACGGATACGGAGTTTTGTCTCGTTTTTTCCAGATTACTCTGCAGTCATAGTTAGGAATATCCATATCGATAGCATCGAGAAACGGGGCAGAGAAGGCGTACCGCAAGGTGCCCCTTAATAAGCAGGGAATACCTCATCAACCTTATTTCCTGGGCATAGAAGATATTTCAGGTACTTTCCCATACAGCGGGATATGCAACCAATCGTTGAGGCATCTTTGATAGATTGAGGATGTTCCAGTTGGTATCTCAGGTCTCTTGGGATCGTTGACGATAACAATTTGATAGACGGGGGGCCTTGTAAGCACCGAGGACTTTTGAAATCCGTCCAGAATTGTGAAAGCTCTGAAGTAACTGCCGGTTCCCATTGTCATCCTAGGTATGCTATCGGTATTTCCTGAAAATATACTCCGATAATGAACGGTGAAAGGGGTGAGGTTGATAGGAAACCCTCCAGGCAAGGAGGGGTAAGAATGCGGGGGAGAGAAAACCTGATAGTATTAGGGTTAGCCGTGTATACTCAGTTTCATATGGTTCATGTAATAGTTACCATTAAGATTCAAGTAAACCTAAACATCAGAATAACAAAACAATATTCAGCATGCATGATAGGTCGGGTCTCGGAACCGTGCCTTCAAGCCTCAATATCAAAAACACGACCGCAAAAACCAATTCTGAACCTCAATACTGTAGGGGGGTCTGATAAAGTAGAGCTAATGGACTCCGCTACTTCTATCGACTTGCTTTTGTTTCTTTCCTTTGAACTAGTGTTTCCAAGTGTTTTTGCTGTGGTTTCCCGTCTCGTAGCGTATATAGTTTGAAGCAGTAGGCAACAACAGATTTACGAGATTATTGATCATGAGATCATGCTGCTGACCGGCGGCCAACCTTACAAACTAGATTCGTCGAGACAGTTCAAAAATTGTGTTAGGCATACACACGGTTGACTGATATCTCGTTGTTTTTGCCTTTTTCGAAGGATGAGATATGACCGGGAACGGTACCCAGGTTTTCATCGTCATTATCAGTAGGGCGAGCATGTAATTACCAATCAAAAGTTGTTTCTCTTGATGAGTCTGAGAGTGTACTCGGTTCCCCACATTAATTGGCCTATAGCCAGGTACGCACTTGCATCCAAGCAAGATATGCGAGGTCTCGAGAGAAAATGAAAAAACAAAACAAAACGAAAGTTTCTTTTGTCTCGAATAAGCCCCTTTGGTGGGTCAGTTACCCATTAGAAGAAAAAACGAACGTGCAGAAGCGGACTCCACTCACTCGTGCTTTAACGACATTAACGTTTGTGTGTCTTGGTCCGCGGTGCGCGGAGACGAACTTCAAGGAAAGATTCACAGATTCTGCTCACATGACCAATATCGCGGAGTACGAGCGTGTGTGAGCGCCGGAAAGCAGTATCAAACGAGGTACCTTTGGCCGACTGTTTATGGCCCCCCTATCCTCTTGTGGGAAATGATGCTCAGGTACCCGCCGGTGTCCGCGCCTCCCTCGCCATAAAACCAAGACCGAGCTTGTCTAAAGATTTGACCCGCTCTCGAAGGGGAAAGAAGAAAAGAAGAAAATCGTTGAGAAAATTTTAGCGAAGAGAGAAATAAACCAATTTTTTTCTTTCACCTGCATGATACGGTGGAGAATTTTGTTTTGTATGAGGTCTGAGCAGATTATGTTTGCACGACCATTGGAATTGACAACCCCCACTGCACTAGGAGTAACTACATCTGTAGGTACAGTGACTACCCGTTACCGTACTCAGCCGCGGCTCGTAAATTTTCAAATTTTTTTTTTTTTGCTTGTCTGCGTGTGTTTCTGTGGAAGAGGAAGTGGAGGAGTAGGAGGAGGAGTCCATGCACGTACCATTAATAGCCTCAATTACTACATATCGCCCTCCGAGAACGTGCTCCGCTTACGACTTCCATACCGCTGTCTCGGTCAATTCGGTAGTCGGTTAGTTCCAACGACAAGCTTTGATCTCACAAACGACCCATGCACACGTATCGTGAGATCTGTCCAAACCTGAACCCCCTCCAAAAGATTGAGGCTGCAACATTCCACAACCATGAAAAGTGGCATGTCAAACGCAAAGTCCGAGTATATCTGTCTGAGATGCATTGCCGTTCGGCTTCGGATACGAAAATCTCCCTTATTCTGCCTTTTTTGCCTTACACTTACATCCTATCCTCGGCGATTGTTCGGCCGGCCCAGCGGCTGGAGAGCATAGAGAAGGTACAGGAGGAAAATATAGATGTCAATGATCGATTTTCAGACAAAGCTCTACAGGGCTCAGTCAGAGAGACAGGCCTGTGACGTCACCGCGGGGGGGGCGATCATGCAACGTGGACCACTTCAGATCACCAATCCTCACCCTCAGCAGCTGGCTGATATCAATATCACCACTACTTTCGAAAAAAACCATTTCGTTTATCAAATTCTTTCGGTGTCAGTGTGCAGTCTTAATCATGACGCAGGACACATTAAACTAAAAGGGCAGTTCTTTTTGGTATCAGGGGAGGCGTCCAAACTAAAACCCGAACGTTGCTTTTTCCTGTACTTCCAGATTTGTATCTTTTAGAAGATGGAAATGGTAAACGAAGAACGGGCTCCCCGCCCCCGCCCCGCAACCACAACCACCCCCGGCCACTTCCGCACCAGGTCAGCTCGAGCAGGCTCTCCGCCATGGTGGTAACTTTTGAGTGTGCGTCAAATCAGAACCCGTAGAATCGACACCAATTCTGCACCAATTTAACCGGCGCTGGTCAACAATTGCCAGACGAGACACCAAGCTTTGTGAGCGGGGGATTGCTGGTTGGTGTGTTACATCATTATCCGAAGTAGAATACATGCTTAGAGGGTGCATTTGTGGAAGACGCATCTTGGGGTAAACGTGCAGGTTGGGTACGTTCTCGCTGCTGCTCGCTACACACACACACAACTGCCGCCGACGCCGCAAAAGGGTTCTAAATGTAGATTTATTCCAAACAGAGCCAACCCTCCCGTCAATGGGTTGTGGTGGTGAGCAGTAGTGCACGGGGAAGTGGAACTCTGTAAATTATCCGTTGGTGGTAACCGTGATGGAGGAGCAAACTGTCGATTCCAACATCAAGGCCAGATAAAGTGTGCCCGCACGTAAGATGCTGTGCACGTAACGCTCTGCATACGAGGCGAGATACCAGAGATAGGCTCGTTGCAACGTCCGTCATGGGAGAGGTTAGAGAAGGCCCGAAATTATCATTCGGCGGGCACATGGTGCGTAGTGGTTAACGCCGGCCCCAGCTTCTTTTCTGCTGCACCGAGGAAGTGGCCAAAGATCTAAGTGGCCTCGTGAGCATACCTGGGGAGACGATTACATGTGCTGTACGTCGTATTGATAGTCCCATAGTACGTAGCGTGTACGCATTGATCATCAACACCTGCTCCAGCTCTCTCTACCAAGGTCTTAGAACACCTAGAAGGTAAAAGAAGCAGGAAGTATCAACTGAGCAGGGTCCATTTCACATGATAGATTTCCAGTCTAGGGATGGAGAAGGACCCTGGAAGAAGGGGGGCGGGGATTGAGGTGAGGTTCGGTAGATTAGAAATATGTCAAGTATCTAGCAAGGGACGTACATGGGTAGATCCTATAAAGGTACATGAACTCATGTAAGATGTAGGTACATGTATCTTTAGTTACTTTGGAGATATACCGGGGTAGGGTTGAACACTTCTGTGGCCAGTGGGGAAGAGGGAAAGGGTTCCATGAGGCTACTTTAGTTCGAATCTTGGTGTAATGTTTTAGTTTACCTTGGCTCGGATCTATCAAGATCTAAGTCCGGAGGACGGAGAGGCTAGAGAGGAAGACCTGGTAGAAGCCTGCAGGCTAACAACAGGCAGGTATCAACAACAGTGTGCTAAAGCTGCCCTGAAGCCATGAAAGCTCAGCTTTACTAGTAGAGGAGTTACAACGGAACATGTGTGGACTTTCTTTTTTGTATTCTACTCGCCCACGTGCTCTTCGGCCGGCTGGTACACAAGTAACTTTCCCGCTGAACTGGAACAGAAAAAAAAGGATAACCCCATGTCAATTGAAACTCACACAGCGTCATCCGTCCCCCCCCCCTCCCTCCCCGCCTCTAACGTTATTTCCCCCACTCGCTTTGCAATCCAGAGTGGTAAGAATCCCCCCAACCACCATCGTAAAACAGCAAAAACAAATCAAAAGGGAATCCCAAAAGGTAAATCCCAATGGCTGTCTCCTGCACCTTCGTGGGTGAGGGAAGCTCGTGGATTCGTCCAAATTACAGCCCCCCCTCCAAATTCGAAGCTTATTGCCCAATTGGCCCCTCCATCGCTGCTTAGACTCCTCTTTTCCTTGGACTGGGGGTCCTTTCTCTGGCCAGGACTACGGCGCGTCTGCATTGCATGGCATCTGCATGATGCAGTAAACAGGGTTTAAGGGAAGATATTTGGAAAAAAATAATACATCTGAGATCTAGGGTGCAGAGGCCATCTGCGGTGGCCTGCCTGGCATGTTTCGTAAAACTTTAGGTTTGGGGGCAAACAGGCGTCTTGGGTCCTTATCGCCGCGCTAGTGCTCTAGCAGCAACCCACACGTACGTCTGATCTGGCCCGCACTGCCTCTGACTCTCCCCCACAATCGTCATCCCCACCAGTCTATCGTGGTCATGGTCCTGGTCTTGGGGCCTTGGGACAGTAGGAGGGGGGAGGAGGATATAAGGTCACCCTCTCACCCCCTTCAACCGTCCTCATCAGCACAGCAGTCAACTCATACAGACAAGCCAAAGCATCCTCTTCCTCGAGCAACACTCACACTTGAAAACTCACTTTCATTCTTTGCGCCAGCAATCCCACTACAAAAAACATTCTTGCCTCCAGCAATCCTCATACCAAAAACCACTACCAAAATGTCCTCAGTCCAGAAGACCGTTTCTCCTGCCATCCGCAAGCCCACCACCTTCTTGTGCCTTGCGCCAGTCCACTCTGCCAGCTTCCCCAAGCAGCAGCCTCAGTCTCCCAAGATGTCTCCAATCACCTCCACTGCCATGGAGACCGCTGTTGAGTCCCCAGTTGGCTCTCCTCTCCTCCTTCCTCAGACATCTTCCCACCGCAGGAGCTCCACCTCATCCATCGGCAGTGCCACTGAGAAGCGACGATTCCTCAAGTTGGGACCCGTTTTCTGGGGTGGCGCCATCGGCGAGAACGACTACGCCATTGAGGACTAAGCGACTCGACCCCCCTCTCAATCATTGAGGTTGAAGTTCCCTTCGGTTTCGATAATTGTTTTGGCCCTTTACTTTTATAAATATTTTTATATTCTCATGCCATCTTTTATTTCTCTTGTGTTGATGGTTGAGAATGGAAACGGAGTTTCTGATGCAGGTACTATTGCGGCAGGATAAAGGAGTTTGGTTTTTTTTTGTCAGCTCGGACGAGTCGCTTCTTTCTTTTGTTTATTTTGTTTCTTTTTCCAAATTTTATTTTTTATCAAATTTCCTATTATCAAATTATCAAAGTTAACAAAAAATCTGTTGGACGTTTGGGGTGGGAAGGGGATTGGTTGGGGTGGAAGATGGATTTTCCTTACTTTGATGAAGGTCGTACGTCGTCGGGTGTGAAGGGTCTCGGCTTGTCGGTCTTCGGAAGACGTTTTTTTGTTAGGGATGTTGGACTTGAGGCTCTGGTTTTTATCAGACTGGAATCTTTTTTAGGACAAGAAATTTAACAATCAATTGGCTCTTCCAATATCGCTGGCTCGCAACTGCACTCCTGATTGGGTGATTCCGTGTTACTTTTGAACATTTGAAGCAACCGCCCATTGAGTAGGGCGCTTGGCGGTCACTCGTTTGGCTGCTCGAAAAGGGGCGCACCGTGCCGCCAGTGGAGGTTGGGTGTTTCATTTTACTGGAAAAGGGAAGGTGATCCCGCAATGGAGAACCCAATATGGGCGAAAATACGACCAGTTGGACAAGGCCCCGAGAAGAAAATGAGAAGGAGAGGGTTTGTATTTGAGTACCGGTACCCCAGATGAATGAATGATGAATATTAGAAAGGAGGGATGGAGGGAGCGAGGGGGGAGGGGTGGTGGTTGTGGGAAGGAGAGCACGCGATAGCTTGTTGGAGGGGAAGTATGTGCACAAGTTGCGAAAGGATTGGTAAATAATTGAGCAATTGGGGGGTTCGTGTTTAAATGGTTGTTCCATGTTCATCTGAGCAAAATGTCAAAACTAAAAAGCGAGACCTAAATTCGGGGGGACAGGCAAATGGGATGACGAGAAAGAGAGTATTGGCATTTGGGGGGGATGATGAAAATCCATGTTAGGTATCATGTAGTGTTTACTAGGGTTGTTGTTGAAAGGACCAGTAACGAGGGTATCTTGCCGCCGGGACATGCTCGCCAGAGGGATGGCTGGTCGGGAGCGGGATCATGGCGTTCGACTTCATTTCCCACATCCCCAGAGCGAGGCTCCGTCCAAGGTTCTCGTGAAGGGCGCCAGTACCAACATGGGAAAATTCACACTCGCTTCTGCTCCGTCTGGGGTTGTGTTATAACTTTTTTATTGCATGTCCAGGAACGCTCTCTTGGCTGTCTTTCGTTTTCCCTTATTTTTTCATCTCCATGCCCAAAACGGTCTTGTTTTTCTTCTTTCTATCAGATTGAGAGTAGGCCATGTAAGTAGGCAGTTTCCTAGTTTTGTTATTGTTGGGTTCATGGTGGTCAAAGTAAGCCGTTTCTGGTTTCTAGTCCTAGGAGGTAGGTAGGAGGTCAAGCTGTATGTATCGTAATATCGCAATAGCGCAATATCGTATTACAGAGAGTCAGAACCACCACGACGAACAGACAAGAGCGCTTCACTGTGCGGGAAGGGAAGGGAAGAAGTCTTGCTTGGACTGTGCGTGTTCCCATCTATCCCTATCCACCGGCGCCATAGCAACATCGATTGTAGTTGTTGTCCACAAGCTGCTGTCTATATCACAAAATATTTCCTTCCTTACATGTACCTCCCACTACCTCTCTCCACTAACTTTACTTTGCTGTACCTCATCCTACATACCTCCACCTCACGCTCCTTAGTACAGTAGTAGTTTGCCCCTCCCCCCCCCCCCCCCTTTCTTCTCCCTAAGGCGCTTCCTAGCTGTAAAATAGTCGGTTGTTGTTGCGGGTTCTTTTTTCTCTTTCAATTTCTGTTTTTCTGTTTCTTTTTTATCTCGGCCTACATGCAACTTCTGCATGCTATTTACATACATACACCTACATACGGATACACGTACAATTGAAATCCTTTTCTCATTAATTTCCCCCCCCCCCCCAAATAACCTCTGTTGCTGCTGCCTAATCTGTCTCTGCGTCTACTCTTTCCATCGGAAATTGTAGGATAACGGTTATCCTGCTGCCATCACTCAGGTAACAGCCAGCTTGTTGGGTTATCGTTGTAGCTATAACTCTACCTTCTGTTCTATATCGCCCTTTCTCTTTCTCGCTTATAATTTTCCCTTTTCATCCATTTTTTTTTTAAAATTGAATACCGGCCTGGAACCTCTCTTTTACACCCTTTGGCCCCCCCCAGCCCTGCTGTTTTAGCCGTGCCCCATTCGTTGGCGCTGTCACCTAATCAGAAAACACACCCAATACCCATCGACGCTCATTAAACTTCTCTCACTCTCTAATTCATCGTCAGGTCGTTCCATTTCCTGACCATCACCGCGACCATCACAACGCATCCACCCACCACTTCTACCTTCTCACACCCCCCCCCCATCACCAACTCCTCCTCCCGCCCTCCCCCCCCTCCTTCTTCCCTTCCTTTCTCCGTTCTGTTCCCATCAAGACTGAGCTCCATTCCCCTCGACAACAATCTCCTATTCAACAACCTCTTCTAACGTGGTTGTTCCAGCCGGGTCGCTCTCTCTTCTCCCCTGCTTTCGCTTCACCGGGGCTGAACTTCAAAGGTCTTGTTTCGTCAAGAATCTTTCTTCTTAGTTCCGGTTTCTAGGAGATAAAAAAGGTCCCCCCCCCCCCCATCGCCTGGGTGATTCTGTTTATTCTATTTATTCTTCTACTTTCCTGCGCGTGGGAGGAGATCGAGAGGTCCATCTCCAGCCAAGGATAAGCGAGAAGGGAAAAGGAATTAGGAAACAACAACGGGAGGGCGTGAATACAATCCTATCATTTCGCGAGTTTAAGCTGCTTTTTTCTTCTTTCTTCTCTTCGTTCCCTTTCTTCTCTTCATTCGTTTCTTCTTCACCCTCTATTCTTCTAGACGAAGTGTTGTGGTAGACTTTTACATTACAAAAAGATGGATTTCGAGAAAAAAGTATCTGTGAACGGGAATGGGGACGTCCCAATGGCGCATGAGTCTAAAGCTCAAGATAATGTAGCAGGTGCGTCGACTAGTCCTTCTTTTTCCTCTTTACCCACCACTATTCCCTTTTCCCCGCCATTCACTTTTCCCTTCCGATCTCATCTCATCGCAGCTTTTCCTTGCCTCACATCCATCTCTTCTCCCCCACATTCTCTCCGATCATCGTTCCCGATCGAAGCTTCTTTTTCATTTGGTCCAACACCAGCTAACTGATATTGCCATACATAGACTCGAGCCCCAACCCCAATTCATCAATTCAATCGGGTCCTTCATCATCCCACGATGATACATCATCATTGACTGCTACTGCGAAGCCGCCGCCTTCGGCGTCAACTGTTGGAACTGAAGTACCCCCTTCAGCTCTTAATAACAACGCTTCCGTATCGCAGAAGCGAAACTCTCTGTTGGCAGTCCCTACCCGGACATCGTCTACCAAGAATACTGCTGAACAGTCACCCACCTCCACTAGTAGTACCGCTGTTACCGCATCCGGCGACGCAGACCCAGACGCAGACGCAGCCTCTACCAACAGCCGGAAGAGGCGAAGGGGAGGACGTGGAGGAAGCAAGGCTAGTAGTGTCACAGGGATAGGGGGCCGAAACCCAAAACAGGGGGGAATAGGGAGGTTCTTTGGGTTCCTATGCTGTCGTGCTGGTTCGTCAGGGGAGAATGACCCGGGCTCACGCAAGGCCGAAATAAGGCCCGGTTCAGTACCTTCTCGAAGAGCAACTCCGGTCGTCGGGAAAGACGCCAGAACGTCCGCAAAAGACAGCAGTATCGGCGAATCGAAGGATGCCGTGATAAACGAGAAAATCGCGTCGGAAGCTGGAGATAGTGAGGCTAAGCCGGAGAGCTCTGCGGTACCTCCCGTCGTACTAAATGCGCCAGTTGTCGAGGAGAAGGACGGGGACAAGATCAAGCCGACAGATGGTGACGTGCTTGTTGGGCGGGAAATCATTGTGAAGGATGAGTCTGCGGCTGAAACCAGCGGCGCGAGCGATGAAAGAAGGCTGCCGTTGTTGGATGCACCTACGGTCACCGTTGAGGCCCCCACCCCAACTGGACCTTCTAATGAGAAAGATGACATTTCTACATCAGAACCAGGCCCTGCTCTATCCCCCGAAAAGGCACCAGAAGCGCCTATCGTTCAAAAGGAGGAAGACGTTGTGATGAAAGATGCGGCAGCAGCAGATATTCCCCCGACCGAAGAAGTCCGAAAACCGATTACCATCGAGTTGCCGCCCCCACGTACGGAATCGCCCCAACACGAGGAAGAGCCCGAGGAGGCGGACAATGAATCAGAGGATGGAGGTGCGGTCCAGTTGGTACAGACACCTACCGCAGATGATAGGCAACAGTGGTTACTACCCCCTATCGCACCCAGGTTCGAGGGAAAGAAGTGCTTGGTTCTGGATTTGGATGAGACCCTGGTTCATAGTAGTTTCAAGGTAATATAGAGATCTAGCCGATGCGATGTTTATCCGATCGTAATCCTGGATACTAACTGCCACAATAGGTATTGCATCAAGCCGATTTTACCATCCCGGTTGAAATCGAAGGTAACTATCATAACGTCTATGTTATCAAGAGACCTGGTGTCGATCAGTTCATGAAGAGAGTCGGAGAGCTATACGAAGTCGTTGTATTCACAGCCTCCGTTTCGAAGGTGGGTTTCTTTTTTCTTTTTTTGTTTCCCTTTGTCTATTTTTCGAGCGCCACTAACATCTTTGTAGTACGGTGATCCTTTGCTCGACCAGCTTGACATTCACCATGTTGTCCATCATAGGCTTTTCAGAGAGAGTTGCTTTAACCACCAAGGCAATTACGTTAAGGTAAAATTTCGCACGGACCAATTCGCCCATCCCCCGCGTGCGCACATAAGTAATCTAACATTTTTCTTTCTTTAGGATCTCTCTCAGCTTGGTCGTGATCTCAAAGACACCATTATCATCGATAACTCGCCTACCAGTTATATCTTCCATCCCCAACACGCCGTCCCGATTAGCAGTTGGTTCTCAGATGCTCACGATAATGAGCTTCTCGACCTGATTCCAGTTCTCGAAGATCTATCTACACAGGATGTGAACGATGTCACTTTGGTTTTGGATGTTTCACTTTAAGCACAACGATAATTTTAGAAATCCGTTGACGCATACTTCTTTTTGTGTGTATTTCTTGCGACGTGATCGGCGTTTCTTCTACTGTCTGCACACTGCATTGTCCTGGACAGATCAACAACAAAAGTGGGATTCTAATAAAAAGGCATGAGAAAGAGGAGGATTGGTAAATATAAAAAATACCACTAGGAGGAACGGACGGGCGATAGGAGTGCCCTGACGTCTGGGGAATCTTCATCATACGATTGTCATAATTGCCAGGAGCACGGGTCTTTGTTTTTTTGTGGTTTTTCTTTCGAGGTTATTTCTAGCCGTGTTTTTTTTTTTTTGTCGATCTTATCACTCTTTTTTTCATTCGTCTTCAATTTTCATTGTGCTTGTTACCATTTGTGTCGTGTTCAGTGCTATTAGCACATGGTGCAGAGTCACCTACTAAGCTGGCTATCTGCCATTTTCTTTCTCCGTCTTCTTTTCTTTTTCTTTTGTAATGTTTTGAATTTAGTATCTAACCCACTTCACCTTTCCTACTGTACCTCATTTTCTTTCTTTTCCACTATACCTCTTTGAACTCTCTCTTTTCCTGTTATTAGGATGCATACTTATTAACCCCTTTTTAACTCTACCTTTTTTCTCTCTCTACCTATTGTGTGTAGTATCTATTCAAAACACCTCTACCTTACTAGTACTACAACCACTCCTGCATACTTCCGTGGTGTAGAATCTTCTCCCTATCTCTCTCTCAATGGTGCGGGTGGATGCTTTGACTTTTTTTGATGACATACCGGGTAGTGGACTTTTTTTTGCGGATGGGTCGACTTTTTGTTTTTGAAACGTACCATTTCCATTTAGTGGGGTCAGTACGGACAATTCGTTTTAGTCCGCAATCTTTTCTTTTCTTTAGGGAATACCGCACCCCTATATACGCTACCTAGAGTAGAGTAGATATCACTTTTTTTCTTTTGCATTTGGTCAAAGAATGGGTCGATATAGTCGCTTCGATGGCTTTTTTTTTGGAGGGGGGAGGCGGGGAAGGTATTCTTTCACTTTCTTTCCTTCCGTTGAATTCCTTCGTTGTCTTGTCTCAAGGCTATATTCTGCACATTCCCTCGAAAGGGAGAAAGAAAAAAAATTATGTTGTGATATCAGGCTGTGAATTTTTTTTCTTCTTTTCTACTTTCGCTTTATATACTTTTTTTGCTTTTTGGGTTAGTATTCTTCTCTGTATCTGCTTTTCCCTCCCCTCTCTCTTCTCCCCCCGCGATTCGAATTGGGCCCGGGGAAAGGATTCGTAATAGCCACGGGGGAGTTGTGGATGGAGATGGGGCGAGGGTACCGGTGACTGTTTGTGATGGGGATGTTGCGCGGAGGGAAAGATGGGGGGGGATGCGTGTGGAAAAGAAAGGCGGGAGAAGAGATTGTCAGTACAGTATATCCAAAAAAAAAAAAAAAAAAAAGCAGCATTCGCATATATATATCTTCATCTAGCTGTGTGAGGAGCATGTAGAGGGTGTAACCCCATATACAAACATACATATATATACATTACCATACCCGTTTTTTTCTTTCCCCCTTCTCTGGATGGCAATATGGAAGTGTGCTCTCCATTCTAAACAACTTTATTTCCCGACTATGACAGTTACGACCCGGGAAATATAGCATACGGCAGGCAAGGCAAGCAGGCAGACAGGCAGGTGGGGTTTAGAATCGGTCGAGGAAATCTACATGGATCTCACCACCATGCCATGCTCATGTCCATGCCCTTATCCCTCCCTCAATTTTGCGGGGGAGAAACCAGCGCGAGAGGATGAACGAGTGCGTGCCCAAACCCAAACCATTCGGACTCACACGATCAAGATGTGGATGGATGTGACATGACATGAACATGGGTGGGATTGAGAGCCTAGAAGGTAGAACAAGGCCAGTTGAAGTAGCGTAGCAGTAGAAGCATTAGCAGAAGCAGTAGCGAAAGACCCTTGCAGAAGCCAGTAGATACATATCATACTCTAGACAGTGCAGAAAGCTAAACACCCTCGACAGGTCACGTTATGAGACTATCTATAACCAGTATCGGTACCTAGGTAGCCTCTCTCTTCTTACTCACACACGCACACCCACCTACAAAAAAAACGAACACGCTCCCATCCATCCAGCAGCAAAGGAGGGACAGACCAGCGCAGCGAATCTTCAATTAACCGCTGTTTAGTTGACTACCTACAGCAACAAAAAGCAGGAAAATACTTTGACTACGTACCGAATCGACCATTCTCAGCCGATTGGTCGGAGTTTCGCCCAGCTGCAGCGATCATCTCTATCGGAGAAATAGGGAGGGGCTACGTTACGGAAAAATTACAAACAAACCTATAGATACCCCGCTCTCCGTACCTTCAGGAAGCTAGGTAGCTGCTACTACTCTACGGCGAAGCTAGGTATTTCCAGTGCAAAAAAAAAAAAACAGCAACAAAAACCTACAAGAAATCTGAAAAAATGGTTGAGGAAGACAACAAACCGCCAGCGGAGGCTGCCGTGGTTGAGGGCCAGAATGAGAATGAGAATGAGAACGAGAACGAGGGTGGGAACGATGATAATAAGGCGTTGGCTACCGTGAATGGCACCAAAGAGAGCAACAGAGCGGTTATCGCGAGTGAGGCCGAGGAAACAGAGGATGAGGATGTTCCCGTTGATGTCATTGAGGACGACGAAGGTTGGTGCACACTATTTTGCTTTTTGAGATGTGGAGTGACGATGGTGGTTGGGTTGCTGACAGCCATCGCTTAGATTTACTTGACGATTACCCACCGGACGTTGAGGTATGCAAGTGTGTGTGAAAAGGGTTGCTGGAGAATTGAGGGGCTGATTGACCTGACCTGGTGTAGGATATCGAGCTCGTCCACCTCCGAATTTCATCCATCACAGCGCTGAAGCTCGAACGATTCAAGGAAGTCCAGGTTTTTACCCCCACTCTCTTCCTGCTGCTCCTGCCGCCATCCTAACAGCTACTGTTACTGCCAGAAATTATGCCTCCGCCAGAACAACATCCTCGACATAGAAGCGCTCGGTCATCTTGGAGGGACGCTGGTAGACCTGGATCTCTACGATAACAAGATCGGCCACATCCACGGTCTCGAGGAGCTCACGAAGCTGGAGAACTTGGATTTGTCATTCAATAAGATCAAGCACATCAAGCGGATAAACCACCTTACGGGTCTCAAGAACTTGTACTTTGTACAGAATAGAATTGGGCGTATCGAGGGATTGGAGGGCATGACGGTGTTGAGGAATCTGGAGTTGGGAGCAAATAGGATTAGGGTAGGGGATGCGTTCTACCGGTTTGGGTAAGAAATGCTGACTGTGTGGCAGGAAATTGAAAATATCGACCATTTGACAGCATTAGAGGAGTTGTGGCTGGGAAAGAATAAGATTACAGAGCTGAAGGTAGATGAGCCAGTGATTATTAGCTCTTAGAGCTGCTGCTAACCATGATATTTGCAGAACCTATCGACATTAACCAATCTTAAAATTCTCTCCATCCAATCTAACCGCCTTACTAAAATCGAAGGCCTTGAGAATCTCACTTCCCTCGAGGAATTTTACATCTCACACAACGCCCTCACTGAGATATCCGGACTTGAAAACAATGTTCGTCTCCCGTCCCTACATATATCGATCCACTCAAGACTAACAGACATCAGAAAAACCTCCGTGTCCTTGATATCTCAAATAACCAAATCTCTAAGCTCGAGAACCTTTCACACCTACCTCACATTGAGGAGCTCTGGGCAAGCAACAACAAACTTTCCTCTTTCGAGGAAGTTGAGAAGGAGCTCTCAGGCATGGAGGATCTCGTAACCGTCTACTTCGAGGGGAACCCACTGCAACGGGAGGCGGCTGCTACATATAGGAATAAGGTTAAGTTGGCACTACCAAGGGTCAAACAGATTGATGCCAGTGAGTTTCCCCCCTACCACCTACTTAAGACTTCAAGGTACTGACGCTCTCTGTAGCGTTTGTGAGGACATAGCATCTGCGTTTTCCTTAATTGGGTTTACGTAATGCAATTTCTATTCGTGCTACTTATGGGTGTCCCTGGTCGGTTGGGAGTTTGTTCGGTATTAAGAGGTTCCATGAACGCAAAGGTTCGGTCTGGTTAGACTCGGGTGGCATTTGTCGATTTTATCTCTTTTTTTTTTCCCTTGCTTAGCTTCTTCTCCCCCTCTCAATCCCTAGCTTACGAACGTCCCCCCACTAAAACAAAAACCCAAATAGTTACTATACCTTTCCTCTTCTTCTTTCTTGTATGTAGTTAATGTGTAGTAGCTCTGTCTGGATACCCAGCTGCTGAATCATCAGTCCCGGTGTGGTAAGCTTGTGATGTCTCTCGCAATATAGCAGTGAAATGACGTCAATGTTGGTTAGTGTGCATGGGATATCACTCGGGGTAATCCTTGCTTGTTGGGCTTTATTTAGTACGGGCAGAGCTACATCCTCCCCTCTGCTTCGATATACTTACTACATGTATACAGTTGATATAGACGAGTACCCGAATTCTACGCTTGTTTCTCGAAGCTTGTGACCATGGCTCGATATGTTTTTCGGAACCTCGAATGTACAACCTTGCTTTGGGTTCGAATATCCCGAAACCCCCTTCAATACCCGAACGTGTAGTTGAGATGATTTGTCTTGTGCTATTGGTCAACGGACCTTTTAAAATCCGAGCTGCTGGAATTTCGCCTGCTTCCCAGCCAGAAAATATAGATCTGCAATGGACACAAAAAACAAGAATAAAAAACCAGTCGTCCAGTCCACGTAAATTACAACAGTGAACGGCCTACATATCTATGATACACAATCCCATCATTGTTCAAAACAGCCTAATTTTGCCTGCGCCCACAACCTTAACGCAATATAAAGCCACCGGTCCACCAAAAACAGATACCATAACATAGTTTGGAAGGGCGATGGAGAGTAAAGGAAAAAAGAAAAAAGGAAAAAAAAAAACTGGCCATCCATATCAGATGCCCTTTAATGCGGTATTCCCCAAGCACCAAATCCAGGGGCTCCCGGTGGCTGCGGGAATCCCGCTCCTGGTGCACCACCTGGCATGACACCTGCTTGCTGTGCCTGCTGCTGTTGTTGCTGCCGTCTCGCCAAGTTTTGTTGGCGTAGCTGCCTATAATACACCAATATTGCCACAGCGGCAGCAAGTACCAGAATGATAACGCTCTCGATAAGATCCTCGTCAAATTCGCCGTAAAATTCATCACCAGGGACGTGGGTGTCAAGTGTATCATCTCCAGCGTTGTTGCCACCATAGATATCTTCTGGGTCACCGTAATCATCGGGAGTGGCCTCATACCATTTCTTGAGGAATTCGCTGAGAGTGGGACGTTGTTTTGGTTTTGGATCTACACAAGCTGTTAACAGATGAGTGCTTCAAATCAACACGCGAACTAATTACCCGGGTCTGCGCCAATGGCGTTGATAGTGCCCCCAGTTATCGTATTCCAAAAGCTTCTAACCCTCAACTTGAGCAGACTCAGGGTAACCGGTAGATATGCCTCCTGGTTTGTTTCCAGCGCATGGTCGTAGTATCTCTTGGCTAGATGGAAATCCTGTTCGACTCCAATGCCGTTTTCGTGCATCCATCCAAGGTTCCACAAAGCTTGTGCAGAGGCCTGCAGTTCGCTGGCAGCCTGATAACATTGCGCAGCCTTCTCGTAGTCCATTTCAGTCCCAATACCAGCTAGATAATAGTCTCCCATCTTTACAAGTGAATCAGTGTTTTGCTGCTTCGCTGATCTAGTCCAATATATCAATGCTAGCTCCTGGTTTCTAGGATTCTTCGGCTCCTCAGGACCCAGCAATTGCCTCAATGGTAGTCTTGACTTTTCTTCATCAAGGAGATATGCAACATTGGCTTGTCCAACCTCGTAGCCTTGCTCAGCGGCCATCATATAGCCAATCAATGCGCTTTCTCTGTCGCCATCATGATATGCTTTATTCGCCCATGCCATAGGACTATGCATATCCTCAACTCTCTCAGCAACGACTTTGTAATAAGCAGTCGCCATCAGGCAAGAACGCTCTACTCCGAGTCCAGCATTGTAAATCTCAGCAAGATAGTAGAATGATTCCAGCGTTCCGTGGCGTGCCGCGAGCTCGAAATAGCGCTTTGCAATCTCCAGCTCATTTTGTTCGAGGAAGAGTTTACCAAGATTAACCTGTGCTTGAGGAAGGTCCTGCTCAGCAGCCTCCTGGAAAAAATCAGCTGCCTTTTGACGGTTTATCTTTAGGCCATAGCCATGGAGGTACATGTACCCCAGGCCATTCTGTGAACTTGCATCGCCCTGAAAAAACGTTAGTCAAGAAACTCCGATATACATAGATATTGGGAGCGTACCGTCTTGATTCCTCTATCAAACCATTCCGCTGCCTGCGTAAAGTCCTGTGTAACTCCTTCTCCCCTCAGGTACATTTTCCCAATGTATCCTGCCGCCTTTCCAGCAAGCCTTTCCAGTCCTGGCGGTCCTCCAGAAATCGTTTTATCATCACGAGTCCAGTATTGCTTTGCGATATTTGTAAAGTATCTCTTTGCCTTCCTAACATCCCTCGGGAGATTCCTTGATCCATCATAATACAATTTTGCCAGAGTAAATGTGGCGGACAAATCCCCTTTTCGTGCCATAAGATCTAAATATTCAAGGATGTCATCTAAATCTCTCCCGGAGTCATTTGCGGTAGCTCCCCGACGTAGCGCGTTCATACCGGACGATATTACTGAAGCGCCCTCGCCGTAAACACCACCTTCATCATCTGCAAGTCTATAGGCATTCTTGATCAGCCTGTGGCCTCCCGGCGGGCCAGACCTCCAGTAATCAATCGCTTTATCGGCAACCTGCTTGTAATAGAAAGAAGCATCGTTACAGTGACGTGGGGTTCCTATACCCATGTGATGGCGAAAAGCTACTGTCATTTCCGAGCGGCTATCACCGTTTAAGGCGGCAAATGTGTGGTATAGTAGAGCCTGTATCTAGTTAATATCAAAGCTCAAAAGGTACATATATGAGCTCTATCCACCATACCTTTGCTTGGTCTCTCTCGACAGAACCACCGATGCCAGTAGCATACATGAAACCAACTACGCTTTGGGCTGTCGCGTTTCCAGTCAAGTCTGCAAGCTCCTTATATCTTGTAAAGGCAAGCGGATAGTTCCTAGGATGCGACCAATTTCCGTACTAGTAACCAATCAGCCCCAAATTCTCCTGCAGTCCTATTGAGAGTAAACATACGAAGTTCATTTGCGCCAACAAGTACATCGCATCTTCATTTTTCCCGATTTCCCTTGCAGCCTCCAACTTTTCAACTGCAGCCCTTAACTTTTTCCCGAATAACCCTGTCCCGCCCACTGGTGCAGCTTGCTTTGGCGGGGCATCGACGGGCTCCTCTAGAGACGCCGGGTTGTGCACCAAGATTATTGTCGCTGCCTTCTTCGCATAATATAACACCTTCCCGTAGAGATTCAATCGTGATGCTTCGGTCGTCCCTACTTGCGATCGTATGGGGGTCGGGTCGAGGGTTCGGAGGATGGTTAGAGCTTCGTGGACGAGGGCCTCCGCCTGTATTTCTGAGAACGCAACTCGTTTAATCACTGCATATTCTCGTTAAAATGGATAGGTGGGGCTACTTTGAGGATCGGATCCCTCGGCGGCTTCGGGAGTAGAGAGTTCTTGTAATGATTCCTGAACATGGCGCCCCTGGAGGGCGACCAATGGTTCACTTCGGTCTCGTTGAGCTGTTACGGAAACAGCAAGCATACATAGCACACCTGGGCAGCTCGGCGGGGTTCATCAGCATGAGGTGGTGGTGGGGTTGAGGGAAGCCACCGTACATACCAAGAAACATCCATATTCGCGATCTACACTTCCGCTGCATGGCTAGTTACTTCCACCACCCAGGAACGTGAACAAATGGAAAGAACGAAAGGTACGAGGAGAATTACTCTCTCGCTGTGAATCAGACTATATCTGGAGGAAAAGCGAAACGTAGCAGGTCATCAACGTTGGACAGATGAGGCGAATTATGAAGGAGAAGAGGTCTACGTGGAGAGAAGTCGCAGCGGTTGCTATCACGCAAACCCGGATAACATGAGATGCCACAACCACAACGGGCAGCCACTTCTGCCAAAACGTGGCCACTTCACCATGAACAACACTCCCTGTTCTTGATTTATCGATTCTTGAAAAATCTTGTAGAAACGCCATCTACGGCCGGATTGTATTATTATTTCTTTGTTCCCTTAATATTTCTCTGCAATAGCTAATAAGGCTTGTATCGCGCTTTGGCTTCCTTCTTCTCTTTCCGCTCTTCTTTCAGCCATTTCTTCTCGGCTTTCTCCTTTTTGCTTGAGGCAACATCCGAGTCTCCCCGGGTTGGTTCTTTCCAAACCTTCACGAGGCCATCTTCACCCCCGGTATATATTGTTCCCAGCTATAAGGAAACCCTCGTTAGCAGTGTAAACGTCCCAATATAGGTGAGCCAATATATATATAGGAATTAGCAAATGAAAAGGAATAAAACCAACCTTGTCATCCAAATATATAACCCGCACAACCTCTTCACCATGCCCTCCATTAAGTCTTACTCCATCCTCTCCCACTATATGCCATCCACCAATGTTTTCGCCTGCTTTTCTAAGTGGTATCAAGTCCAACCACTGGTTGCTATTGCTTCCAGAAACTATCAGTCCACCACCAGTTTTATGCTGCACAACATCGACTATGTAGTCGCACCCCAAACCTGGCCTCAGGTCACCAAAACTCCTAGTTTCTGCTTCCTCTAACACCTTTTCCTCATCATCTGGAATCTCCGTAACGAATTTATACATTCCCAAATTCTGGTCATCCGATAGCGCGTAGATATCATTTGATGGGGTCAGGAACCCGGCGTGGTGAATGGGATACCCATGGTTGATGACTTGATACAGTGCTTCGTCCACATCATCGTCAGGTGTAGTTTTGGTCGCAGATGGCGGGGTGAGCAGGTTGTACATATTCACCAATGCGTCTGTTGACCCACTTAATAATATGTGTGGCATGGTGGGATGGAATTGTAACTCTGTTACATCGTCGTTATGTGATTCTGTATACTGCACTTTTGTATCTGCAGTTCTAAGATCCCTTTACTCTGCGCATTTAGCAATCTCCCTCGAGCGATACAATGTGCAATAAGGGGAGAAACCATATTACAACTCTCGCGATGCGACTGCCCTCCACGAGTTCAGTTCCCCCAGCCAACACATATGCCCCCGCATTGACCGCCAAACTTAGAACTGAAGCATTCGAGACTTCATTACGTAGTTAATAGCTATCGCCAAAGCTGGAGCTCCGTGGGAATCTCACCATTCTTATAAACCATACCAGGCTTGTCCGCTTGTGATCTCACATCCCAAACCCTCACAGCTCCGTCCAATCCAGCTGTCGCCAGTATATTCGTATCCACAGCTTTCAAACACCTTACACCGTCGTGTATTTTACCAAAAGTTCTCTGCAGCGCCAGCGTTTCGGGCGAGAACAGTCGGAGCGAGTCGTCTGAGCATATTGCACCGAGGGAGTCGGGATTTGCTGGCGCAAAATTGTAAATGTAAGTCCCCTCGGGACATGATAGATTTGAGCTAGAAGTGGAATTGAGAATTTGGGGCATTTTTTCTTGGTGGATCATTTGCAGTAAATAGCCAGTTGAGTTACATGCAGCCCAGGCCTAGAGATTTTTTTGTCAGGACGGAGATTACCGCTGATAACCCTAACCCTATGGCCTTATTCAAGATGACGGTGAATCCTAACGTAACAAGTGTACTACGTCGAAGGCTGAGTGATTTCCTATGATTCAAAATACTGAGTGACCCTTTATGATTCGAACTTTTCTTGACGTCTCTTCCACCGATAATAAAATTTCCTTGTGTAGTAGTTATTCTTTTTCGACAGGAAGCTACTTGAGTATTAGAGCAACCCGCTCGAGTAGATCAATTCATTTTTTGGAATTAAAAAAAAAAAAAAAAATAGATTATTATTGCAACATCCAAGCCAATCGGACACCGTAAATATCATATCAAACCTTTACTAAGTAAATATTCCACTTAGAATTCTTGTAAATAACAAGTCATTCATCTACCATTGTGTATGCTCGGAAGATCTAGAGTCACGCACGCACATTTACAATGCTAGCTAACATTTCTTGGTTGTTATAGCAATAGATACTACAAGTGGAATGCGCAAATTTATATGCAGTGGGCGAATAGAAGCTTTCAACGTCGTCATCTAGTCCGAGTACTTCCCAAGAGCGACTGGGTGAGAAAGTGTGTTTGCCTTTAGGTCCTTGGGACATGTAATGGCGCGTCCAGTCCATGATTAATTCCTAGGTGAATAACAGGATCGGTCGGGTCCGGTCTGATCGTGTAAGCACTGTATCATGTGAGTAATTCTACAGTTATATCAGTTCTTGAATTCTTTCTCAATGAGCTGGCTCTAGTGTGGTCCATGAGCCGGCTCGAGCCGGCATATAAGCTCGAGCCGGTGGTCAATGATGAAAAAAACAGGCTATTCTTACACTAAGCGTAGTAAAATGGCAGATATAAGCTTCATTTCATGGAGTAATACCGTGAGAAAAGATTTATTATTTAACTCAGCATTCTAGTGGGCATAAATCTCCTACTGGCTTCCTTGATGGCTTCTAGAGCCTAGCTCAGAGCGAGTAAACTGAGCTTGAGATCAAGCTCGAGCCTAAGCTCGAGCCTTAAAGAAAACGGCTCAAGCCGGCTCAGGCTCGCTGGAGGGTGAGGCTCGCTGAGCTCGAGCCGAAAGTTCGAGCCGAAAGCTCGAGCCGGCTCATGGACCACACTAGAGCCTGGCTCGTGATCGGGGTCGGGTTGCGGGGCATATTGAACCCCCCTCGCTCGCACGAGTTCTAGTCTTAATATTAACATGTATCAAGGTTGATATAAGACTATACCCGCAATTTATTTTACCTGCCAGTGTTTGCCCTTTCGATGTCAGCTCCCTTCCCAGTATTCTCGGGTCCTATTTCTGGAATAGTTCTTTGTCTGTACATATATATCTGCTTCTATCTGTGGTATGTATATAGACTATATATCCTAACCAATAGAAATGCTTCGTGATGAGTCGACAATAAAGAAGCTTATACTGTTTAGAAGTAGTGCGAAAACCATTAGCAAGCTAATTGAGGAAGAATCCCGCATGCGCATCTAGGTGCCAGTTAACGTTTTTGGTTTTAAAGGATGAGTGATATTATAGTACAGCAACCCTGACGAGAAATCGCAGTCCTATTATCTTCCCACCCAAGTACCCCGCAGAAACAACTCCTGTAACGAAACCTATTGTTAGAAGTCCTTTAAAGGGAATAGGCACTGTAGTATATAATAGCGAGTGATACATCATGATTATAGTCTACAATATCCACGAACCCTGTACGGAATGCTCTTGGCAAGTGACAAACTCTTTAAGTTCCAAATTTTGGGCCGTGTTTAGCATGGAGAAATTTCCATGCGCAGGGCGCTTATGTTTTTGCTATGGCGCGAGAAGGCATAGGGGGTGGGTGTGTTCAGAGGAACTTTTTTTGTATGGGAATTAGAGAAAATTCCACCGTCAGGCTAGGCGCTAGTACCATTATGGGAGTAGATCTCCCAATTCCTATAGATTGATTGGCTGCAAACGCCGAAGTTTACACACCTACCCACCATAGCTTCTCAAGCCATAGGTTTTTTTTTTTTTTTTTTTTGCCTTGTTGGTGGGGGCGCAGTGGGGGCTACAACTGCGGGGAGGACACCTCGATCGTGGGGACTTACCGCCTAGGATTTGGTATGTTTATGTGTGGGTTGTAGAGGTATTCCCGGGGTCCCTGGACAGGATCCGTGTGATCATGAGGTCCTTATGGATACTATGGAGTCATATCTGTTAAGCAGAGAAATCTTCAATTAAACCCTTCACGACCATAGAAGACTTCAGTCCTGGCATGCGCTAGTGTAATAGTCTTCCTATCACCTGAGCATTCCTAATGTTGCAATCGAAACCATGAAACCGACCGGAGGAAGACCATGTCGGCGAGGCCTCGTTCTAGATAAGAGCGACACTTCATGCTAGTGGTTAGATATGCCATCCAATAAGGCATCCAAGACAGTTCGAGATGGCCAGCGTGGCACATCTGCCCATTCACTATGTCCCACATAAGCGAAGGCATCTGACACCCTCACATCCCATTTGTTCTCCCTTCCACGCAATGACCGGATGAAATACTTCTCACCAATGGCAAAGGGCGATAATCCTGCAGTTGGCGCGTGTAAGATAAGGTAAGGGGAGGGTTGATGATGATGATAATGTACAATATACAATTCCCCTTTTTTTCTCTTCTACGCCTGTTGTATACAGTATATGGCAAGTGAGGTGGGGGAATGGAGAAGGATCCGTCTTTTTTGCCTCCCCTCCACGGTATATATCATCTCGCGACGGTAATCCCCCAAATCGAAATGCGGAAAAGGTCCCCCAAAAAAAGATAGAGATCAATTGGAAGTCTATAATTTTCTCTATGCCCCGAAGCCGCCAGCACGTCCACCGCCCATTGCCTGGCCCTGCAGGCTCTGCATCTTCTCGGTGACCTTTTTGAAAAACTTATTAGATACTTTCGCCCGTGATCTGGGTGGAGTGACTATGGGGGAGGTACCTTGTTGTTTACGTCGAAGAACTTAGATACACATCGGTCTAGGCAAACGGACTCGCCCTTGTTGAGTTCTGACTCCTGGTAGCTAGGCGGGATACATTTCTTGTAACAAGATTGTGTCAAGCTAAAAAAATTAGTTAGTACTTGAACCATAGTGCCATATCGCGTGGAACGCTCGTTATCGGGGATGTTTGGTGGGGGTGGGGGGGCAAGATACCGGTTGAACATATCAGTAACCATCTCCAATTCCTGCTTGGCAGCGGCAATTTTCTGCGCGCTCGTTGGTTGAGGCTGGCCGAACCCGAGGAAGGACATTATGTTACTATTTAGTTATAATTTTTTCTTGAAAGTATGGGGAAGGTGGAGTCGAGGGCGTTTGGTGGTGAACTTTTTTTGTTTGGGGTTGAAAGGTTGACGTTGATGCCAAGAAGAGTGTGGCTAACCTAACGGTTTATCACCGCCGCCCCACACCCACCATTTTGTACGCCAGCCACAGGGGATTTCCAATTTAAAATCTTCAACACCTCCTCTTTTCTCTTTCTTTTGTTTCTCGCATACCATCACACACCCCATCATCAATCCCATCATCAATTCATTAACAGGTACTTATCCCTTCCTCCAATCAATCCATCGCTTCATTTGTTTAATCTATCTGCCCCTCAACGCGTGATGAGCATAATTATAAGAACCGTTGCGAATGATGCTGGTTTGGAGTTCGTTCCAAGGCTGGCGTGTGACTTCACTAAGCTATAATCTTCTCTCTGACTTGCACCCGATATCACATCTTCTATCAATCCCTTTTTTTACTCATATGATAACCTGTTTCTAACATAAACATCCAATCATAGGAAGGAAGGGGCGAGAAAAAAACTCAATACAAAATAATGGCGCCAATAAGTCTTCGGGCTGTCCGGCCAGTCCTACCAATATGCAGATCTAGGATTGTGCCGACACTCCCGGGACTAATAAGGCTCTATTCATCGAAGAAAAAGGGCAATTCTCTTGCTACATCAAGGCCAGAATTGCTGCCTGAGGCTAGACGGAAGCAATTTCAAGATAGCAACATCGATCTATATCCACGGATCAATAACAGTGGGAAAATACAAAGTTTTGAAGAATTCACAAAGAATTTCCATGCAATAGACGTAGGAGTAATAGATGACACACAAATGATTACAGTTAGAGGTGTGTACCGTACCCATTGCTCTTCGTTCATAATTTCTACGCAGTTGGAAATCATACGCGATATCATGTATTATTGCTGTAAAACCCCACAAAAATCATGGGAAATTTTGTAAATGAGAATCCAATTTTATTTTTTTGCAAATAAGTTTCTTTTTCTTTTTCTTTCTTCGCTTTTGGTACATGTTTTTCTTATGCGTCAAAGGCAGAATAAACAACTACAGAGATGTATCATCAAAGTTGATATTCTACGACCTCGTCCAAGACGGCGCCAAGCTGCAGGCCGTCTTTAATTATAGCCGTGTCGGTGGAAGTGTTGATGATTTCCGCAATACTGCCATGTTAACCAGGATCGGAGACATTGTTAGTTAGTACTCACCTCATCTCAAAGGCCTTGTTCTAGATATGCGATGCCTGACACCTCACTCCTGTACGAAGGCGTCACTGGACATCCCGGCCGCACACCTGCCGGCGAGTTATCGCTATTCGCAAAAGCGCATATGGATGTCCTATCACCATGTCTTCACACACCTCCGACAAGGATCCTGAGCCAGGAAAAACGCCACCAAAACCGCCACATTGACCTCATGGTCAGTCCGACTGCTACACAGATCCTCCGGCTGCGGTCCCACATCATCCAGCACCTCCGCGAGCAATTCCTCGATCGTAACTTTGTAGAAGTACAGACCCCCATCATAGCAGAAGAAGCCGGTGGCGCAGTAGCTAGGCCCTTCTTGACCGAAGCGACGGCTTATCGCGGTAAAAAGCTCGCGTTAAGGATCGCACCGGAGCTGTGGCTGAAAAGACTGGTGATTGGGGGCATGGACAGGGTGTTTGAGATTGGTACCCAATTCAGGAATGAAGGCATCGACGCCACGCACAACCCTGAGTTCACCACCTGCGAGTTTTACCAAGCGTATGCCGGGTTGGAGGACTTGCTCGGCTTCACCGAAACGTTGTTCTCCACCTTGGCACAGAAGGTTCGAGTGCTGAAAGAGGAGAAATTCAAGAACCTAGACCAACTTGAGACTGGCTTTGACTCACCCTTCAAGAGGCTGGAGTTCATTCCTGCACTCGAACAGGCCATGGGGAAGCCACTGCCAGATCTCGATACGCAACCGGAGGAAGACGTCAGGGCACAGCTGCGAAGCCTGATGAGGGAGCTAGGCATTGCCGAGCCGGAGTCGCCAACCGTGCCGAGAATCCTAGATAAGCTCTCGGGAACTTATCTTGAGCCGCTTTGTCAGGAACCGACATTCATCACTCACCACCCAGAGGCCCTCTCACCATTGGCTAAAACCTCGATCCGTGATAACCGGAGGGTGACTGAACGATTTGAGCTCATTATCGGTGGGAAGGAGCTTGTCAATGCCTACGAGGAGGAAAATTCACCCATTGAGCAGAGGAGGAAGTTCCAGATGCAGCTTCAATGGAAGGACGAAGAAAACTCTACCCCTGAGGTAGAAGGAGGCGTTGACGAGGTGTACTGTGCTGCGCTCGAGTGGGGCCTTCCACCGACGGGCGGATGGGGGTTGGGCGTGGACAGATTGTGTATGCTCTTTGCGGGCGTCGATAAGATCAGTGAGGTATTAACCTTCGGTGGTTTGCGGGGGGCCGTGAATCAGGGGGGCGTACAGCATCAACAGAGGGAGACGAAGGAAGAATAGAACGGCCCTTGGTTCGAAAGGAAAAGTAAAAAAGGTTCCTGCAGCTAAGATCAGGCGTCAGCGATTTGGATTTACAGGGTCATTGACCGCACACCGCTTGGTATGCGGTTTTCCGGGAGGAGAGCAATGTACGCAAGGTACCGGGCCATTGAACTCTTTTCTCCGGTTGGCCCGGATAATCTGAAAGTAAATTCTACTCTACTACACATGTGTTTGAATAATCGGATAATACATGTAGCCTTTGTCAATCAATTGATCCGGGTATCCATCTTATGTTACGTGTCTATCAACCAAAAAGCAAAACCGGGACGGAGGGAGCGAGCTTGAACGTTTCCGTGCCGGATATTACAACATGTCCTTTTTCCAGTATAACGGCCTTACCCAGCTAATTTTGATAAGGGGGGTCCATGGTTATCTCCAACTCAAGAGACGTATAGGGTGATTAGAACAATAATAGTAGGTACCTGTCTCTTTTCCTTTTCAACCCTCTAACATCTACTGGATCCCACTCTTGACCTTCAGTTCCGCATAATAGGGTAATAATCCCGATTTGTCCACCAAAGCTAAGCCAGGAAAAAAGAATAAAGATAAACCCAGGATTACACCTCTCACCCACATAGAAGTACCAGGGCCCAGACACGCATGCCCATCCCGAAATCGCCGATATATCCCCATCCCCGGCCGCCACCAAATCCACCGTGGAGCAAATCATATCAAGCGTTGTGTTCGCCAGTCCAATCGCCAGTCACGCCTGTAAAGAAAAGAAAAGGGACCTGCGTTATGTGACAAGGATCAACCCTCCCTTCCACCCCCCCTGAGTGTGCTTCGGCTCATCAAGTGACATCCACACTGCTTGCCTGCTGCAAAATGACCGTGCATAATTATTGTCCGTATGTACAGGTGGCGTGACATTAACTTCTGACCTCTGACCGCGATGCGATGCGCTCTGCTTCTGCTTCTGCTACTAATATTTGCAGATCACATGACACGCACCTTTTTACTTGCCCTCAGGAACAAGCTTTAATCAACATCACTAGCCCCCCTGGTCACGTTCACAAGCTAATCTACCTACTAATCACTGCCTCATCACCCCCCGAAACCGCGTCTAATTCAAAAGCGGCAGTGCTACCAAACCCTGTGCCGCAGAGGTGGCGGCACGGCCCGGATCATCAACAGGGGTCCAAGTACCTACATACCCACATGTAGCCTTTGCTACTTACCTGACGTATTACGTACCGTGGGGGGGTTCGTGGGCTGGTAGTTGGTGGGGGATGGATCAGGCTCTTAATAAGACTACATATAACTAACACGGACGGGCGAACCAGCTAGCTACCAGAGTTCGATCATGCGTGTAGGTGGGTAGACGGGCGGGTGTGGGCGTGTTAGTGGGCGTATAAGTGGGGGGGGGGGGGGTGTCTATCAAAAACGTACTCTACTTTACACACACATACTCTAGCCCTCGTTTCATCAAATGTATTGTGCAAAATATACCCCCCTCCACTACCAACATCGCCAGGGATACACGATACGATCTCTATAGTAGGATAGATCTGCCTGCCTCCATAGTACTCTACCTAGCATGCCTCCCAAAATCACGACTTCAAGTGCGTGACATGACGAATCCTCCCCATCATGACGTCTTTTCTGGAACGTAGATCTCAATAATGTACCCCGTATGTACTGCACTGCACTGCACTGCCTGCACATAACACCCCCTCCCTCCCTCCCCTAGCACATAGCTATAGCAGACAAGAAATATATAGCACATGTAGCTAGTTAGCTGACCGGCCGGTATGTCGAGCATACATACATATATATAAAAAAAAAAATGCCGCAAACAGATTCTTCTGCTCCTGCTTCTTCTTCTTCACCCGGGTTTTTCAGCTCGAAATGTTAGATACAATTAATATATGCAGGGCCAGCGGCACAAACCAATCGCTCAATCGCTCAATCGGAAGGCTGCGTTGTGGCTCCGGCTCAATCAGAGGGATTGCAGCCTAGGCTAGGTAGGTGATGTTTCATCATCATCCCTCACCCTCCATCATCAACATCGATATCATCAGTATCATCGAGACGATGAGGATGCATTGTCTGTCGGATAGGGTAGAGTAGGTTAAGTACTCTATCTTGTATCATGTAGGCATAGGCATAGGCATAGGTATATGTAGAGCATACTCTACCTGTAGGACATACCTACATGTACCTACATCCATAGGCACATACACAACCACCACCGCAACTGCCGTGAGGTAACGCACATAAACTCTACCCACATACTTACTCTACCCTACATTATGCACATACGCAGCACAAGTGCAGCACATGTAAGCAAGCAAGCAGGTAGTTTAAATCGCCTCGTCCGTATTCGCATCTACCGGTAAGGCTGCAGCTAGCTACTCTTGCGAGTGCCTGCCTGTCCGTCCGTCCGTCTGGCTGGCTGGCTGGCTGGCTGGCTGGCTGGATGGCTGGCATGTGTGTTTTTTGCCGGTTACGAGAGCAGCAGAGAAGAGGCTACTCTACGTAGATGACGCGTATATGATCCTACGAGATTTTCTTATGGTAGGCTGTTGATTCTGATATTACGTTATGGGTGTTTGGTGGTACAGGAAACCATTACTCTACTACTACTACTAGTACTGCAGTTACAGCTCCATATTATTTACTAGACGCCCTACCTGCCTAACTAGCCAGCCAGCCATAGATCTCGCTAATCGCCCGCGCCAATCGAAGCTTCGAGAAAAATAACTCTTTTTCTCCCCCCCACCCCCCATGCCAGGCATGTCAAAAAGAAAATTAAAAACTAATGCAGGGGAAAAAAAAGAAAAAAATCTCCTCGACTCCACAGCACTATAAACTGTGGCTGGGGAGGAGGACGAGGAGGAAGGGTGACGGCCAGTTAGAGATCGGACTTAATATAATGCACGGCCACGTCGCGGGGGGGGGGGGGGGGGATATTGCCCTACTGACCGCTGACCGACGGACGGACTGCTGCATGGGGGGTGCAAGAAAGCTTGGGAGTTAGTTTATGTAGTTACGGAGGACAGTAGAGTGGCCGGGTGTTAGATTAATTGCTTTGTAGATAAGTACCTACGGGGACAGGTATGTACTCTAGTAGGTAGAAAACGGTGATTCCCGGACTCCGTGTAATATGAGCTCTTTTGTTTCCCCCCCCGTCCCATCCAAGCTACATTTCCGGCGGGGACCTGGAAAATGCAATCAATGGAGAATGGCGATAACGCCCAGCCCATACCCGTGACCGCAAAAGCGGTACCTGCCTCGCCCTCTTCTGTCTCCTGCAGCTGCTGACGGCTGCCACCTCATCACATGCTTCAACCGGGGGATGCAGATGTGGAAGGGTGTTTTTTCTCTTCATCTTCGATGATCTGCATTCTATTCTCTTCGCTTATCCAGAGTGTTGCCCTTCTCCAGAATTACCGCTTTTGGCGGAGAGGCGAGAGCGTCGGGTGGGGTGGCTGGTTTCGTTGGTAAATCTCCGTTGTTACTCTACCCAGTGATCCACCGTACTACCATGGCCAGTACTACATAGTACTACTATTGCCAAATACGTTGAGTAGAGTACTACTCTAATTACACTACATACTACTGCTACACCGCTGCTCTTAACTGTGATGATGATGATGATGACGATGATGATGGTGATGCGGGGAACAGGTACGTAGTTAAACACGATATACTCTTTGTATGCACTCTTCATCTCCAAAATTGCCTCATGCCTCACTCAATCAAGGGTAGAGTACGTATACGTAGCTAAGGTATTGTACCTCCATCTAGATCTACCACCGCGCGGAAGCCACGACCCAATCCTGCTTGCGGCTCCGTCTTCCCTACCTATCTACGGTCACTAAGTAGAATTATACCCCGCTTCCCTCCCGGAGGCAGAGGCAGAAGGATGAATGGAAGTAGCATATCTGGTCTAGAGCAGGTCTTCTGTAGAGCTGTATGTACACCTTCCTACCCCTGGCTAAAGAAGCCAAAGAAGGTAGAGTACACCACAACCAAGGTGTAAGGCAAGGTACAGGGTAATTAAGTTAGGGTCGCTACTGCTACTAACTACCCCAGCCAAGCAAACCTGATTCGCGCAGCACAAGCGAAGCGACAGCTGGCACTCTACGTTACGCGTTTAGCTTTACGCGGAGTGTCGCGGTTGATTACTAACCCTTGTCACCGCCACCCCACACAGACGCCAGCCGCCCAATAGCCGCGTGGGGTCCCCTTGCATTTAGCCGTCTGTCTGCTGTGCTCCACGATGTCTCGGTTCGTCTGCGGTGCAGATCGAGCAGACGGCCGTTTCTAGCCTACTGCTACTGCGGTGAAACATTGCATCGTAACGTAACCGAGTATGTACGGTACGTTAGGCAGCGTAGCGTACTCTACCATCCATATATTCCATCTTCCACACCGCACCCACACAAGTTACTCGTAACTAGAATCGAGCACCTACATGCATGCGGTGTATGGGTGTGGTGGCCGGAAGCAAGCAAGAGGAGAGGGAAAAAAACGACACCTACCAACCTTACCTACCGCTTATTTGCTATCGTTATCATCAGCTGATTTCGCAGCCATGCATGCAGCCCGGCCTTCTTTTCGAACGACAGACAGACAGACGGACAGCAGGTGGTGATGGTGGTAGGGTAGGAGGGCAGAGGAAAAAATTATTGTGCATCCGCTTTCAGGCCGTTTGATTCGAATTTTTATTTTTTTATTTTTATTTTTACTTTTCTTTGGTCGTTTCGTTTGTTTAGCTATGTGATGGGCGACGGCAAAGAGGATTACAGGATGGCAGGTACTCTAGGAGTAGCGCTAGTAATGCAGTGCAGCGACCACGCAGCAGGAATTAGCGGCGGGGATCAGAAAGTGGAGTTTACTCTACTCTGCGATCTTGAATCTCATCGACAAAGCGCACTAGCCAAACCGGCCTGAAGACTTGTGCAAGCTGTAGCTATAGTTAGAGTATACGTACATACATTGACTAGAGTAGAGCAAAGCAGAGTAGCGGCGCCGGGTTGGCCAGTTGGATTTCAAAACTACAGTCTCTAGGACAGAGTAGAGTAGTACTCTAGTGTCTACTCTAGCGACTCTAAAGTAGTAGCTAGTGGGGTGCATTGGCCCTTTGATTTCAATTGGCATCTGCTCTAAATCTGATTGATTTCTGCCCCCTTGGTTCTCTCTTGATAATACATAGGCGAGCGAATGGGCGGGTGAGTGGACGTGCTCTCTCTCCGCTAACTACTCATATCACGATATCAAAAAAAAGGTCGTTGAGGCGCTGTCTCGCCTGTCTACCTGCCTGCCCAGTGCACAACCAATGTCACAAACACACTTTACTCTACCAATCAACAGCCCGCCAGTCCACTACTAGCCGTGATCTCCATCGCCATCGCCGTCTCCGTCCCCGTCCTTTCAGCCAGCCCACCGCCACCATCCGGGGTCGTAATGGTGGTGGTGGAGGAGGTGTAAACTCGCTTTTCCCCAGCTTTCTGCCCTGCTGCCTTGCCTGCCACGTCGACTTTTCGTTTGGTCGGTCTAGTTTGGTTAGGCCTAGTAGGCCTCAAGCACCATGTTAGTTGTAGGATTGAAGAGGTTTAGTTGCTGTGGTGGTTTAGTTAGCATTAGTCTGTGCAGTTGGGCTTGGTTAGTTGCAGTTAGTTAGTTAGCAGCGGGCCACACACCCTACCGCACACACACAGACAAGCTGGCAGGAGAGAGGAAAGCCAGAATTAGACCGTTGATGTGAGTGAGATCTGCCACTAATATCTGCTCTGCGCACGTGGAAACGAGCATGGGTGTTGATGTGGTGTGTGGTGGTGGAGGGCTGTCTGGCTGGTTGGCTGGCTAGTTGTGAGTCTGATCGTGATCAGCGGCCGACTAGTGTGGGATTGATTGACAGAGTGACTCTCGAGGCACAACACAAAAAATCAATCAAATACATGTACTAAAAGTCACTTTTGTTGCCCGCGCACTATGGGGGAGAGGGAGATCCAAGAAAAGAAACCCCCTCCACTCCCTTCCTCCTCCTCCTCCTTCCTCCCCGCTCCCCGCTCTCCCCCCCCCCCCCCCCCCGGGGCGATTGATGATGGATGCACTATGGATGATTCCGAAATATTAAAGATGACTTTCTTCCTTTTAATTTTTCCCCCCCCCTCCTCTGATCTCTTCATCCTTCCTCCCCCCATGACACCGACGAA